TTGGTATATTTAGTGAAATGCTGCAATATTTGGGATTTTTTTGGGTATTTAAAATGCCATTCGTGACTTTTTAAGGAATAAAATGATACATGGCACTATTGGGTAATACATCCGAATTTAGATTCCTCTTTTGTAAAAAAAGTCCGATCTTAACATCTTTCGATTATTACGAAAACTGTTCTAGTTTAATCTAGAAAAACTTGTTGATTTTAAGGAAATGATGAAAAAGGGAAGAAGAGGGATAGGGGGGGGGGGAGTAAAAGCGAAAAAGATGGGTAACAACAGGTTGTGTTGAAGGATGAATATATAAACGTGATCAAAGTATTTTCTAACAAAAGGTTGCAAATTCATTGCTTCCTCTTCTCTTTTACTCAACTTAGATGACTCTTATGTTTTATTGGGGTACTGGAGCTTGTGAGCAGACCATAACTCAAACTGAAGAAAGTGACCACCAATCTACATAATAATAGTATCGAGTATGGAATAATTTATAAGGGTTTCAACCCGTTTGCTCCGGTCATGAAATCGCCATTTATTTAATATTTTTATTGTTATCTGCCGACAATGATTATACTGCTGTTTTATACGTTCTCGATGTATATGTGTATACTGGCACCCTGCTGTATTTTACTTGTTAATAACATTATTTAATAAACCGTAAACGTCGCCTTAAACTTATCATCCTTCGCCTTTACAACACTTTTTATAATTGCATAATGACTCTCCGCCGCTAGGTATTACGCTCCGCCATTACATTTAATGATAATATTTTTCTGTATATGGACTCAATTCCGCCTTTAATCTAACATTTTCCGCCATTTGCAAAAGTATAAGTACAAATATCTGCCAAACGCATCCTTCATCCCAGTTCAAATCTTTTAGTTTTCATCTATACATTAGATTTACTCCTTTTTGCCTTTTAAAATATGCACTTTACATTTAGATTAATACTTTTGTTAGTCGTAAATTTTCAATATCCTTTTACACCATATACGATACAAACTGCTGTTTTTATGCCAAAAAATGTAAATTTTGATAGTTATTATAACAATACTGGTTTTCACTAAATGATTTATTGACAAATTTGAATAGTGTGATGTTGACATTCTTATCTCAGTTTCTATACTTGATATTTTTCCCATGGTACAGGTATGGGAGGTGGGGTGGGGATTTACCAAGCAATCACCTTGTTGTCTTTTAGAGGGATCCCCTTTAAGCTATCTAACCTCAGAGAGAGATAGAATTCAATTCAAGATCGTATCTCCTGTAAATAGAGATTCTAATAGGGTTCAAGATAGGATCTTGAAGGAGCCTTGAGGCGCCCAACATAATATGTTTTTTTCACGGGTTCATGCCTCCAATGTCTCCTTTATAGCTTTCCGTATACGCTTTGTGGCCGGCTCTTTTCCATATACGCTTTGTGGCCGGCTCTTTTCCGTATACGCTTTGTGGCTGGCTCTTTTCCGTATACGCTTTGTGGCTGGCTCTTTTCGATTCATTATTTTTTTACAGTGTATTTCACTAAGCATGTTTATAAACAAGCATTTTTTTCTAGAAAATACAAGGGTTATATATCTATATAGGGGTATATCGCGAAAATATATTGAAAAGGAAATGCAATATCTGGCGTTATTAAGAGCATAAAAAAGGCAGACCACATTTAGGATTTACGGATTTTATTTTTCAAGAACATGCTTGTACAACTGTAGTAAACGACTTAAATTTTCTTGACGTTAAACTAAAGTAAATCATATCTCTTCTAATTGAAGAGTTATTGAGAAGAAATAAAATGTTTTAAAGGGACAGACCGGTTATGCAAGGTAGTTAAACTGAGTATGCAGTGTTGTGGACACATTTTTTAGGATTCATTTGAGACATATAAAACGTTTCCACGATGTATGATTAATAAGGTTGAGTGCATAGTCGACGTTTAAAATCGTGAATTTGGGTGGGTACGTTTTTAGAATCGTTTTTTTTTAAATTATTAAATAACGACGACGAAAAATAAAATAAAAATTATACAGTAAACTAATTAGATGGTTAGGAACATATTTCTCAAAAGAAATTTGTCAATAAATCAATGCTAGAATCAATTATTTTCTTTTCATCAAAATATTGAATTTCTTATTTCTATGAATTTATTCGCAGATTTCTACAAATTCTTCAAATGTCGTGTTTTCAATAAAAATTCCAAAAATCTGCAAAATATCTTTGTAAATAATTGAGAGATTATAGAAACTAATAATCATGAATAAGATTACTTATTTTCGATGATAAGATTAATTTTTATTTTCTCAACCTGTTCATAAACAACTAAATAGTTTACTGTAGAATTTTGTTTACATTTTTTGTCGTCGTTATTTAATAATTTAACAGAAAACAATTCTGAAAACGTATCCATTAAGAGTGCGATTTTGAACGTCAACTTTGCGCTCAAACTCAGGATTTACAGATCTTTAAAAAGTTGTATATGTCTCAAATGAATCCTGAAGAATTTGTCCACAACACTACATACTCAGTTCAACTACCTAACATAGCCGGTCTGTCCCTTTAAATTTCTTAAATGCAACCGGATAAAATTGATTTTAATTCGTGTGCATAAAATCAAATCTAGGGGAGATAAAGGGTCTCTAATTCTGTTATAGTTTACAGTGACTTGTCAAGAATTTATTATGTTTATAGAGACACACTAAATTAAACGGATAGTCCCCCCAGTTTAAGTTACACTTCAATTAAAGAGATTTGTCTCCAGCCATTTACAATGTTATAGATCCTTGATACTTTTATACAGGACTTTAGAGGAGAGATGAGAACAGGTGCGCGGCTTCTCTTGAAAGAGATTTATTGATTTGTACAATAGATATGTGTGAGTAAATTGATAAGTTTAACTGGGTTCCAGAAAAAACGTCTTAAATTACTTAATCTTACTTTATCAAACAATAAAAATGACATTTATGGATAAAGACTATTTAAAAACAAAATTTATATATAATGTCGAATACAAGTTTTTTTCTTAGTTGAACACCTTGATTCGATAAGAAATATAATATTAGAGCAAAATATGTTGAGTATATAATCTATGGTTGAACCCGAGGGTTAAACCTGTCAATCTTGGTCAAAATCGGTCGCAATCATTATTCTTTTATATTTACATAATCGTTGCTCGGAGCTATTTTGAACCTGACTTAAATTCTAGATCAGACTCCAATGTTTATAAAATGAAAAGAGAGAAATGATATTCAGATACTCAATTATTTTACACTTAGATACATCTAGCATGCTGTTAGAGTAAAAGAAGAGAATTTATAAATCGCCTCAAGTTCCAATTTTTCTGATCTCTTTATATAATTTTGCATCACAAAGTGTTTATCTTTGATCATTCAAACTTAGACAATTTGACCTAATAAAATTCATAAATTGATATATTTATAATCTGAGAAATTCAGACTGAAAAAATACAGATTAGAAATTTAGAGTTTGAGGCGAGAAGTCAGCCTTTTAAAATCCTAAATTCTTTAGTTTTATTTTTGTTGGTCTGGTTGAACAAGTGTTTCTTATCTTAATCTCGACTTAACCCAAATCCTTTCTCTTGCTTTCACTGATTATGAGGAGACCCGGATAGTTTTACAGGAAATGGGGTTCAACCGTCTCAGCACTTGATAGACATGGAGCAATTTAGTTGGAGATTTCTCCGTTATGGAGAATATTTTAAAACTGTCTCCGTTAGGATTTCCGTCCAATAGACCTCCATAGTTAACATAAATTTTTGCAATATTTTAATTTGGAAAGATTTTGACACAGGAACTGATTGGCCCAAAACTCTAATTTCTAATTCATCTTTGAAATCTTTAAAATATGATTTTAAAAATAATTAAGGTATTTCCCTGATCAAGTTGCCAAAATATTTAAAATGCTTCCAACTTAGAGCTTTGGGGCGGACAATTAGTTCTCAGCTTTTTTAAATGCTTGCACTGCTCTGTTATATTTCCATGTTTGTGGTAGGAAGAAAGATGTTTATCGGTGTGCCCCCCCCCCCACTAATGCAAAACCTTAAAACGTTAATTAGACCGATTTTCTGTAAATTGTGAAGCATCATCATTTATCTTTCTCCGGGGTTCTGTCATTCTACAGTTCCAAAGGTTCAAAACCTTTACTCATATTCAAGAAACCTCTATTACAGAGTGTTCCATATTTCGGGGTCCGATTAATCTATTTATCATTAATTAAAAGCATTATTTTTCTTTCTTTCTCTGAGAAAGAGCTGCATGTAAAGCTTTGTTATAATAGCTGTTTTCTTAGCAAAAACTTCAATAACACCTATTTAACCTAATTTTGCGAAAGGCTGAAATTTCTGAGACCTTGAACCTATGGAAACTAAATACTGCGACATTTTGTAAAAAAAAACTAAACTCATATTCATGGTAGATCTGTCTGATTTTCTGTGGATTCGTGCTAAATCTTTTTTTCAATCAATTTCTCTAGATCATATTCGTGTTAAACCCGTTCTAATCTGTCAGGGTTTCAATCATTGACCACTCCGACCCCGAGCTCCAGTAGCAGTTTGAGTACCCTTGGGACTAGTAAATCTTGCATCCTGTTTCCGAAACTATCTCTCTCCCCCAACCGTCCTAGTTACAAGGACGGATAATTATCTAAAAAGCTTCTGATCCCTCCCAGATCCTTTCACGCTAAACATTGAGACACGGAACCGTTAAAACGAGGAATAGATAAAATATTTCATAAAATCAAAACATCCGACATTCAACCTTCGAATGAAAACATACAATTCAGAAATTGTATCATCGATCAAACAACTCAACCTCCCCCTCTTTTCAAAATAGATCCCAAAACTGTTCAACAAATTTTGACACACATATTATTAAAATATAATTTTGCTCGGTTTTGCAAAGAGCTCAGGGCTGAGGTTGGATTTGATTATAATTTTGATTTTTGATCTCAGAGTTCAATTCCCAAACTCACGGCTTGCATACGTGAATAGGTTAAATCAGAGCTCACACATGGTCCGACTTTTTGCATCTACAAAAACTAAACCTTGTCGGATGAGATTGGAGAAAGAGATGTAAACCCAACCGAGCAGCTGATACAAAAACACTCAAATCTGAACCCTAAAGTGATAAATTTAGGGTTGCACTATGAGCCCGATTCTGTGATTTAATATCAAATATCAAAACCATTTTTAAAATGTGTTTAACCTTGTTTTAAGTTCTTGATTAAGGATTAGTGTTTAGTTAAGTGATGTCAGGAAAAGCTCCTATTCCAACCCCCCGGACATTACCCCGGGAGAAGGGAAACAAACAAACCCACCCCGGAACTAGTAAATTGGAGAGAAGAGATGTAAACTCTCGAATCCTGAGTAGGACGGGAGAAGTTAAGGGTTGCAAACTGGACAGTACGGGGGAGGAGCATAGATTATGCTGTAACCCTGCCTGGGCTAGCCAGGAGCAACGGTCAACCTGTCCTAATCGGTCAGAAAGACCGGAAATGTCTGGTTACGGGTCAGGAGATGGATTACAGGAATATAGCAGATCCGGTTCCGCTCAAACCCAAACCTTCTCCGACTATCTAAACGAACATAATGAAGAGAAGACATCAGATTATTTTGAGGATTTGGAGGGACCGGATTTAAGTGCTCTAATTTGCTCTGTAGAGCAGGATATTATGCTCTTGGAGCAACTAGAGGTTCGAAGCTGTGATAGAAGGGGATCCCTTCCTCTTCCTCTTTCCTTCATGTCGGCCGACCTTCTCTCCCTTCCCGGATATAGACCAGGGAAAGGTAACATTTATTAAAAACAAATAATTTGTTACCAAGTTAAATCGTTTTTAATGAACTAGAATATAAAACTGTGCTGAAAGATGATGGATAGGAATAATTACAAATTTTGGAAGACATAAACAGAGAACGCCCTTTCTCTCTTCCCCCCCCCCCTCTACTTCTTTAAAACCCACACACTTTGCAACTTATTTTAGGGCTTTAGCATATTATACCCCACCTTTCAATATTCTTGAGGATATTAAGTTACTGAATTTGAGTTGCAAGAATAGGTTTAAAGTTATTTGCTAAATTTTTGTTGAGATTAAAATTAAATGAATAATAGTTTGTTAAGTCTGCCATTCAATTTAAAAATCCCGTTTAACCTTTTCCCGTGCAAAAATCCGACAAATGTTGTCGAGAGTCTATCTAAGTTATATCAAAGTTTACCTTTATTATCAAATTAATTTGATTAATGATTGATCTAAATTTGTAATTAACTAATCTTCCTCATGTAATTTATTGGATTAAAATTAATCATGTCAGATTTAATCTTACTCAATCGATGTTTGTGTTGATCTTGTTGATGATCAAGTTGGAGGAGCTATATCGTATCGTGGAGTAGGGTTTTGTATTCTGCAGTAGAAAAGAGCTGGTAGGAGTTCTGTATTCTGCATGTTCTAGCCGCGGTGCTCGGCCCCCTAGTCCATTCTAGCCGCATCGCTCGGCCTTTATTGCAGCCTGCGGAGCCTCTGAGGGCCTATGCTAACCTGTTTCTGCTTGGGAAATCACACATTTGGGAAGTTGCCACTTGGGTAATAGTTACTTGGGAAGTCGCCCTTGGGAAAATGCCTTTGGGAAAGTACCTAACATCATTCTAACTTGTAGTAGAGTAAAAAGGTATCCTTTGACCTGGAGTAGAATGGAATAGATATTCTCTAACCTGGAGTAGAATGAAACAGGTATTGTCTAACCTAAAGTAGAATGGAATAGATATTCTCTAACCTGGAGTAGAATGGAATAGGTATTCTCTAACCTGGAGTAGAATGGAATAGGTATTCTCTAACCTGGAGTAGAATGGAATAGGTATTCTCCAATCTAGAGTATGTTGAAATAGGTATCCTCATACATGGAGTAGAATGTAAAAGGTTCCTCTAACCTGGAGTAGATAGGTATTCTCTAAGCTGGAGTAGAATGGAATAGGTATTGTCTAACCTAGAGTAGAATGGAATAGGTATTCTCTAAGCTGGAATAGAATGGAATAGGTATTCTCTAACCTGGAGTAGAATAGAATAGGTTTTCTCCAATCTAGAGTATGTTGAAATAGGTATCATCTGACATGGAGTAGAATGGAATAGGTTCCTCTAACCTAGAGTAGATAGGTATTCTCTAACCTGAAGTAGAAAGGAATAGGTATTTTTTAACTTGGAGTGGAATAGAAAAGATATTCTCTAATCTGGTTTCCTTTAACCTGGAGTAGAATGAAGTATTAGGTATCCTCTAACCTGGAGTAGGATGAAAAAGATATTCTATAATTAAGAGTAGAATGGAATAGATATTCTTAAAGCTGCAGTGGTAGATTGTAATAGATATTCTCTAACCTGGAGTAGGCAGTAATAGGTATCCTCTAAGCTGGAGTAGAATGGAGAAGGTATCCTCTAACCTGGAGTATAATGGAGAAGGTATTCTCTAACCTGGAGTAGGATGGAAAAGGTATCATCTAACTTGGAGTAGATTGTTATAGGTATTTTCTAACCTGGAGTAGAATTAGATAGGTATCATCTAACCTGGAGTAGAATTGAATAGGTATTCTCTAACCTGGAGTAGAATAGAATAGGTATTCTCTAACCTGGAGACGGAGTACAATAAAATAGGTATCCTTTAACCTGGAGTAGAATGGAATGTGTATTCTCCAAACTGGAGTAGGTATCCTCAAATCAGGAGTAGAATGGAACACGGTAATATCAACCTGGAGTAGGATAGTGTTTTAGGTATCCTCTAACCTGGAGTAGATTGGGGTAGGTATTTTCTAATCTGGAGTAGAATGGAATAGGTATTCTCTAACTTAGAGTAGAATTGAGTAGGTGTAGGTGGAAAGGTTGAAGCGTCTCTTTATCTATCTTTTTCTGTCCTTACATGACACTTCTCCGATAAGGAACAATACATAATTTTAGTCTCATTTTTATTCATCCGTAGAAAATCTTTTAATCCAGTAAACTGCCTGCGATTGCGATTGGAATGATGTTTATTATCCTTCAACAGTTTACCTTTTTCTTGTTGATATGTTCTTGTTATTCAGATCATACCACGCAAATTAGAATGAAAACAATAGCTCCGCCAACGTAAATTTTGTTAGTGAGCTTATCAGTGAATCTCTGAACCGTGTTGGGTTTTGCTTCAGACCCCCCCCCCCCATCCCCCTCCGCTCTTGACACAACCTGGAGTAGACAAAACCTTAAATATTCTGATGAAAGAAGAAACAAGAAAACTGTAACAGCTAGGATAAACAATAAATGAGTTTGGAAAAACAAACAATAAGGTTCAAATTAATGAACAAATATGCAAGACGAATTCTAAACACTAGGGTGTTTTTACCATCCAAATAATCCAGTCTTATTATGCTTTAGTTTAGTGTCTAGTATAAAACTCAAATCAATCATTTTTCTGAAGTGTTAAATTTTACTGAATTTTAAAATTAAATTCATTAGGACAGTTAGCAAACAGATAAGGAAATAGTTTCAATTCATTCAATACGTCAAAAATAATTCACACCAAGGAATGAGAAAAGGGGGCGGGGAACTATGAAGGGGGGGGGATGAGTAGATGGGATAGGGGAAGGGGGTAGTTAGGGAGGATTCTAATTATCTCTATGTTATGCTCCCCGACCCCACTAGTTCTACACCTGTTGGTTCAGCTGGGAATCAATTTCATTTTTCAGATTCCAGAAATTTTGGTTCACCTGCTTCCAGGGATACTTCTCCTAGTTCTGAGACCAACTCCCGGCCCGCTTCTCCGCCCTATTCGCCGTCTCCCCCTTCCTGGAGACCTGACGAGGCGGAGAACAAGGCAGTTGTAAATCCTGGCTACGATGCTCTTCTCTATCGCAGACTTTACAACACTCCGCCGCCTCCACTACCGCCTAAATCTGGACGGAGGCGGAGAAACTCAGATTCCGCTGTGAGTGATTGTTCTCCGCCATCTCCGGATACTCCTCTATCTCCGGCGGAATCCTACCTAGCGGGGCAGCTAGCCCAACATACCGCTAGACCAAGGTAAAAAAGATATTAAATATATTTTTATCTGTTTGAATTTTCATTTAATAAAACAATTAAGAATCGTTTTTCTAACAGACAAGTGTTTTGTCCTTTGTGCCTGGCAGCTGTTTATAATCCTGATCAGCTTCACACTCATCTCCTCGCCTCTCATCCTCAGGAGCTTCATCTGCTCCGAGTACAAGAGTTCTCATCCTTCCAACCTGAAACCTGTCCTTGCTGCAATGCTCAGTTTCTCAGAGTAAGTTTATTCTTAAATCTAAATAGGTTCTCAGAAGAGCTCAGATAGCGATTGAAACATGTTACAATATGAATCAATCTTACAACATTTTGTTAGGTTCAGTTTATTTATTATTTATTATGTAGTTTATCAGGAAAGGTTACAACTTTTATAACCTTTTCACTCAAGAAGTAGAATTCAGCTCAACCTACTCCTAGTGACCACACAAACAGAGCTACTTAAGCTGGACATTGCATCGATCTTAATCAAAATATGCATTCATTAATTTAAACATTCATTCTTTATTTCATTCATTCATTCCCATTTATATTTTGCAGTATCAACTACCCAATGGTCACTTCCTTAACTCCGAGCAATTTATATTTGGTGCATATACATGATGCAATACAATACATCCATACATACGTACATGTTTGTTTGTCTGTCCGTTTTTATTCAGTAAAAGTCAAAACGGCTGAACCGATCGGGTCCAAATTTCTTTCGCTAATTCGGACAGAAAATCCCCAAAATTTGAAATTATTTTAAATTGCCGACTTTTAGAGCAATACATAAAAGCTTTAAAACTATTTACAGGAAAGGGGCGCGAAGCGCCCAAAAAATCTAGTGCTCATACATAATATTTACTTGTAGCCAATTTCTCACACCTGCAGTATAGACTAATCAGAACTATTTAAATCCTGTCCGCAGTGTAAGAATGTCAAGGGTTATAATAAACAAGTTCGGCAGATAAAGGAATTGAGTCTTCGCTCCAAATTCTGACTTCCCAATCTCTAGATCTTTTCAACTCAATGTCGTAGACCTTAAATACTTAAAACTAGGAATTTATAATCTTAGTTTGAAATACCAAGTGTTTACACCATCAGGTTTACAAGATATATGGATTAGAACATTTGAGTTTGTGGCAAAGACTCAATTCCTTTAAACTTAATGCAACCGATTAACAACATTTGAAGACAAAAACAAAAATGTGTTCATACGTAGCATTGAACAGAAAATTTGATTAAATATCTTTATTGCTTAAACTAAACCAATCCAATATGACATCTAAATAATAAACATCTATACAAATGTATGTTACATCCCTTTCAAAGACGGTAATCTTTTTTTCTAAATATCCCTTTCTTTAGTGTTTGATCATTTAAATGATGGTTTCAAATCGGTTCCATCAATCTAAATGGAAAATAAGGGTTTGATGATAAGATACATGAATAACACACCCAAACTTAATTCTGGAGTAAGGAATAAAACGTTCTCAACATGATACCAAATTTTCAAATCTCATAACAATTCAAATCCGTCCTTTATTTATTAAAACTCTTCCGTTAAAATCTTGACACAGGGAGTCCAATAAACATTGGATCCTAGTGGCATAATTATTTTAATTAGCTTGAAACCCTGTATAATGTTTATCTATGAGGTTTAATGGCCGGATATATTGAATATCCCAGAATAATTGGAGGAATTTTCAAATTAACATCCTTTAACTTCTAAATCTAAACCGTTTATATTTCAACCTGAAATATGAACTCTAAAATAGATTGAACAGAAAATCATTAACGATTGATTTAATTTTAATAATTAGTGGTCAAGGTTAGTTTTTGTTTAAAGAAATTGCTTTTTCAACCAATTAAGGGGTGTAAATAAAACCCCACACCTCCCGCCACTTCTACATAATGTGCTTTTGAAGACACACAAAGTATTTAGGTTTGAAGGAAAATGAATATTTAATATTTGAATGATTTGAAAATCTCCAAATATGGATGTAAACTGTAAACCCAGTGAACCCCGCACTGTATAATCAAACCTAGAATCGTTAGTTAGAGCTTAACAAGCTTCTCTCTCTTGAATTATCATAAAAATGAATTTCCAGAAAACATGAAAAAAGACGACATTTTCACACATAGATTCAGCCTCCTTATAAAAAGTCTCATCAAGTTTTAAGAAAAGGTCGACTTTTAAGTGTCTCAACGCCTCGGACTTTGATTTTACCTCTACAACTTACTTATGCTTTTCCGTCGCCCTTTATATGTACATTTTATCACCATAAAACACTTGTTGTTAGCTTTGGTTTTCAAGAAGTTATTGGCAACATTCTCCCCGATTTTTGCTTGAGAGTTTGCAAACTTTAAAAGTACAGTGTCACCGTTTAGCATGGTTGTTTGAAAAAATTTTGATTAAATAAAACAAAAATTGTCTATTTTTGAACTAAATCATTAATATCTCAGGAGATATGAAAGCCCAAAAAAGTCAGACCATATTTTTTAATGGCAGGGCTTGGGTTATTTTGTGATTATTGTTTAATGAAAAATATTTCTAAAAACGGGGTTTTGAATTAATTCTACAAACTATTTCAAATGTCTAAGAAAAATTCCTTTTCTTTAAGAATATTATTGTTTGCATATTTTCTAAAAAGTAAACATCGAACAATTCCTAAAAAGAACAAAAAACAATATTTGTTTCGATTGAATCACAAAATATTGATTAAAAATTAAATTTCTGAACTTGAGTATCAGGTTGCATATTTTCCCGGTTCATATGATTCGTGACAATATTTTGATATTTCTCTCTCCGCACCCTCCTGGATCCTGGATAAACAAATCTTAGGTTTTCATCAAGGCGGGGCCGCCTGTTTACATTCAAATGATTTATTATCTTTTCTCAGTTTATCACCAAATCTGGTAAATCTTATATTTGGCAAGAGAATATTCTAGATTTCAGATTCTTAAAACCAAAACCGTTTCTTTTGCTTCAAACTAAACCTACCGGGTTTGGTTAAAGTAACATTCACAATTAAAATTTCATTTGCTGCAAATATAGATTGAAAACTTATCAACTTTTACTTTTCACCACCTTTAAACTTTTTAACGTTCCATACAAACTTATAAAAAGTTTTACTTAACTGCAGAGTTTGAGTAAAATAAGATGAATGTATTTTTTAATTTTTTTGAAAATTAGGTTAAAAGTTTTTAATTGATTTTAATTGTTTCACTCCAGGCTTTGACAACCTTAGTATTTTGAAATATTATTGTAAACAATAATACCACATTGGAAAGGAACTGAGTACTTGTCACAAACTTTGATTTTTTATCTCTATATCTTTGCTACCTAATGTCGTAGACAATTGATATTAAAACTATGAACTATGTTAGATCAAATAATATAAGTTTGAAATATCACTGAAACCATCAGGTTGCAAAGATATAGGGATTATACATTTTGAGTTCTACGCAAAAACACACTACCTTTACTTTAAATTTGTTATATGAAATAAGGTATAGAAGGGGCCTGTGTAGGCACGATATAAAGATAATAAAATTATAACCCCTCCCCCTAATTCTCTCCCGTTTAGTCCGAAATGTTATTTTCGGATCCTATGTTAGAAATATTAAACTACAAGTGCATCATGTCCTCCATTAGTAGATCTCAATGTGTGCACTGTAAATGCATACAACCGCCCCCAACCCTCCTTTAATGTTTATTATCATGACGCCTTGTCAGCCATAAACCTTCATATTTCAACAAGAATTAATAAAACTTTAACAAATATTGTGGTTGGAATTAATGAATAGTGAGAACTAGTTGAACTAGGTACGGATAGTTTAACTTCTTCTTTCTACACAAAGCATGGGTTGAGTTTTCTCTGTCCTGTCTGAAATCAACGCATTGATAAGATAATAAGATTACTCTTTTCTAATGAAGTGAGTACTCGAATCAAACTCTGATCCCAATATCTTAGCAAATCTTTAACCTTCAGATCTAGCAATATTCTTAGTAAGAAATATAAAAATATGTACCAGGTTTTAAAGATACGAGGTTAAGAAAATTTGAGTTTTTGGAGTTTTTAAATGATTTTGCTAAGGTCTTTCATTCTTTTTAGTTTTCCTTTGTACGTCCCTCCCTGGTTAGAACTTTAAATATATGAGGATAAGAAAATTATTAAGGAAAGAAATCAGTTTAAAATGATTTTTTTTGAGTTTTTTTTACACTTTTTATATTTTTCTTTGTAAGTCCCTGGCTAGAATTCTCCCTCTATTCTCCTCCCACCCTAGTTCTCCCACACACACCAACATATCTAGTTAATTTGCAGTTTCAATCTGCACAATCAACAAGATATATAATTTATACAATGTTTCTGCACAGCGCGTGGTCGTATTTGCCATTTCTGCAATCCTTTAATCCTTTACAGTATACAGGGTGAGATTATTAAACATGACAAAACATGTTACTAAAAAGATAATGCAGATATTTTCCCGGTCACCTTGTGTCAAGGTCGTAAAATAAGCAGGACTACTTTCGATGCGCTCCAATGTACGGAAAATGTCGTCTCCTAAGATAGATAGAAAAAAAAATAATATGACGTCACTTATTATAGAGGTGAGAGTGACAAAATTATGTTTCTATCTATCTTAGAAGACGACATTTTTCGTACGTTGGAGCGCATCGAGTGTAACCAACCTTATTATACAACCTTGCCCTGTGTGGATCACATTGAACACATTGTGCTGTGCATGAGATATTTATTGGACCATACTGTACATATTCCAGGTCCAGATTCATTCTAAATTATCTTATTCATCTTACATTTGCCAGACCATTAGTTATCTCAAAACTTTTTCCTTTTAAATTATTTGGCAAGGAACGCGCTGCTATATTATGTATCCTAAGAAGGGGGGAATTATTAAGCCTCCATGTTGTATTACATACTCTGAGAAGTGAGAAAATATTAAACCTCCTGTTGTATTAAATACCCTGAGAGGGAGAAAATATTCAACCTCCTGTTTTATTATATATCCTGAGAAGGTAGGAATTATTAAACCTCCTCTTATATTATGTATCCTGAGATTGTAGGAGTTATTAAACCTCCTGTTGTATTATATACCCTGAGAAGGTAGGAATTATTAAACCTCCTGTTGTAATATATACTCTGAGAAGTGAGGATTATTAAACCTCCTGTTGTATTATATACCATAAAAAGGTAGGAATTATTAAACCTCCTCTTATATTATGTATCCTGAGATTGTAGGAGTTATTAAACCTCCTGTTGTATTATATACCCTGAGAAGGTAGGAATTATTAAACCCCCTGTTGTAATACATACTCTGAGAAGTGAGGATTATTAAACCTCCTGTTGTATTATATACCATGAGAAGGTAGGAATTATTAAACCTCCTCTTATATTATGTATCCTGAGATTGTAGGAGTTATTAAACCTCCTGTTGTATTATATACCCCGAGAAGGGAGAAAATATTCAACCTCCTGTTGTATTATATACCATGAGAAGGTAGGAATTATTAAACCCCCTCTTATATTATGTATCTTGAGAAGGTAGGAGTTATTAAACCTCCTGTTGTATTATATACCCTGAGAAGTTAGGAAACCCCTCTGTTGTACTACCCAGAGAAGGGAGGAACTATTAAACCTCCTGTTGTATTATATACCCTGAAAATGGAGGAATTATTAAACCTTCTGTATTGTATTATATACACCCTGAGAAGGGCTGAATTATTAAACCTCCTGGCCTGGTCACTCATATGTATAATATGCTGTAGTTCTAACCCAACTTTTATTGCTCAAGTTTTTACAGTTTATTTTGCATATATTTACAAAACATACAAACAAGCAGCTGTAAACCAGGAATATTTTGATCCAATATATTTTATCTTTTTCAAGGTAATATTTTAATATATTAAAATCACAGTAAATGGCTTTTAAAGGGCAAGTTAGCCCTTTAAGCGAAAACTAATTTCGATTTCGATTTCCTAAAAACTTCCGTGGTTTCCTTTTATTTTATCTACAGTTTGATCCAGAACTTTGGGGACATCCAAAAGAATTTATAAAATGTCGTTTTCTAAGCGCTGCAGCAGATATTTAGTTTTTTTATTAAATAATTAATTATATGGAGGTCTAAAAAACTATTCCCGCATATTTCATGACTATTTTTTTTTTTTTACAATTTCTGAGATATGGGTATAATGGTATAAAAACCAATGAAAAATTGTCAAGACGACATTTCATAAATTATTTCGATTGTTCAGAAGTTCTGGGTTAAACTGTGTCTAAGTCTAACCATTGGTAGAAAGAATAGGTGTGCTCCCCGCCCCCGCCGCCTTCAAACCAACGATGTTCATTGACTAGATAAATATAAATATAAATATAAAACGAAATAAATCAACTTATTTTGTTTGAAGCAGAACTTGATTTGTGTATTCAAAAATTTCAAAGAAACTGAATTTTTGCCAGAAAATCAAATTTTCTTATCCCATCTCTGCAACCTGACGGCGTGTAAACCATTGATATTTATAATCAAGCAGAATTAATAGTTTGAAATATCAAAGGTCTACAACATCGGGTTGCAAAGATATCAGGATTAGAGTTTGTGACAAAAACTCCATTTCTATTCATACTAACATTTTTAAATTAAAACTATTACTTTTTTAACATTTTCTTGATCTAGATAAATAGTGTCGATGTTTAGAAAGAAGAACAATCTATCTATCTAAATGTTCTTGGTCTAGATAAATAGAGTCGATGTTTAACGCGCCCCTTCCTATGATCCTACAGGGGAGGATATCGCCCCACCCCCCTAAAATATAAAATTTAGTTCAATTTATCAATTTTTCAAATGTAATACTGTGATTATTGATAATCTTTTTGAGTAAATTTTTTAGTTTGCTATAAAAACAAAACAAGAATTAGTTTTGATAATAAAATTTCTATGTAAGCTATAGTTATTATTAAATTCAAGCTTACTAGAAACGTATATTCATAAGATAACGCTAAGTAATAGATCTGATGATAAAACGACATAAAATGTTAAAGATCATCAAAATTAAGCTAAAATTGCTATAGGAATTGAGTCTTTGCCACAAACTCTGAATTTATAATCCCTATACCTTTGGAACCCAGTGTCGAAAATCTTTGATATTTCAAACTTATATTATTTGATCTAACAGAATTCATAGTTTTAAATATCTAAGGTCTACGACATTGGAATCCAAACATATAACGTTTAGAAAAGCAGAGTTTGTGTCAAAGACTCAATTCCTTTAATCATGAAATTATGAAAATGTTCTATTTAATGGTAGTTCAGTTTAGTACACTTTGTCTATGGGGCCTCGAGTACCATCCATGAGAAGAGTATAATTCACATTGTTTTCAAGGTTCCATAAAGGAATTGAGTCTTTGCCACAAACTCTGATTTTCTAATCCCTACATCTTTGCAATCGTAGACCTTAGATATTTCAAACTACGAATTCTTTGAATTCAAATGATCTAAATTTTAAATATATAAGGTTTACACTTTAAGATTGCAAAGATATAGGGATTCGAGAACTCGAGTTTGTGGCTAAATTCCTTTACCAAGATTATGCATGTACACACATTCCTCTGTATGTTGGCTATTACTAGGAATTTGTCCAGGGGGGGGCTTACATTTTTTATCTTTCCAGGGGGGGGCTGTCAATAGATTTCACTGGTCCAGGGGGGGCTTAGCCCCCATAGCCCCCCCCCCTGAATACGCCTCTGATTAGCCTTTTTACATAATCCAATCAAAAGAATTAACAATAACTCACCCAATCTATTTACAACACCTTTAAACTTAGAAAAACATGTGTCACAATAATTGTATTTTAAAAAGAACGTGCTCATTGAATTTCTCTTATTTTGCTAATTAAAGTGAAAAAGTGCATAAATGGCAAAAATAAAGTTTGCTCACACTTTTTATTCTTTTCTAGACAACTGAACAACGTTATCTCAAGACTCTCTCCTTTATCTCCGGACAGGTAAAAATATGTCGTCTTTTAATAGATAATCCGACAGGTACAAATATGTTGTCTTTTAATAGATAATCCGACAGGTACAAATATGTCGTCTTTTAATAGATAATTCGACAGGTACAAATATGTCGTCTTTTAATAGATAATCCGACAGGTACAAATATGTCGTCTTTTAATAGATAATCCGACAATGTTTGACAGACATACAATTACAAAGGAATTTAGTCTTTGCGACAAACTAAAATGTTATAATCCCTATATCTTTACAACCCAGTGGTTTAAGTTTGAACCTTTGATATTTCAAAATTAAATTATTTGTTTTTACATAAAAGAGACAGACAACAACGATATACAAACAAACAAAGACAACAAACTAATACAAGAAAGATAAAGAGACAAACAAAAATTATTAAAAAATATACGATCAGACAATAGCAATAAATGATAAAAAATATACGATCAGACAATAGCAATAAATGATAAAAAATATACGATCAGACAATAGCAATAAATGCAACCTAGATCTTTAAGGATCTGAGTTTTTGCCAAATCAAACAATCATAATTTCATGATTTAATTTTCTAGCTGTTTCTCCGAAGAGCATCATTACACTGATCCAAAACCTGAAAATAATTACCTAAACCTAGAGAAAAAATCAAACCTTGCAAACCCAAAGCATCTACAGTTCCTACAAAACAGGTGATAAAGCTGAGAAAAGAAAAATTCACATTCAAATTTTTTTTTAAAAATCAGTATTGTATTTTATATCCTTTCATAAAAACTTCAGCATTTTTATGATGAAAAGAAGTCACTAATGATACATTTATTTTTATAGAATTCTTCCAAACAACTATATGACACCAAACAATGGAGTTCGTCGCCGACTGGAAACCCCGGTCAAAATTGAAGAAACTATATCTGGAAACAATGATAGAGATCGTCTTCATTATCCTGGATCCCCTAGTCAATACATTTACGAATCAATCGACTCACCTCAGGTTATTATTTTTCTTATATTTTTTAAGGACAAACTTTCATTTTTTAATTAATTAATAATCATGGTTTTTTAGGTGGAAAAATATCAAAATGAACAAAAATTTTCAAGAAACTTAAACCTTGGATCCTTCAGACAACGATCCCAGGATAGCAAAAGATTAAAAAAGACAGATAATTCTGATCCCCACCGATCCCGTCGAAATAGTTTCACCGAAATCCAGGATCGAAAACGGGATCGAACCCCACAGCGCTGCCGACATACCCGGAGTTTCCGAAGAGAAGGAGGATCTCGACTCACTGGGTTGGAAACTTATCAAGGATTACCCCAACCTGAACCTCCTTCCCTACCAATTACAGGGATAGGATCAGAGAGTGATTTACTTGAACCGGACGGATTGAGTTTAAGTTACTCCAGATACGGAACTGATCTTCTCTTTAGGTATTTTTCAATTGTATTGTAAACATTGATATTATGTATGTCATTAATCATTATTTTCATTTTCAAAAGTCAAATTAATCACAAATCGACTCCGATATTTTGTCTGATGAACAGAACTTTGAATATCATATTAGATCATCTCCAAGCTTTAACGCCAAAATACGCACATAATACTCGAAAAAACTGGTATTTTCTGAAAAAAACTTTTTTTAATAGCCTTATACATTTTTTCATACGATTCTTTTTATTTTCTGATTTATTCTTTAAATCTAAATTTAGAGCCATAAATGATTTTTTTCCTCTTTAGAGATAAAAGCATATGAATTGTTTAGATGCAACCTGTGCGGAGAAAGGTTTGCTGATAACGGTGTTCTCCTGGTTCATCTTAAATCCCGACATCTAGCGGTCAGTCGGGCACTGAAACCTCAGTACAGCTGCGGACAGTGTCCTGCCAGGTATATAACATACGGTAAACTAATGAATGTGCACGTTTTCATCCGATAATCTGAATTTTGCCAATTACTCCTTTTAGACCATGAAGCTAGAAACATTGTACAGTCTACAACAACAAAATTAAAAAGACATAAAGTTCAAACCGAATTTAGGTATTGAGGCCTTTTATTCCCTATAAAATTCTTAAATCCTACAAAAAATTTGTGCTTAGCTAAAATATAAAATGTTTTTTTTCATGAAGAAAACATGTTTAAATTACATTCTTAACTATAATATATCTTGATCAAACATTAATTTAATTTAATTTTAAATTTTTAAATTTATTTTAACTCTTAAACTATTTCAGATTTTTTAAGAACAGTTTTCTCATCAAGCATAGTCTTACTCATCAATCTCAAAACTAAGGAGCTTACACTTTAATCCAATCCAAGATCTAATCTGTACTTCTACTTCTACACCAACCCAGAGAAATACAGACCTTCAAGCAGTGCAATGTTACTTTGGAATTTGGTGCTTGCCCGAGTTGAGTTGCCACTGGCAGATTGCTATGGCAACTCTTTGCTTTTTGAACATTTTTAAGGTTGCCAATATGAGTAGTTTAAATCTTCTCTGCATTAAAGTTTAGCCGTTCAATCCTTCTTTTATTTAAGTTTAGTAATACAAATCCTTCCTCCGTCCTAGCTGAGCAGTTTAAGTTTCATTCAAGTTCAGCAGTTTAGATACTTCCTATATATTCATTCTAGTTCAGCAATTTAGATACATCCTATATATTTATTCAAGTTCAGCAGTTTAGATACTTCTTATATATTTATTCAAGTTCAGCAGTTTAGATACTTCCTCGATCCTTTAATTCAAGTTGAACAGTTTAGATACTTTCTCGATCCTTTGATTCAATTTGAACAATTTAGATACTTCCTCGATCCTTAAATTCAAGTTGAACAGTTTAGATACTTCCTCGATCCTTTAATTCAAGTTGAACAGTTTAGATACTTCCTCGATCCTTTAATTCAAGTTGAACAGTTTAGATACTTCCTCCTTTTATTCAAGTTGAGCAGCTAAAGTCCTTTCCTCATTCATTCATTCAAGTTCAGCAGTTTAAATCTTTCGTGCATTCATTCAAGTTCAGCAGTTTAAATCTTTCCTGCATACATTCAAGTTCAACAGTTCAAATCTTTCCTGAATTCATTCAAGTTCAGCAGTTCAAATCTATTCTGCACTCATTCAAGTTCAGCAGTTCAAATCCTTCTTGCATTCATTCAAGTTCAGCAGTTTAAATCTTTCCTGCACTCATTCAAGTTCAGCAGTTCAAATCTTTCTTGCATTCATTCAAGTTCAGCAGTTTAAATCTTTCCTGCACTCATTCAAGTTCAGCAGTTCAAATCTTTCTTGCATTCGTTCAAGTTCAAAAGTTTAAATCTTTCCTGCATTTATTCAAGTAAAACAGTTCCAATCTTTCCTCCATTTATTCAAGTTCAGCAGTTTAAATTCTTTCTCATTTCCAGCCAAGAAGAATAAATCCTTTCTCCGTTTGAATTGAGCAGATAAATTAAAATCCTTTCTCCATTTATTCAAGTTTATCAGTTTAAATCCTTTCTCCTTTCAAGTTAACAATCATAAATCCTTTCTCCTTTTAAATTGGGCAGTTATCATTTCAAGTTCTCATTTCAAGTTAAGCAGTATATAAATCCTTTCACATTTAAAGTGAAGAGAAATAAATCCTTTTTCTATTTAAGCTGAGCAATTAAACTTTCTTACATTCAAGATGATCAGTGAGCAGTTTAAATTCTTCCTTTATTAAAAATAAGAAGCATAAATCTTTTTTTCCATTCAAGTAGAGAAGTTCAAATCTGTCCTCCATTCAAACTAAGCAATTAAACTTTCTTCAAATAAAGCAGTTTAAATCCTTCCTTTATTTAAGACTAACTGAAGTGCCCGGCCCGTGGAATTTAGAAAAAAGTATAGCAATTAAACTTCCTATATTCAAATAGAGAAATTAAACTTCCTCTTTTAATATAGAGCAATTAAAATTCCTCTATTCAAATAGAGCAATTAAACTTACTTCCATTCATGTAGTGCACTTAAACTTTCTCTATTCAAATAGAGCAGCTTAAATCTTTCCTCGGCTCCAGTCAAGCAGTTTAAATTCTTCCACCATTCTGAATACCCTATATTTTTAAAAGAAGCATTTCAAATCCGGCCTTAATTCAAAATAAGCAGTTTATTCTTTGATTACTAAATTCAAACTATTATCCTTTTCCCTCCATTATATGATTTATATTTTATATGTTTCTTTCCTTTCCTTAACAAAAAGAGTGCAATCACAATTTTACGAGAGCTTTTCCATTCGTCTTTATCATAAGCCTGCTTTTCCTATCGTTCTGCCCTGTAGTAAATTCTGTTTTCAAACCAAGACCCAAAGCCAAAGGTCTGTTCAATGTGCCTAAATGTAAAGAAATATCTATTGTACTGTTGAATTAAAAATATATGTATTTGTAAGTAGTACAACAGATTGTACAAAAAAACTAATAAACATTTCAGCGTTTATATAGTTTATATATCCTAATGTTTTCTTGAAAATATGTAATTCAAAATATATAAAAGTTACTTTAATGAACGCATAGACGATTTAGTATCTTTAATTAAATTTAGGTAAGTAAGATTGAGAGCAGAGGTAATAGAGTACAGAGATCTATTACAGGCTAGAATATACGATATCTTCCAAAGCAGGTTCTATTGTGTACAACTGGAGTACACAACCAATAAGCAGACGTCTGTATATTCAGGGATATTTAAGGATCCTTTGGATGCTATGACAAAATCTTCAAAAATAGACTTGATTAATAATTTTTTGCTTTATGTTAGAAGTTTAGTAATTCTTTAAATCTTGTAAAATATAACTCCTGAAATGTATGCAACAAGTGGCCGTTAGATGGCAGTCAAAAACCTTTTGTGGAAATGAATTCATGTCCCGTTGGGACTTCTTAGCCTATCCATAGAGACTTTAGAGCTTATAAGCAGTCTGGTGAATGAGAGAGACATGTCAACTCTAACCTTTCTCCGCATGTCAAGAATGAGCTGCAATTGTGAATTACAAAAAAGGCTACTAATGTTTTATTTAAGGACAAATTGGAAAGCAAAAAATATGATTGCAAAAAAATTCACTAGTGATTTCAAAATTGTATGCAAAATAATGTAAGTAAGATTTTTGAAATTCATGGATTATGGTTCGATCTTGGAAAATGAATTAAGGGCAAGTTTTTGTATTTTTCACAAAGCTGAGATTTTAAAAGTTCCCACATCCCAGCTGGCAATGTTAATACCTTCTCTTATCAATTATCATACAGTGAGATTGAGAACCAGGAATTTCTGGAATAAAAAGACGGCTTTTAGACTAAAGTTATGACTTTAAATAATTTCCAATGAAAATGATACACATCAATTGTGCAGTGTACACAGACTCATTTCACTTCATAAGTGATCCTTTATAAGTTACAAGTAAAAGCAGTTTTAATCGCATCTCTTGAATTTGTCCGACAACAATTCTGTGATTATATACAGTGAAACCCTTAATAACGAATACATTGGAAGAACTTATCAAATGTCGTCTTGACAATTTTTCAATGAGTTTTATACTATATTACGTAAATTTCAGTATTTGTGAAGATAAATAAATAGCCATGAATATGCGGGAACAGTTTTGAAGAGTTGCTTATAATCATTTAATTAAAAAACTAAATATCTGCAACATTCTATTATCAGAAAGTGAAGAATATGACATTTGATGAATTCTTTCGATGTATTCTTTATTAAGGGTTTCACTGTATGTTGCTCAGATGACGTTTACTCAATTAAAGGGAATGTTCATAATTGTTTATGGCGGTAATGGTTTTAAAATGTTCCTTATAAAAGTTCGCTCTTGATATATCATATAAAAAATCGACAACGCCTAATTAAAAAATTCGCTCCACTCATTTATCCAAATATCGGACCCCGTTTCAGAACTTGTAAACACATCTCTACAAAGAGAATAATTCTATATATTCTAGTTTATCCTTAGAGGATGCAAAATAATTGTTGTTTTAAAAACACATTTGTACGTAATAATGCTGTGGCATGGAATACCGTATTCGGTTGTACGGCTCGGCTGCCGGAAGACATAAAAGCTAATATGTGGCTTGGAAGGGAAAAATTTTGTGGCTTATGGGCGCCGTCTTGCCACGCTCACCAGAAAAATCAGAAGTTATCTTTTTCCTCCGATTCCGACCCTCTTCCTTATTCATTTTATTTCTGAATTGTCCTGCATGGAGCGGACTCAACCCTTAAAGTTTTAGCTATTTTAACACAATGTTAGAAATGAAAGCAATGTTAAAACATTAAAAAATAATAATTAACATACAGAGCGTCCCATATCATATTAGATTATCTACAAGTTTCAACGCCAAAATAAACCCATAATACTAGAAAAACCTATCATTTTCTGCAAGAAAATTCTTATATTAACCTTATTTAATTTTTCAAAATGATTCATTCTTCTTAAATTTTCTGATTAGTCCCGAAAATCGTAATTTAGACCGATTGACGATCTAATATGATGTGGGACACCCTGTTTATTAAATACGCATTTATAGTTATTAAATGTATTTTAGAGGGTATAAAGGCAAAAAAAGGCTATCTCTCTTGAATGACATAGACATAGATAATTTCTAATGGGTTTTTCAAATCAAAATGCATCAATAAATATCGGAAAATGTCATTGCATTGCTTTCTATGTCTAATATTGTGTTGAAATGGTTAAAACTGTAGCTCGACTCGACGTCCGCCCCATGCAATTGTCCGCTCCATGCGCATGACACTCATAACACCGTCGCCTAATCATTCAAGAAACGAAGACGACGTTTGTACTTTTCACAAAGTTATTGCAGCAATTGCGCATTCTGCATCTCACGAACAAAAACTTTTGACACGCTAACTTTTTTATTTACGAAATCTTGAATACTTTTCGTGATAAATGAAATTATTTTTCTATAATTCGGGTTACAAAAATTATGCTCTCTTCGAAATATTAGCCTACATTTATACGTTTATATTGCATCATTTTTTTAATATCCGCTATGTTCACGCATCACGACGGTCCAAAGTAAACGAAATCTTTCATTGTAGTGTGCTAATCTTAAATCAATATTTTGTCACCCTAATGGGGTCTGTCCTAGTATACGATTTTTGGACCCCCCCTCCCCCCCCCTCCTATCAATTTTGTACATGACCATTTATTTTTCAGCAAATTTATTATTATTTATTTTTTTGTTATTTAGGGTTAGGTTAGGTTAAGATACTTTCTGGGCCGAGCGCTGCGGCTAGGATGGGCTAGGGGGCCGAGCGCTGCGGCCACGGGTTAGGTTAGTTAAGACAATTTCTTTTGTTATTTAGGGTTAGGTTAGGTTAAGATACTTTCTGGGCCGAGCGCTGCGGCTAGGATGGGCTAGGCGGCCGAGCGCTGCGGCTAGGATGGGCTATGGGGCCGAGCGCTGCGGCCACGGGTTAGGTTAAGTTTAGAAACTTCTTGTCAGACCCATGTACAAAATTGATAGGAGGGGGGGGGTCTAAAAATCGTATACTAGGAAATTACCCCCTAATGAATTAATACTATTAATAGTTGTAAAGCTGGGAAATTCTTACATTCACGCGATCTTGATTCTTCAAACTTTTATTGATTAGAAATAAAGATTATGCTGCCGGTAATTTCCTGGAGAACAGTTTTTGGGGGCGGGGTCCAAAAATCGTTCTTTAGGAAATTACCTATCATTTTGTTCATGAATCTCGTATGTAACACATCGATATAATTGGTCATGTGGCCGCATCGCCCGGCCCCAGCATTCCTAGCCGCGGCGCTCGGCCCCCTAACCTGTTCTAGCCGCAGCGCTAGGCCCAGATTCCAGAAATGGTAAAAATGCGAGTTTTGGACCCCCTCCCCCTCCTATCAACTTTGTACATGGGTCTTATATGTAAGACAAGGATAAAATTGACCATGGGGCCGCAGCGAGAAATCGAGAAAATAGATAGAAATTCTATCAGAAATGATGCGCGAAATTGAAATTTGGTATTCTTTTCCCTTTTTGACAAATTTGATCAAAGATGTTCAACAATCATGATCACACTGGAGTCAAGTGAGGGGTGGGGGGGGGGGCGAAACGCGATTTGCCCCCCACTAGTGCGCCGCTATATATGTTGATTGTAACCCCCTCCTATAAATTTGTCCATTATACCATTTTTTTTAACTTAAATTATTTAAATTTATTATGGTATTTAGGTTTAGTTTTCTAGCAAATTACCTGTATGTATAACTAACTGGAAACTAGTGTTATTATGTTCTTATTTTATCTTGTTTTTTTCTTACAAGAAAGGATTTTATAACTTAAAATATGAATGAACTAGTTTTTTTCTTCATCCGTAGTCGTTTAATTATAATTGTAAACACTATTTTCAGATTACATTAATATTACAATGAAATTAGTTCACAAGGATCTTGAGAAGGGTGGGTCGGGGACAGTAGTTCTAGTTCCAGACGAACCTGAGGATATATGGCACGCTTACAATCTCATCATGGAGGGTGATAGCGTCAAAGCTAGTACAGTTAGGAAGGTAAACAAAGGGTATGAGAATGATACGGAAATTACTTCGAAGTTCGAAAGTTAAAGGGGGGACAGAAACGACCAATTTTGGTCATGAATTTAAATCAAATAATGTCAAATGCGAAAATGCTAAACTTGCACTATATTTTCTAGTTTTAGCTGTGGTATTATTATGTTAATTTAATTGTATGGTTTGCATTAAAACATTCTTGTAAATTTGTTATTAGGTGACTAATGAAACTGCCACTGGTTCAACCACCAGTAGTAAAGTTCGGACAATTTTGACAGTATCAGTAGAGAACATTTTTTTTGACACACAGGTATTAATATTGTTCTAATTTTCTCATGGAATTTTATCTTTCTATATCTGATAGCAACTATTACACATTAAGATTCTATTGCAGGGTCCAATTATTTGGTCAGTTTATCGAAAAATGAAAAGAGAAAAAAATTTCTGCTAAACAAACTATGATTACAAGAAATAAGACTCATCGCCCTCGGGCAAAAGTTACGCTTATGATATCTCGAGTGATTACAGGCCTGTATGCTTCGGTTAAAAGGAAGAAACATGGAGGAGAATCAATATGTTAAAATGGGAGCATATCACACAATAGATCTGGAACTAAATAGGTAAAAATACAATAAGAATATTAAGAAGGAGATCGTTATTGATTTGCCGCAGCCGTAAAATAAACTAATTTTCATTTCATTTTTAAGTTCTGTAAATTGTCCATATTGGCAAAAAAGGTTATCACTCTTGCAGATAAAAAAAACAACTTTGACTTACTAAGATTTCTTCATTGAAATATAAATAAATACATCAATTTCGATATATTTTTATATCCTCGTCATTGATTAAGCAATTTCGGTGCCAAAATCAGCCTTTTCTGTGAACGCGGTCATGTAGGGATAGACTTGTTAACGCTTAATATCTTGCATGGCTGGAATTTTATTTTACATAATATAACGCATGATTACAATGTTGAGGCATTTAGGAAATTTACGCTGCGTAAAAGAAATTGGGATACAATTCATCTGGACAGAATAGAACTGGCTTGTGACGCATCAAAACACGCAGAAGTTGCTGCCGTTGTTATGCAGGTAAAATTCGTGCGCTTTAAAAATTTTAAAAACGCGTTTTGGCATGAAATTCTTGATTCTCTTTTATTATAGATAAGAAACTGAACATATTAAATGCGTACACAGCTAAGTCATATTACATTTTTCTGTTTAGGAGGGTTTAGCTCATGTTTGTCTCGTGACCTCTAGTATGACGATAGTAAGAGCTAAGATCGATGCTCCGATTCCACGGAAACGACGAGGGGATTGCTCCCAACACGAGAAAGGATTGACTAAGTTTTATGATCAGATTATTCAAGCTCTTCTTAGGTTGGTATTACCAAATGCGGTTAAAGTCTAGAAATTAAAAGAGCGAATCAATAATTAAAGAAATTATGAATATTTTTCATTATCCTCTCACATACTTAATATTCTTTTTTTTTACTAGGCATGTAAATTTTGACGTAGTAAAAGCAATTTTAATCGCATCTCCTGGATTTGTTCGACAGCAATTCTTTGATTATATGTATGCTCAGGTGATGTGTTTACTCAAGGAATGATCATGATTGTTTATGACGAGTTATTATTAAATTACGAGTACTTTGGGGTAAAAGTTTTTAAAAGTTCAATAAAAATTTCGATGTTGATATAAATCAGAAACGACTTATTCATAAACATCTTCCCTTACACCACACATGTATCTTTAAACATCTTCCCTTACACCACACATGTATCTTTACCCCTTTCAGAATTTATAAACACTCTCTGCAAAGAGATTAATTCTATTTCTAGTTTATTGCAATGATTTAGAAGCTAAATAATTATTGTTGTTTTAAGAACCACTCATCTTTGTATAATATTAACCTCTTGATGAAAGATATGATAATATTAGGATCTGAAACTAATTCATTACCAATTTATTATTTTTACATATGGTTTCAAACATCCAAGCAAGTTATGAAAAAGTTTCAATTTAAATTTTCTCATCAGGCTGTGAAGACGGACAACAAGCTGTTGTTTGAGAACAAAGGGAAGTTTCTACTCGTCCACTCCTCCAGCGGGTACAAGCACGCGCTCAAGGAAGTTCTTCAAGATCCTGCTGTGCTTGCGCGTTTAGTCGATACCAAGGAAACATATCAATCAGAGATTCTTCTCATGTTCAATTCGTGCGTTTAAATGCATTATGTTTTCCTTGTATTACTATTAATATTTTTAAATGACAACCCACGAATAAGTGAATAGCGGTTGGCGCTTCTCTTCACCGAAATTTATGTACGGCCACTGTTAAAAAATGATTATACAATGTTATGGAATGTAAAGTTGTAACATAATCGCTCTGAGCTATCAAACTCAACCATTCTTATTTTTTATGCTGTAGCACAAAATAATACAGTTATTTTCTTAAATTGGTTAAAATTATTTAATTAATTTTATTAAAATATGGTTGATATTTTGTATCCAGGCTACTGAAGAGGTACGCACATTAGAAGCTTTCTATAAAATGATGAAGAACGAGCAGGCGCGTGCTTTCTATGGGCCTAAGCACGTATTTGCGGCGTGTGAAGCGGAAGCCATAGAAGTGTTACTCATTTCCGATAAACTGTTCAGAGCTGTCACTGTTGCAGAAAGAAAAAAGGAATCATTGCATTTACATAAGAAGAAATAGATAAATTATTCTACAGGTCTACCTGAAAAAGTGATAGCTCTTAAAATGGTTCAGGGATTTTATGTTTTGGCTAAAAATAAATCTCTAACTTATTGAGTTATTTTATGATTTTATGTTCGTGTTGGTAAAGCATTGATTTCGTAGTATGTGGATTTAGTAGATAAAGTGCGAGAGGCAGGGGGTAGTGTTAAAATTTTCTCCAGGTAACATTTAATTTTAATATTTTTATCTTGAAACTGAATGTTTCTATCCTGGGACCGAATGTTTCTATCCTGGGACCGAATGTTTCTATCCTGAGACCGAATGTTTCTGTCCTGGGACCCAATGTTTCTATCCTGGGTCCGAATGTTTCTATCCTGGGAGGCTTGGACCAAATGTTTCTATCCTAAGACCAAATGGAACTTATCAGGGAAATTAACAAAAAAAAACTACAGGTTTCTTTTAAGTTTTTACATTAATTGTTTTAGTTTACATGTTTCTGGAGAACAACTCGATCAATTAACAGGACTCTGTGCTATACTCAGGTGAAATATCCATCTGCTGTTGGGGGTTAAAATCTATGTTTTGAAGCTTTTTCTTAATTTTTTTTTTATATTTTTCCATTTAACAAGAAATATGTAGTCCATGGATTTGCGGAAAAAGAAATCAATTATTTAAAAGTAAATTATATTTATTTTGGATTTAGGAAGTACTTTATTTCATTCTTTTTTCTTAGGTTTCCTATGTTAGAACTAGAGGATTTAGATGAAACAGATTCAGAAGACGAAAATTAGAAGATTCTCTCCCAGCTTGAACCATCGGCGAATGAATCCATCCAAGGTGTCTAGAACCATCTGCTAATGAATCCATCCAAGCTGCGTGGTACGATCTGCTAGTGAACTCAACCACGCTGCGCGGAACTATCTGCCAATGAGTCCAACCACGTTGTCTGGAACCATCTGCCAATGAGTCCAACCACGCTGTCTGGAACCATCTGCTAATGAATCCAACCACGCTGTCTGGAATCATCTGCTAACGAACTCAACCAAGCTGTCTGGAATCATCTGCGATTGATTACAACCACGCTGCCTGGAACCATCTGCTAATGAATTCAACCACCCTGCTTAGAACCATATGCTAATGAATCCAACCAAGTTGCGTGGAACCATCTGCTTATGAATCCAACCACGCTGCCTGGAACCATCTGCTAATGAATCCACCCAAGCTGCCTGGAACCATCTGCTAATGAATCCAACCACGCTGCCTGGAACCATATGCTAATGAATCCAACCACGCTGCCTGGAACCATCTGCTAATGAATCCAACCACGCTGCCTGGAATCATCTGCTAATGAATCCAACCACGCTGCCTGGAACCATCTGCTAATGAATCCAACCACGCTGCCTGGAACCATCTGCTAATGAATCCAACCACGCTGCCTGGAACCATCTGCTAATGAATCTAACCACGCTGTCTGGAACCATCTGCTAATGAATCCAACCACGCTGCCACGAACCATCTGCTATGATTTCAATGTTGAAGAAACTTGGGAAGGATTTGTTCATTTGATGAGGAAGAAGAATTGAATCTTTTCTTAAACCAAAGTTTAATATATTCAAAACCCTCTTGCTATTGGATGAGAAAAAGGAGAATATATTTTATTTAGGTCTGGTTCCGGTGTTACGATCTGAACAGGCTCGGGGATTGATAAACTCGTACTTGGTTTTTGATAAACCTCACTCCACAATTACAGGCAAAACTACATACTGGAAGATATCTATGCTGTGATCATCAGTTCGGATTTTATATTAATAGTACTTAACTTAAGTTCAATTCAACTTTCCATGTTTAAACGGGTCTTAAGTTAAGGACTATAAATTTAAAATCTCTCCTCCGACTTAGTTTGAGTTTAATCAAACTGTGATAGTTTTCTATTTTCTTTCAGAATATAACTTTCAAGTAGAAATGTCTCTGTCTCAGGCCTCCGGGGGACAGCAGACCTCCTCATCCGCCCAGGTTATATCATTAAAGGCAAAGAGGGATACATGCCCGATTATCAACGATAACTAGATTCAAGAATGAATGAGTTATGTTTTTTACTAATACTATTTCCTGTTGTGGTTCTCTACTGAAGTGACTTCAGGAGTTTTGCAATAGAAACATTGGAGGAAATAGTCAAAATGGAACATTTCTCAAGCTATAAAAACGACGATATCTTCCACATCATTGATAATATTGAAGTTCTAAATGGATCGCGGTTAGACACAGGGTCACTAAATATTTTGATGTCCATCTTGGGAATTTAAAATTTTAAAAAAGGTTTGAAAAGTAAGAATTTAAAAGTACGTGAATTAGATCTTTTATTCTTGAACTGCTTAATGTTTAGGTTATAGATTTTAGATAACTTTGAACTGTTCAGGTTAAAGGTTGAAGTATCTAGAATCTATAATTTTCAACTGTTCAGAATATAGATTCTAGATCTTTAAGTTAACTGTGAACTGTTCAGGTTGAAGACTCTAGAATGTAGATCAGTAATTTTGAACTGTTCAGAATATAGAATCTAGATCTTTTAGATAACTTTGAACTGTTCAGGTTAAAGGTTGAAGTATCTAGAATCTATAATTTTCAACTGTTCAGAATATAGATTCTAGATCTTAAGTTAACTGTGAACTATTCAGGTTGAAGACTCTAGAATTTAGATCAGTAATTTTGAACTGTTCAGAATATAGAATCTAGATCTTTAAGTTAACTTTGAACTGTTCAGGTTAAAATATGAAGATCATTAACTTCGAACTGTTCAGGATTTATAATCTAGATTTATAATTTTAACTGTTAAGGGTTAAGAACGATAAGATTTTTAACTTTGTATTGTTCAGGTTATTGAATTACTGAACAATGCTCAGATGAACACAGGGGACAACAGTAAACTTGATTCTCTCAAGATAGTTCAAGAAATTGTTGTTCATAAGGTAAAAGATAATTTTCAAAAACCAGAGAGAGATTTCGATAATGATTAGGAATCTAGGATTACAGAAACAATTTCTAGAAACAAGATAAAATATTTTAGATAGTACAAAAGTGTCAAACCCGGAAAAGATAATACTTTGGAATCGATATAAATAAAGCATTAGATCCAATCTGTACAACAATTTTTTTATCTTCTTTTGAAAGTACTTAAAAACTTGTGCTGCAAGTCTAAAAAAGCCTTATTATTTTTGATCTGGACTTGATCCAAGTAATTGTTGGGAACAATTCCGGATAAACTACTAAAACCGGTTCAGAACCGGATTAAAAAGGAAACCGGGGATTAAGATTCGCAGCACTGAATGTCTTAAAATTAAAATTTAGAAATCATATTTAAATAATATTTATTAGGAACCTGATCTACTGGATAATTTCCTGGATGAAATATTAGCCTTTCAAACAGATCGGAATCAAGAGGTAAACATTAAACAAGATTTTAAAAACGAATGAAAATGGTCTGAATCTTATTTTCTTAGGTTCGAAAGTTCGTTGTTGCATTTATTGAGGAGGCATGCAAAAAAGATGCGGAAATATTACCAAAGGTAAATCATTCAAAATATTTTGATATTTCAATATTTGTTCTTTGTTTTCCTCTTGTTCGTCTTTCATGCATCTTTCAATCATATATCGGCTAATTTAAAAAAAGAAAAAAAAGAAAGGGATGCTCTTGTAAAATAGCCACTTTTACAAGGAGAACTATTTTTAAAAAGATCTTGTTTTCTTCTGAACCCTGTGTTTATTTTGAGTGAACTGTTTGGTTTTCTTTTCTTGGAAAGCTGACTAAGCAATTTGTAGTATTTCAATGTCAGCTCTGTATTTATTGCCAGGGTCGGCTGTACACATTTTTTAAATCATTTAAATTTGGGAAGATTTTTTGAAGGGAGGGGGGTGGGACGTTTCCCATCCTGTTTTTGTCTTCATTCGCTATTGGTAAAAAAAAAGATTTAGTGTAAAGCTGAAAACCCCCTTCTAATTTTCCTGTCCTATATTTTCTTTTTTTTTCTTGTTTATCTCGTTTATCTCGTTTCTGCACTTTAAGACCTTTCCAAATAGTCCTTGTACCATCCGAGTTTTGGAGCAGGTAGGAGAGGATAAGGAGGTTTGTAGGAAAACCCATAACTGCACCCCTTATGCAAAATGGAGAGTTGTGATCCCTGAATGCTCTCTTGAGAGGAATCTTCCATAGCAGTCCAGTCCTCACATCTGGTTGAGTTAAAAACCCGGTATCGTTGTGCATGGCTTGTATACCCATTAGGGATTAGACTCTTTCTTTACTTCTTTCAGTGCACCAATCATTCAAAATGTTAATTTAAAAGGTTGAATTAAAAAATAAAGAATTAACTGTTTTTAGGTTATAACCAATCTCCAGATGATGCTGGGGGATGATTCTGTTGCGGTTCAAAAACGTGTCATTCAAGCCATGACTCATTTATACAGGTTAATCAGATTTATTAAAACATTTAGATGATAAATATTCTCATCTTTTTGACTAGTAGAACGAACCTTTCTTACTCCATTTATTTTCTATTTTATATATTTAAGCCTACTTGACAATACGACAGGAAAATGCGGACTAATATTTATTTTTCTAGGTCAACTTTAAGATGGATGAGCGGAGGCCAATCTATCTCCGACCGTATGGAGGCTGCCTGGGGTCTCATGGTCAACATCAAGGACCTAATTGTTGAGCTCCTTGACTCTGACAACGACGGTATCCGAACCCTTACTCTCAAGTTCATGGAGATGATCGTCCTAACACAAACCCACAGAGAACCAGAGAGCGCTGTTAAGGAAAACGATTTTTGTTTGGACGATATTCCCCTCGGGTTGAAGCAGGCTAGGCCGAGGAAGCTGGAGGTGGACGCTAGGAGAGTGTTCGACGATATGGTGAAGTACCACGGGTCTGCTCACATCAGCAGTGCCAACCTTATGACATGTATGGGGGCCCTCTCTAATATTGCTAAGCTTAGACCTGAATTTATGGCCAAGGTTGGTTGTTTTTAAATTATTCAATTAAATATGTTTCTAATGTCAATATTTTTAAATAAGGTGATTACCGCCTTGGAGATGCTTCATGCCAACCTGCCCCCGACCCTGGCCAAGTCTCAGGTGTCGAGTGTGAGAAAACATTTAAAAAACCAGCTTCTCACCCTCCTCAAGCACCCCTTCGCTGCCGAGCAGTTCTTCACAAACATCACCACCCTCCTCACCGACCTGGGCGCCTCCAGGGACGAGGTGATGAAGGCGATGCCGCACTACGAGGAGATGAAGAGGAAGGCTAGGAAGAAGGAGAGGGAGGCTGCGAAGGCTGCGGCGAGGGCGGAGGAGGAAGCGACGGAAGCAAAACGTCAAAAGATTGACATTGCTGATGATGAGGTAAAATCGTTTTTTATAAAATTACTTCCCCTTTCTCTTGTGTTTCTATAAAAATGTTATTCGATCCGTAAAAATCTATCAAAAATTCATGTTCTGTTGTTGTTTAAATTTTTTGGTTCTCAAACCTCCAAAAGAGATTCTATTAGAATTATTTTTAAGAATCAATAAATTCAAAAATAAAATTTTTTAATTTTAAATTATTTTATTTTGTTAAGGAGGATGATGAAGATGATGAGGAGGATGAAACGGTTTCAAGAGTTCCACGCCGTAGTTTTGACAGAATGGAATCCGCCGTTGATATCACAGAGAAATTTGTTTTTGAACGTTTAAAAGAACCTAGGTACAATTGACAAAAATAAAACATTTTCAATTTTTAATGTTTAGAATTTTAAATATATATTTTCTGTTTAGTTTTGCTGCCGAGCTAGTGATGCTTTCTATGCAATTTCTGCCACGAGAAATCCCACCACACTTTAACAATACGTACACACCCATAGCAGCAGCAGGCACAGAAACTCAGGTAGAGATCATAAAGGGGCGGAAGACATAACTTCAAGCAATCTTTAATTTATGAATTGGCGGGGTCTAACTCACAATGGTGACCTTGAATGAATGATTGAGTTTAAGTTAACCAGGACTTAAACTTTGAAAATTGATTTAAATTTTTGCTTAATGTTTGCCTATAAAAGTATTGCTATTGATAAACCGGTTTTTGTCAATTTCTTGATAAATTTTTTTTTCACTTTCCATCATTCCGTGATTTGTTTAGTATATTTTTGGGGTTTCTGATTATCTTTGATTTGTTTAGGTTCGTCATGTATCCAGACTGCTAGCTGCTCAGCTCACCAATGTAGGACTAGGACCCGGAGTAAGGTTTGCAGAAGAGCAGCGTCAACGTAAACTAGCGCTAGGAGCACAAGAGGAGGAAGATATCGGTGCTACTAATATTCCTAATCTCGGTGAGGATGAAGATCTTGCAAAGGTTAAACTAACTCCAACTGGGTTAACTCATCGAAGCGGTAGAAAAGGACACACATTAAAGCTCTCCGAAGTTACCAAACCATTGTCGGAATCGACCAAGAAAATTATGATCCTCGACGCTGTTCAACGGATCCTGAAATGTGAGAAGGCTGCAAGTGTGGGAGGTGTCACTGATGTTAGAATTAAGATAATCACATCATTGGCCGCTTCGTTCTCCCACGAAGTTCGGGGTATTCTGCTCGATTTTATTTTCGAGGATTTATTGAATCGAGCCGATCTGGCGTTCAACTGGTTGTACGAAGAGTACTGCTTCTGTCAAGGTTTCAATCGAAGCTCAAACATCTACAAGAGAAAACCCGGAGATGATAATACGTACAACGAGATCTTGTGTTCCCTTATCAACGGATTAAACACAAGAACAGAAATCCTTCCCTCTGACAGGGATAGTATTCTGCGCCGACTATATTTAGAATCTCCTATCATTACAAGCGAAGCAATTGGTTTGCTCAAACAGTTTTGCCAGGAGCCGGGCCGAGCTCTCTCAGGGGTTAGTCTGATGAAAGATTTAGTGCTAAAGCGACCTGTTAAACAGTTAAACTTTCTCAATTCTATTCTAGAGTTCTGCTCGCATGAAGAGAACGAAGTCCGTGACACTGCTCTCAGCACGGTTCTGTCGTTATACGAGCGCGGGGAGTTGGCCTCGATTATCGAGGATTATAGTGGAATGTTCTTGAGGTTTCTGCTCCTGCCCCGACCTCCGGATATGCTCTTTGGAGAGGACCGAGGCCGGCCGATTATGATGAATGAATGGACCGAGGATTTCATAAAGGTTTGCTTGAACCTGTTCCTGGCCCTGCTCCCCAAGTGTAAGAAGTTGCTAACTAATCTCGCCGAGGTATACGTCAGTACTAGCGGGGACATCAAGAGAACAATCCTCCGTATTATTGAAACTCCGATCCGAGAGATCGGAATGGAATCTCCGGAACTCCTGTCTCTGGTTGAGAACTGCCCCAAGGGTTCTGAGACCCTGATCACCAGGATTATCCATATCCTGACGGAGAAAGCGACTCCGTCCCCGGAGTTAGTGAACAAGGTGAGAGAACTGTATGCTCACAGGGTGGCCGATGTCAGGTTCCTGATACCAGTCCTTAATGGACTCAGTCGACAGGAGGTGACCGCAGCTTTGCCTAAACTTATCAAACTGAACCCTGGAGTAGTTAAGGAGGTCTTCAACCGTCTTATCGGTATCACGACCAACAGAGCCTCCGGTGCCATGTCACCTGCAGAACTGCTTATTGCGTTGCATAATATAGACCCGACAAAGTGCGACACTAAGACTGTGATGAAGGCGACAAGCTACTGCTTCCAGGAGAAGAGCGTGTACACAATGGAGGTGTTAACCATTGTGCTGCAGCAGTTGATGGAGCAGAAGGATATCCCCTTGCTCCTGATGAGATCGGTTCTTCAATCTGTTTCCTTGTATCCTCCCCTCATTGGGTTCACCATGAACATATTGCAACGATTAATTGTCAAAAAGGTTTGATTTTATTATTCATGTGGACAGTAAAAATTGTTAGATTTTTTCTATTGTGTTTAAAACAAACCCCAATATTATTATATCCTTTATGGAAATACTAAAATTTCTAATATTATTTTTATTATCTTAAACTTAAAGCATATTTGATCATAATGAATCAAAAGCTTAATCGAATAAAAAAATTTTCAGGTTTGGAAGCAACGAACTTTGTGGGACGGATTTATCCGCTGTTGTCAGAAAACGAAACCTCAATCCTACACAATTATGCTACAACTTCCGCCCAGGCAGCTTAGTCAGCTCCTCAAGGAGGCGGAGGATCTCAGGGATCCTCTCCTGGTTCATGTTCAGGTAGAAGGCATATGATCAGGGCCATTAACAGGATTTTTTCTGGGGGGGGAAGACATTTTTTACATTTCATGGTCCGAGGACCATGATAGTTAAACTTTTTGAAGGAGAGGTTAGAAGGTTGATAAATGTTACCAGCTAACATGAGGGACATATTATAGTCCCCTATTTCTATATTTTTAGTAACTAGCACTATGTACAACGGATTAATTTCATCTTTTAACATTTTAAAACAGCTTTTGATTTTCATTTGGTTTAGAAGTATCTTTTAAATATCTAAATTTTATTTAATTTATTTGCAGAATTTCACGGATGCGCAGCGTCAGCACGTTCCTGCAACTATTATGGCAGTTCTTTACAACTCCGAACCAGAACCTGAACCTGAGCCTGAACAGGAGGAGGAGACGATTTAATCCTACGTTCAGAAACAGGAACCCTGAGAAGCCTGAAGAGAATCATTAAGCATAGGACTTCATACTCTGCTTTTTTTCAGAAGTTTCCCGAACAGTAATTGTATTTATTTGTTTAATAATGTCCGAAACTCATATTTGTTCATTCAGAAAAGAAAACCAGTGATAAAATCAACTTAAATACACAATAGAATTTATTTTTGTCCAAACTTTAAAATTCAACTTTGTACAGTGTTCTATTAGTTTTTCATCATACGCTGTCGCTCACTTGTATATTTACACATCAATTATCTAATTATTCATATGTATAATATGTTAGTTCCTTCGCAGCATCTTGATTTATTTCTCGAATGTTCTGTGTGGAACTTAATCTGTTCTGATACACCTGTTTCAGAACACCTGTACTATCATTTCACAATGTTGCATCAAATATTATCATCCTGTTATCCTGTCTCGTCCAACGTCAACAAGTAGGATCGGAGCCTTCTACTATGGATTATTATGAGGTGTTGGGCTGCACCAGAGACGAGGATATACTTACAATCAAACGACGATATCAAGGTTAATCTAGTTTTTAAGTTCCACATGGGTATATATATTTTTAAGAAAATTATTTTTGAAAAATTTGACAGATCATTACCAAGTTGTTTCTTTTACCTTAAAAGATCAAACTTTCTTATGTCCTTGGGAAACTTTAGTTTTATTGAGATGGGGGAGGGGGGGGGGGGGGTTTTTATCCAGAAAATAAATATCACATAAGTTACATTTCGAATTGGATTCTTATCTTTATTTTTCACACTAGTAAGGAAAAATAAAAAGTGAGAATCAAATTTTAGAAGTTTGTAAACCATCCACTTCTGGATACATCCCGAAAAATAACCTTCCATTAACTTAAAATTAATTAAATCAATAGTATATCCACTCTTTTAAAAAAGTGCTAATGTTCTGCCCAAGCTGTAACATTTTGAATGGACCGATTGAGGTAAACTGTTCGCTTATCTTTGCAAGCTATATTTTCATTGGTCAAATCCAAAGTTTTATTAAAGGAATTTTAGTTTATCTCCAAGCGAGGAGAATGAAATCCATTTTGTCCATTTTTGAAAAGAGTGTTGTATTGCACGAATGGGATGAAAAATTATTTCAAATTGAAAAAATAATTTATTTTAGAATTACTGTTAAAGCATCATCCTGACAAGAACGGGGGCGCTCAGAGCTCCGAGTACCTAGATATCCGCTCCGCCTGGAAAACCTTAAGCTTTCCTGTCTCCAGGAAACTGTATGATGCTGAGCTGAGTAACCGTGAGCTCAGTCAGGATAGTACTCTCTGGTGTGAACTTAGACTAGAAGAACTGAGGGAAACATTTTTGCTCTTTTCCTAACTTCTTTTAAAACTCCTGAAACCTGAAGGGAAAATATTTTCTTAAAAAAATCATTTTCCCTTTTATTAAAGATTAATTCTGTATGGATTGCGCAAAGTTTAATTTTTTTTCGCCGAGCCGGGGTAAATGAATGATTTGTCGGGTATAATCTATAAGGGGGGTGGGGGGAGGAAGGCTTGCCAGTTTTGGTTGAGTCTTGATTACAGCTTCTAAAATATCTTCCGCAAAATTGAGAACGATTCCGTTGATGTTTAATAAATTTATTTTCTTAACCAAATAATGTGTATTTCTGTTTAAGATCTTAAAGATTTTTTCCTCTAACATTTCGATTGGTTTTGAAAATCCACAGATTTTTATTTTTAATTCTACAACTAACAGAATACATAATTTAATGATTTTTTTACAACCAAAGAACATTATCTAATTACACAAATATATTTTTTCAACTTTTTTGGAGAGTAACATGTTGTCGTTAAAGAGAAGAAAACGATGGTTTCGAGTTTACGTGTAAATGCTCCGGGTTGTATGAAATAGACAGTGCTCAGGTTCAACAGTTGATCAAGGACGGAGAGATAGATTTCCTCCTCTGTTGTGACTCATGTTCATTAAATGTCTTGGTCAAACTTTAATTAACTTCAAGTTGTAAGGGACTGTTTACCTAACACGTGAATGCAAGAATGAAGAAAGGTTATACTTCCCATCTAGTGAACCAACTCCGGGAGCTTAGATACTTGAAATGCTATTGGGATACGACCATAGTTTGTCAGGACGGTTCTCTCCGTATGAACAGGTGAGAATGGGTTTGTGAAACTCTCATTTTCTTATATCCAGGGGGGGGGGGGAGGAGGTAGATGAATAATTTGATTTAAGAAACCTACTAGATAAAATCTAAATTTTAGTATAAAATGTATTTTCTTTTATTCTAGATTGCTCTTTGGTTTACTCCAAGGTTCTATCCTAAACCTAAACCAAGAGCAGGACGAATTAAAGATACTTCTCCCTGACTCGACTCTACTCACTGTTCTAGAAGAGCTGGAAGGCAAGTTTATCTCCTTATCGAACCAACAGGGCAGAGTAGAGAAAAATCAGTCTATTTCTGGCGATGAGTTACGACTTGACAACGGGATGATTAACCACGAGAAAGAGGAGCATACAGATGATCCAGATGATCCGTACGAAGCTAAGACTTATAATTGCGAGTTTTGTAGTTTTAGAAGCAAAAAGAAAGGAAACCTAGAGCAGCATAAAATTTCCCTTCACAGTAGGATTCGTCTTCGCTGCTCTTTATGCCGCTACCAAACACAAACAGGGATAAATCTTAAGAGGCACATGAACTCGGTCCACCTTGGAGTCAAACATAAATGTGATTATTGTGATAAACTTTTCTCATCCCAAGGTAATCTAAAGCAGCATGTGAACAGCATACACGGAAATACAAGGTATACTTGTGATCAGTGTGAATACTCAAGTTTAAACAAGTCAGGATTATCTCGACATTTCACATCTCAGCACGATCAGATCAGGTTTCCTTGTGATCAATGCAAACACCAATCTTCTAGTAAAGCTCTGCTGGAAATACACAAAGAAATTGTTCATCTTGGGATAAAGTTTCCTTGTGATGAATGTAAATATGAAGCAACCACTAGAGGCCACCTACAAGCACACAAGAAGAAGAAACACGGTGATCTAAACAGAACTAATGTGCATGTATTGTTAAATACTTAATTTCAGAAAGTAAATGAACATGGAAGAGACAGATGAGATCGGAGTGTTCGAGGTTTTCTCTGAGTACGGGAATTATCTTGTGAAGGTAAGATTTGATATATATTATTGGAAGAAGTGATGAAGGGGGGGGGGATTTAAAATAAATAAAATATCAGCTTAACTTTTCTTGGAAAAACTTGTCGTTGAAATGGTTTTTAACTTTGATCTTGGTAAGATGTAAAAAATTTCCATTAAAAAGGGATTTTGAGCATTGAAAAAAAATTCCAATTAGATTTTAAGAAATTTCACGGCCAACGCCGGGCACTTCAACGAGTTATAATTAATATTAAATTTTATTCAACAATTGTTCTTTCCTTTTTTTATTAAATCAACATTTTTATTTTCTTAGCAATCAAAACTTTACCAACAAGAGAAAGTTAAAGTTGAATTATTTCGTCTTCATATCCTTTCTAAATTAGATTTCCTCGGGTAATTCTACTCTTTTCTATATTTAGTTTATTTGATCTCAATATTTACCCCTTTTCCAGTGCTTAGGATCCATTTAATTTTGATGCGGATCCGGATCCTGGATCCGCACTGGATCCTGGATCCAGTTTATCCCATAAAATTTACTGAATTTTTTTAACAAAGCAGAATTTTTAATTTTTTTTCGCTTATTTTTATGCTTAAACTTGATGAACCATTCAGGAATCAGGAAATTTTTATAATCTCTTTTTTCAATAGTTCAGATTTTGGGTTTTGAGAGTAAATTTTTTTATTGCTTTTTTGTTGATATTTTGCCCCTTGGATCCGGATCCGTGGATGTCAATATTTTTGCGGATTTGCGGATCCAACGGATCCGGATCCTGTCCTTTTTAACTCTGACATTACAAATCTTTTTCCATACGACCAAACCGAACGCTAGAGCCTAAATGAAGATTAAAAGAAGCATAGATTAGAAACTCCTTAGTAATTAATCGTGAATGTTACATTACATAAAATTTTTTTTTCTTTCTTCACATTTTAAAAGAAAAAATGTTAATTTTGTTTGAAAGTATGTTGCATATGTTGTCTGTGCCATACAGATTGCGGCAGCTTATCAACAGAAACCGGATTATGTCCGGCTGGAATAAAAATCTAATCTTTAAGGAGATTTTTCTGATCTTATTTTTCAACTTTTTAAAATCCTCGACTCCTTCCCTTTAATATGATATCCTTGAACTAGTTAGTGTTGCAGGTGAGTGCTTTGCTGGGTATGGATACCGGTCTGACCAGTCTCCATCTTGATATAGAGGAATATCTGCTCGGCCTCTGCAACCTCTGTAATGAACTCTCTAGGCTGGCGGTCAACTCTGTCACTAGCGAGGATTACTCGAGACCCGTCAGGTAAATAAATTTTTTTTTTATTAGTTTTGATTTATCAAGATAAAGTTTTAAAATTTATTGAAGGTTATTTCGTTGCTTATAAATTAAAAAAGTTAAGTTCATGACTACAAATACGTTTAGATTTATTGTTCGTTCAATACTATCTTGGTGTAATTTTTTTCCGTAGTGTAATAATAACGTTTAATGAACAATATTTTACTCAGATGCTCGAAAACTTTATTTCTTCCAACGAAAGGTTTCAAAATATTCTAAGAATGTGGTTTAGGATCGCTGAGTTTCTAAACTCTCTGCACACTGGATTCCGACTTCTCAACCTGAAGAACGACAACCTCAGGAAGAGGTTTGACAGTATTAAGTACGACCTGAAGAAGGTTGAGGAGGTCGTCTACGACTTGTCTATTCGAGGCCTCAGCAAGGTCTCCCTCGAGGATAAGGCTGAGGAGAAGACTGCTGCTCCCTCCGGCCCTACTGAGGCGGTTGAAGCTGCTCCTGTTGCTGCTGTGTAGAAGTTTTCATTTGTACACCGGTTAATTGCTGCTGAATATCAGGAGTTCGAAGAGTGATGATCCTACTGGATCCCATTCATAATTGTATATTACTTTATTGCAAACCCCAAAATGCAGGGGCCATTTTTGTCGGAAAATTTGTATGTGATATTTTGTGATTTTTCATTCATGTCTCAAATTCACACTATGCAGGCTGTGATTTCATATTCTGTATAAAAAGATTTTGTTATTTTTTTTATTTTCAGAAAATAATGTCGAAACATGATCATAAATATTTTTACGAGGATGAGGTTTGGAGAATACACAAGGTTAGTAATAATAAATATGATTTATTTAAAACAAGAACATGAAAATTATTGCAGTTTGTTGAAGAATCAGAAATAAATTCAGACTCGATCGCAATTTACATTTTTGTACCCAAGTTGGATATTAATTGACTTTGATCATTATGATTCAAAATTTGATAATTGATACAATTGCTTTTTTACAATCTTTTTCAGCTGGTTTCAATATGCAACAGTTTTTAAAAAAAGTTTAATGGAGAAATTTATTTTCAGGGAAACCTGAAGATTGGTATGGTTGTGGAGACCTCTGAGTTTACATCTAGTGATGATAGTTCTGATGACGAGGATCAGGTTAAGCCTGGAGATGTCCGTGTAGCCTGGTATCCTGCTGGAGCAGAGGAAGTTCTGCCAGAGAAGAAATTGCATTTAGCAGACAGGTAGTTTGGGATTATAGTCTTTTCATTACACTTATTTAGCAGACAGGTAGTTGGGGTTTTTATTCCTTACATTACAATTATTTGACAGACAGGTAGTTGGGGATTATAGTCCTTACATTACACATATTTAGCAGACAGGTAGTTGGGGTTTTTAGTCTTTACATTACAATTATTTAGCAGACAGGTAGTGGGATTATAGTCCTTACATTACACTTATTTAGCAGACAGATAGTTGGGGTTTTTAGTCCTTACATTACAATTATTTGTTAGTTTGGGATTATAGTCTTCATATTACAATTATTTAGCAGACAGGTAGTTTGGGATTATAGTCTTTACATTACACTTATTTAGCAGACAGGTAGTTTGGGATTATAGTCTTTACATTACAATTATTTAGCAGACAGGTAGTTTGGGATTATAGTCCTTACATTACAATTATTCAGCAGACAGGTAGTTTGGGATTATAGTCTTTACATTACAATTATTAAGCAGACAGGTAGTTTGGGATTATAGTCTTTACATTACAATTATTTAGCAGACAGGTAGTTTGGGATTATAGTCTTTACATTACAATTATTAAGCAGACAGGTAGTTGGGGTTTTTAGATTTTACATCACAATTATTTAGCAGATAGGTAGTTTGGGATTATAGTCTTTACATTACAATTATTTAGCAGACAGGTAGTTAGGTATTATAGTCTTCACATTACAATTAGTTAGCAGACAGGGAGTTAGGTATTATAGTCTTTACATTACAATTATTTAGCAGACAGGTAGTTAGGTATTATAGTCTTTACATTACAATTATTTAGCAGACAGGTAGTTAGGTGTTATAGTCTTTACATTACAATTATTTAGCAGACAGGTAGTTAGGTATTATAGTCTTTACATGTAATCGGTATTTTGAGGTGGAAAATTATAATTTAAATAAAGGTGAGCCCCTTTAATCCAGACGCTAAGTAAAAATTAAATGGTTGACAAAATTTAAATTTTGGACTCCAACTAAGCCTAAGACTCTAGTAGTGGATTGGAGTTTTAAGTCTTCCCCATTCCTAGTTTTTCAGCCAGGTCTTCTGTTTATAATATGAATATATATCCTATTTTTTTACTTTGCATTTGCGATAAATGTGCTCTTTTTAACTCTGTATTTGCGATAAATGTGCTCTTTTTTACTTTGTATTTGCGATAAATGTGCTCTTTTTAACTTTGTATTTGCGAAGCGCCCAGCCACACGACCAAATTTGAGCCATGCACCACTTTAGAATACCTAACATCCAAGGATTGCTAAACATTGTGTTAAGTTTGGATGTTGGGTATTTCCCTAGCGAGTTTTTTCGTTCTTTTTTTTTAATAGTTTTTAGTAGTTAAGGTGTTTAATCCAGTTAGATAATCTTGTTTTAATATGATTTAATTTGGGTTCAAGTTTGATTAATTAATTAATTATGAACAGTCTAGTCTAGTCTAGTCTAGTTTTAATTAAATAGTTTGTTTGGACAATATTGGTTAAGTTTCTGAATGTCGTTGTTAATCAAAATTGATTATAAGGTACAGCTCCAAGTTAATTAAAGAGGTTCCTCAGAATGTCCAAAACTATAATGCGTTCCCTTAGAAAACCGCTGTATTATGAAGAATTTCTCGGTTTTTTTGTCGGTACTTTGAAATGGTTGTTGAAATTTTTTTTGTTGAGATCCCTGATGCCTGGAGATATAGTTCGACGTATGACTGACAGAGGAAGAGCGGAAAAAGGAATCTGTAAGAATGTTCACGTTTACTCTAATGTCGAGGTTATTGGAACTAAACAGGTCAGAAACTTTTTATCTCAGAATATGAAGTTGGAAGCAAAAATTTATTTAATGTTTCTAAATCAAGAACCACTGAAGTTAAATATTTGTAAGCAGAAGTCAAGAATTGTCAAGGAAATAATTAAAATGGCAAAAAGAGGAGATCAGGTCGTGGAAAGGACCTAACCGACAAATATTATCTTTTTTCTACTATTATTTACAGTATAAAAAACCTTTTTTCAAACATAGTTTGCAAGCGCAGAAACTGTAAACGTAAAAAAACTTTTGGTGTGTAAAAAATAATTAAACTGGGAACAAACATCATCGATTTAGTCCGTTTAAAGGAACCCAAAAAATCTAAAAAAAGATATTTCAATTTCTTATAAATCGCTTAGAAATGAGACACGATGCAGAGAAATGAACGAATTAATAAATTTTATCTCTAGGTCGTGTTTGGTGTGAAGTCTAAAGATCTTCTTCCCCTGGAGACCTTCTACGTAGATATCCTGATATGTCTGGAGGGCTGGGTCGGAGTTATTCGAGATGTTACAGCTAAACTCACACTCAGGTTAGAAGAAAAAAGTTTAAGATTTTTTGAAATTGGTTAACTAAAATTCAATTATTATTTTAGGTTCCCCGACGGTTCCAAAGTTTTAATCGATGACAATTTAGCCTCTGACCTTGAGGACGTTTTTAATCGCCGTGAACACGATTCCGAGTTTATGCGATACGACTACTACCCGGGTCAGATCCTGTTTGGTCCTATCCGTCTAGTAGACTGCGGAGATTGGAAGGATTGCTCCACCGAGCTCACCAATACCCGAAGCAACAAGCCCCACAAAGGATTCAAGATGACAGTTGAGGAAGTAGATTTCCAGCGGATCACAGTGCGCTGGTTATGCCGCGCTAATTTCAGCTCCGAGGACAAATTAGAACAGCCCGGTCCCATGGTCTCAGGGCCGGACCTGGAGAAGGTACGGATGTTGAATATTTTTGAATCCTGCACTCTACAGATAGGAGATAGGAACTCGTATGTGATAAAAGATTCAGATCTACTTCTGTCTAAATCTGATTGGAGGAAGTTACAGCTGGAACTCCTGACGAAGCAGGGAGCAAGTCAAGCCGTCGCTAAACCTGCTCCATCCTCGGTAAGTTGATTCGTTATTTTCACAAAGGGTTTCTAAATATTTTGAATTTAAGAAAAGTTCTCCACATTCCCTTTTCTCTCCAACTACATATGTTGTGATTATTTCGTGAATTTAGCCAAACTTAGGCGCGGCGTTTATCCAACATTGGAATTTTAAAACGTGTAATAACATAGTTAACGCAGTTGTAGGGATTATAATCACTGGGCTAGAAATTTCTATACAGTACAAATGCTTCTTATTTATTCTTAGAATTCACTCTTTTATTTCAAATTATTCTCTTTCAATTTGTGTACAATGAAAACAGAAAAAAAATTGTTTTTAAATTTTATGAATTTGTCAGAAGAACGTGGAGGCCACTGAGGACAAAGAGGGGGATGGTGAGGGTAGCTCCGAGTACGAGGATTGTGAGGACTGTTTGGAGAAGGATACGGATAGTAATGTTAGTGAACAGGTCACCCTGGATACAAGAAAGAAAAAGAAGAAGCACGCCCCGGCACTCAGCACCAGGGGGGTGAAGAAGAAGAAGTTGAAGATGAGCAGGGCGCAGAGGGACGCGTCTTCCTCCTTCCTGGTCGTTAAGAGCGGGATGAAAGTTGTCACAGAGGTTTTGTCGACCAGGTCCGAAGTAAGTATGGAGTGATCTCTATTTTAAATAATAAATTGAGAAAGATGAAAACAAGTTTTAAGCAGTGTTGGGAACTCTTCGAAGTACAAGAATGGACGGAAGAGCTAATTTGAATATCGTTTAGATTGACGTAGTTTGGCAGAACGGAAAGGTTGAGAGTGGTGTAGGATCTACTGATCTATACCCTATCCAACATCTTGACGAACACGAGTTCTTCCCGGGGGATTTCGTCGTAGAGTCTAAAGATGGATTCCATCCACATACCTACGGAGTAGTCCAGGTAAAAAACTATGCAAGGGAAATCCCCGCGCCGTTTATCGCCCTCGTTTTAGATCTTGGCTTCCTGTATCCGGAACCGCAAAAATATCTATATTTTCCTGTATCCGGATCTTAAGGGGCAAAATATCAACCAAAATCTGCAATAAAAACCCATATCTGAACTGTTGAAAAAATGTAGATGATAAAGATTTCCTGAACAGTGAATGGTTCATCAAATTTTAGCATAAAAGTAAGCGAAAAAAAAAGAAGAAAGGTAATTTGACAATTTTGCTTTGTTTAAAAAAAATCCAGTAAATCTTCTAGAAATGTTCATGACCTGGATCCGGACCAGGATTTGGATCTGGATCCATTTTTTCCAGTGCGGACTGTGGATCCAGAATCCGGATCAGGTTCCGCTTCAAAATTAAATTGATGCTAAGCACTGGTTAACAACTGTCATCGCTCTGAAGTTAGATAAATAAAGTTGCATGGCACTCAACATTCGCTTCTTCCTTTTCACACCGGAAGTGTTTTTCGCTCTCAAAAGCTTTAAAACAGCAAAAGAAATATTTTAATTTCTGAAATAAAATGCTCATGAAGGAGCCAACATGGAGGATAAGATATCAATTATTTGTAAAGCTTCTAGTTCAATAAAGTGGTAAATTTAATAATTGCAGGATGTTGATTTCATGGGTAGATTCTGTCAGGTGAAATGGTTTAAAACCTACACTGAAGGAGCTCAACCTGAACCAGTTTTCCTAGAGTCTACGCAGTGCAGTGTTTATGATCTCAAGGATCATCCAGATTTTAAATACAGACCTGGAGCCATAGTTATCAGGTTATTATCTGAATCATTTTTTAAACTACAGTGGTACTTTTTATCAAACAATGAAGACGACTTTTCTATTAGGTTTTGAAACCTAGCTTTGCCTGCTCACTAAACTTAACATTTGAAAGTCAACCTGCTTAACTTTGATTTTTTATGCGAGCTATAAGAACATTCCCGTAGTTCTACCGAGTTCCCCAATCAAAATTTGAGGCAAATTGGTCAACGTGTTCATGGCTTATAGCCAGACAAACAAACAAACAAACAGAGATTACTACTTTATATACAATATACATAGTACTTATATATAGATGATTCCTCAAAACTCAAAAACTTAAAGGATAAAAATGGGACATACACTTAACATAAAGTTCTTTCATTTTATATACACTATACAGCTCAAACAAGTTTTACTCTTTTAACCTGAGTTTGGTCCAGGGTTGCTAACTGGGCGGGTGAGGACAGTGGACTAGGAGCAGGACAGGTCCTGGATACAGAACCTACAGGACTAGTCCGGGTCTGGTGGGCAGGAATGGATAATATTGGATTAACATCAACATGTTGGCCTCAGGATATATATAAGGTGAATTAACTTACCTCTTGCTAGAGAAAATAACTATGTTGTCAACATTTCATATCCAAAAACTTTAATTCAAGGAAACTGTTCTACTATTGAATGTTAACAATTTATTTCATATTTTAACTTTGATTATTCTAGCATGTCTTTTTTATTATTAACGCGAAAAACGACCATAATTTTAAAGAAGTTTTTGTTAAAAGCTAAAGGGTTTCGTTGAAGTCAACAGGTGGGTTAGTATACTCATCAATCCAGAGATGATTTTAAGGATAACACAAGGATTCTGCGCCAATACAGTTTTCGAAGTGTATTATTTATCCAATAAACCACCTCTTATATTAGGTTGGTGAATATGATTCTGACGAGGGGGAACTATGGGCTGAGGATGAGGATGAAGAAGGAAGTGGAACGGATGACAGTTGGTCTACTGAGAGTGAGCATGAGATAGGTGAAGAGGAACTGGTTGTCCATGACGAAGCTGCAGAGCTTAAGACCAAGCTGATCAGTAACGTGGAGAAGGCCGGAGTAACTTTACTACGCATGGAAGAACTTGTTAAAGAAAATCCTGGGTTAGAGTCTCCAAGTCTGATAAAGAAACTGATTGCTGTCTGCACACACTGTAAACTTCTGGATAAACTTCTTGGGACTGATTTCTTCAATGACTCAAGGTTCCAGGTTCTCCTAGAAAAGATCAAGGTTATGGATAAGATGTCTACAGTTGAGCGCGCAGTACAGAGTCAGGTTTCTAGACTCTTCTCAACAGAAGACGAGAATAGTCCCAGGAAAGAGATGAGGGAGGTTGAGGAGACTAGTCCTGGTAAGGACAGTGGGATAGAACCTGGAGCTTCTCCTTCCCCCTCCAAACCCAGCTCTGAAGAACCAGGAGTATGTTTCCAACTTTGTAAAATAGTGAAAACACAACTTGTAAAGGTTCATGAAGAGATAGTGAAAAAGTACGGGGAACAAGAGGTTCTTGCATTTAAGGAAAAATATGCAAACGAACCTGAAGATCTGAATGATTCCATTGCCTCAGAATTATCTATTCTAGGATTCCTCCCTCTAGACACACCCGTTTTCCAAATGTACAGCGCGGACACATCCCAGGAGATTTTATCTCCGGTTATAGACAAACCCCTAGAGAACATTATACCCCTATCCCCGGGCAGTTTTCAAACAGTAGATTCAGTCCCGGATAATCACAAGTTTAAATTAACAGTTTTTCAGCCGACTAACATGAAAACCTTTGTCCGGAGTGTAAAAAGAGAAATAGCTTTGCTTCAGTCTAGTCTACCTGCCGGTATTACTGTCAAGGGGTTCGATGAGAGAATGGACCTTTTCAGTGCGATGATTGAGGGACCGAAAAACACACCTTACGAGGATGGATTGTTTTTCTTTGATTTTCAACTAGGACCAACCTACCCCTCGGTTCCTCCCACCTGTCATTATACCTCCTACTGTGCAGATAAACTGAATCCGAACCTATACGAGGACGGAAAAGTTTGTGTTAGTCTGCTGGGAACCTGGAACGGTAAAGGAACTGAAACCTGGACTCCTAACTCCAACCTTCTCCAACTACTGGTTTCAATCCAAGGATTAATTCTGGTGAGAGAACCCTACTTTAACGAGGCTGGGTATGAGAGGCAGAAAGGAACCCAGGAAGGTTGTGAGAACTCTAGAACGTATAACGAGATGGCTGTGTTGAAACTAGTTCAGAGTATGACAAGGCTATTACTCAACCTTCCGGAAACATTCAATGAAGAAATTAAAACGTACTGCAGAGCACACGCACCCAGACTTATTGAAAGGTGATTTGATCAATAATATTTTATTTTAGGTTACACATTTGTCTCTTCTCTGTTTGTGTAATAATGGCAGCATATATTATTTTCTAGATTGGAGAATTGGTTGAGTGTATCACTGAACCCTCCCTCCTCAGACTCCGCCCTACCGGAAAAGTTGCAACTTCCAGACTTCCCTCTCCTCCCTGCCTCCCGAGGGTTCTGCATCAGTCTCCAAAAAGCTTTAGGAACTTATAAATCTGCGCTGAATGATTCAGGACTAACAAGTTCAGCTGCTGACAATGAACCAACTGAAAAAGATTAATTTTAATTCATCAAAGAATTTACCAACGCGTTAACTTACAAATGTTCGTTGATTTTTATAAATGTACAGTCAACACTCAACATTGTACTTAGCTTTATACACATGATCAACGGTCTTAATTTTACAAATGACACAATTACTGCAAAATTATCAGCTTCTTCTATTAATCGTGAATCAGAAAAAACGGCATGGGTCTTTGAAATTCTAAAAAATGTGATAATTTTAATCAAAGTATTTCATTTCCTTTTATGAAAGAACTAAGAAGGAGAAGGAATGAATATATAATATATATTTATAGATTTAAAGCTTGCTCAATATCCCCTAATATTTTGCTTGTGAATATTTATGAAAGTATGAAATGTACGGAACCATCCTCCTTACAGGTAAAATGTCCTCAACATCCTCCAACACGGACTCCAAGATGAACTCGTTAATCCTGGAACTGGAGAGGATCGGAGCTGTCAAGTTTGGAGAATTCACTCTAAAATCCGGACTCACGTCTCCAGTTTATTTTGATCTGAGAATCCTCGTCTCATTTCCCAAGGTGGGAAAAAGAATATTTCTTACTCTTAATCTTTCATTTTACTGACGCTTCTGATGACCAGAAAGTCACCTCCCTCCGGGCAGAAAATGTTAAAAATAAGTAACTTTTTTATTGTTGTATTCTTCTATTTCTAAGAAATTAAAAACCCTGTACACACATTTTACACTAAGGGAGGTCGAATTTTAAAGAATTTTCGAAATATTAATTAATTCAACCGGATTGGTATGATATTGAGGCCCTAGTTCTCCTTGGTTTTATTTAATTTTGTAATTAATTGTAATAGCAGCAATATTAGAATTTGTAAATGTTTTAAATCTTGGGATTTCACAGTTGTGGTATGCAAGGATTTTGGCAAAATATCAACTTAAGCCTGCTAAGAAAATATTTTTTTGTCTTAAAACACAAATATCAATTTTGATTAAAAAAAACTTCGACATCTCTGAATGGTTTATTAGTTTCAGCATAAAAGTTAAGAATTGAAAAAAAATATTTTCATCTCAGTAAATTTTGAAGAAATGTTTAAGACCTGGATCCAGTTTTGGATTCAAATCCATTATTTTTAGGGCCCGCATCATAACGAAATTTATCCTAAGCACTAATCAGTGATCATCTCATTTTTTGTCAGATTTTATGCAAATACTGTTTAGTTGTCAACGTCCCGTCAAATTGTTCCAATGATTGGAAATCTGAGAAATCCTATTTTTTGTTAATTGTATTTTCATTGATTCTCATGCTTCTTATTCTCCTTACACCTCATAAGATGCTCTGTATGGCGTGGGTTTGTTAAATATGTTATTCAATAGTTTGGTAATCCTAAGCTCTTTGATGTTAAATCTTATGTGCTCTATAGGTTGTTGAATCTAATATGCTCTATAGGTTGTTGAATCTAATATGCTCTATAGGTTGTTAAATCTAATATGCTCTATAGGTTGTTGAATCTAATATGCTCTAAAGGTTGTTGAATCTAATATGCTCTATAGGTTGTTGAATCTAATATGCTCTAAAGGTTGTTGAATCTAATATGCTCTATGGTTTGTTAAATCCAATCTGCTCTATGGTTTGTTAAATCTAATATGCTCTATAGGTTGTTGAATCTAATATGCTCTATAGGTTGTTGAATCCAATATGCTCTAAAGGTTGTTGAATCTAATATGCTCTATAGGTTGTTGAATATGCTCTAAAGGTTGTTGAATCTAATATGCTCTATAGGTTGTTAAATCTAATATTCTCTATAGGTTGTTGAATCTAATATGCTATATAGGTTGTTAAATCTAATATGCTCTAAAGGTTGTTGAATCTAATATGCTCTATAGGTTGTTGAATCTATTATGCTCTACAGGTTGTTGAATTTAATACGCTCTATAGGTTGTTGAATCTAATATGCTCTAAAGGTTGTTGAATCTAATATACTTTAAAGGTTGTTGAATCTAATATGCTCTAAAGGTTGTTGAATCTAATATGCTCTATAGGTTGTTAAATCTAATATGCTCTAATATGCACTATGATTTCTGGAATCTAATATGCTCTAAAAGTTGTTAAATCTAATATGCTCTATAGGTTGTTAAATCTAAAATGCTCTATGGTTTGTTAAATCTAATCCGCTCTATGGTTTGTTGAATCTAATGTGCTCCATAGGTTGTTAAATCTAATATGCTTTATAGGTTGTTAAATCTAATATGCTCTATGGTTTGTTAAATCTAATCTGCTCTATGGTTTGTTAAATATAATGTAAACAATGGTTTTTTTAAAAATAATGTGCTCCATGGTATGGTATACTAATCTGCTCTATGGTTTGTTAAATCTAATGTGCTCTATGGTTTGTGTAAATCTAATTTGCCCAATGTTTTTTTTTAATCTAATATGTTCTTCGTTTGTGTAAATCTAATGGGTTTTAACCACAGAGTTGATATTGATAGAGGTTCAATGTACTGAGTAGAGAAGGCAAGCTGTGCAAAACTATACGATTTTAGAAAAATTGGGGTTGTTTTAAAGTATTCTTAAAAACAATTAATTTTCCAGCGCTTCCTTTTTTTACTTTCTAATTTTTTGTTTACATTTTAGGGGGAAAATATCTGCATATCTCTCAGATTATTTAGCATTCATGTGTACGCCAGAAAAATGCCTACTAAATATATGATCTAAATATGTGCCAAACTCCTGCAGACTCTGCAGTATGTGCAATGTATGAACCCCACTTCCTCTTGGTATCGAGGTTTCGTGAGATGAGTTGGCTGATGTACTCTATGGTTTGTTAAATCTAATATGCGTTATGGTTTGTTAAATCTAATCTGCTTTATGGTTTGTTAAATCTAATATGCGTTATGGTTTGTTAAATCTAATCTGCTTTATGGTTTGTTAAATCTAATCTGCTTTACGTTTTGTTAAATCTAACCTGCTCTATGGTTTGTTAAATCTATGTTCTCTATGGTTTGTTAAATCTAACCTGCTCTATGGTTTGTTAAATCTATGTTCTCTATGGTTTGTTAAATCTAATCTGCTCTATGGTTTGTTAAATCTATGTTCTCTATGGTTTGTTAAATCTAATCTGCTCTATGGTTTGTTAAATCTAATGTGCTCTATGGTTTGTTAAATCTAATATGCTTTATGGTTTGTTAAATCTAATATGCTTTATAGGTTGTTAAATCTAATCTGCTTTACGTTTTGTTAAATCTAACCTGCTCTATGGATTGTTAAATCTATGTTCTCTATGGTTTTTAAAATCTAATTTACTCTTTTGTTTGTTAAATCTAATCTGCTCTATGGTTTGTTAAATCTAATTTACTCTATGGTTTGTTAAATCTAATTTACTCTATGGTTTGTTAAATCTAATCTGCTCTATGGTTGGTAAATCTAATGTGCTCTATGGTTTGTAAAATAATATCTGTTCTTTGGTTTGTTAAATCTAATGTACTCGGTATTTAACATTATGTGCTCTTGGTTTGCTTAATGTAAAGTGCCCCACGGTTGGATTAATGTAACGTGCTGTTTAGTTACTGGAAGAAGTTGCAGCTCTTCTACTGGAAAAAGTTACAAGGAATATACAAAAAAAAATTAGTTTGAAATCTTCCATATCTTTTCTGGAGAATAATTGATAATTTTTATATTCTTAAGTTTATTTTGCGAGCAAACACTGTGACTGTAAAATAAGTAGATGAATTAAGATGTCGCAAAGTCGTACAAGTAATTTCTCATTGGATTTTATTGATTATGAGTTGAGTAAACGTTAAGTACCACAACCAAGCATGTTTTAATTTGTTAAAATTAATCTTCCATTTGTATTGGGTTAACTGGTTTTTATTAATAAGTTCCTAAAGAATAAAAGTTTAATTGGATTTTTTAGTGCTGGGTTTTCTCCTTCTCTTCCCATTTTCCCTTTGCTATTCACCCATCCTTCTTTTTTTTCCCTTTTTTTAAAATTACTTTGTGAATTGTGTAATGTATTCGTTATTTGTTAATTTAAAAAAATAAAATGTATCTATAAAACTTTGGAGGGCCAGCCAATCAAAACAACCAGAAATGGTTGGGCTGTAGCCCTGGCTAATTTATTTAGTAAACAATTATAAAATGTAAAATGTAATTATTATAATGTTAGCCGAAATATATATCTATCTATCTAAAACTTGTATATACAGACGAGATTGTGTTCTATGCGGGGTTCCTTACACAGCTCTACCCATTGCTACCCTGATGTCGGTAAAGGCTGACCTGGGAATGGTTGTCAGGTAGAATCTTATCTTTCTTTCAGAAGTCGGTAGTATTTGTTGTTAATTGATCTACATCTTATACAATCCTCTTGGAAGAAAAAAACTTCTTTTAAAAAAAAACGGAACTTACTACTCTCATCAAAATATCTACTTAACACCGAAGGAAAACTCTAGTCTTTTCTTTATATATAAATACTAGCTTGGGAACCCAGCTTTGCTCGGAAACAAAGTTTTCTTTATATGAGTCGACCTAGTTAACTTAGATCTTTTAAACCAAGCTAAGAACATTTCCGTGGTTCTATAGAGTTCCTATGTCAAAATTTGATGCAAATCTATAAAGGAATTCCTGAGTTATGATCGGACATACACATAAACAAATAAACAGAGATTACTTCTTAATATACCTGTATATAAAATACGAGATACTCTCTTTTATTACCAGCTCCTTACTCCTAGCCCCGTATGACCTTCTGGTTTTAAGGAGAAAAGAGGCGAAGTCCTACGGAACCAAGAAGATGGTTGAGGGTGTGTGGACAGAGGGACAGAACTGTGTGATCGTGGAGGATGTGGTTACTACAGGAATACCAACAACATTTCACTTCTATTGTGGTCACATTATTCATTTATAATACAGAGTTGCCCACAGCAGACTTCAGTGCGCTTTATAAGTTCAAATAAACTAATTACTTGTCTCATGCTTTTTATCCTTGTATCATTGCAATCTGATGTCGGAGAACTCTGCTAGATTAAATAGTCAAAAGTTTGAGATATCAAAGTTTTACACCATCAGATTGCAAAGATATAAGGATAAGATAATTAGAGTAATCAGTTCGATTATATATGGAACAATCCCGTCTAATATTAGACACAAATATGTAATTAACTTCAATATCACGTTTTAGCCTTTGAACCACAGTAGCTTAAACCTATATACAAAACAGCTCGGAACAATTGATTCTTGATTTTTCTATTTTCTGACCTGCAGTTGGTTTTAGGTGGAAGTGTGATAGAAACTGCTAATTTACTCAGAAAACTAGGACTGACGGTGAGTGGAAGATTTCTTCAGAGCTGTCAACTAGGATTTCTTTGTAGGTGGAATGGCAAGAGAGATAAATATTTTAACAGTCCCTACTTCTACGCATGCACGTATATCAACTAACATTTTCATTAAAATACGGCGACGATTTACCTAGTTATAATATAGGTTACTGAGTGCATAGTGCTGTTGGATAGAGAGCAGGGAGCTGTAGATAACCTCACTAAAGCGGGGATATCTGTCATCACCTTAATCTCGGTTTCAAAGTAAGTTTAGCTTAAACATGTTTACTTGTACCTTCTGCTCCTTGTACCTTCTGCTACCATTATAACAGTTGGACTATCTGGGCCAATTATGAATTCGTTAAGACTATTAAATCGTATCTTAATCCAAACCCTAGATTTAAAAAATTGGGAGGAATAAAATTCAAGACTTAACTTTGATTTGTGTTTATCAAACCGGTTTCATATTGTATTTAGTGGATTTTCATGGCTGGAAATGATGGATTTTGGGATTTGTTTAAAATAAGACTTCTTTATCTATTTTGAATTTGAACAGTGGACAGTTAACCAGGATTTTATTTCTAGGGTTCTCGAAGTTTTACTCGGCGCAGGACGGATATCATCCTCTACTGTAGAGGCAGTCAATTCCTTCGTTCTAAACAATCAAACTCAAGGTAATACATTTTAAACTCCTAGCATTATTTAAGTTATAAGTTATAAGATTACACTAGATCATTCATAGCGTCACAATATTGATTTATTGGTCCTTGTACAAGTTACTTTTTAGTTTATAGAACATAATGACATAGTTGAAACTCAATTTATTGTAGGTTTAGGAGCGGATACTAGTTCTGTTATAAAGACAAGGTTTGAAACAAGGTTGGATACTATGAAGAATGCTGAGAAGAAACAAGAGTCTACGGAGTCGGATTTGAATCTTGTCTCTACGCGGCTCATGGAGATAATGCTGCGTAAACGCACCAACCTCTGTGTTGCTGTTGATCTTACTTCAGCCCAGGATATTCTAGAGTTGGTGGAGAAGGTGGGTTAAATATTCTAGAGTTGGTAGAGAAGGTAGAGAAGGTAGGTTAGATATTCTAGAGTTGGTAGAGAAGGTGGGTTAGATATTCTAGAGTTGGTAGAGAAGGTGGGTTAGATATTTGAGTTGTATAGAAGGTAGGTTAGATATTATAGAGTTGGTAGAGAATGTGGGTTAGATATTATAGAGTTGGTTTAGAAGGTAGGGTAGATATTCCAGAGTAGGTAGAGAAGGATGGTTAGATAGTCTAGAATTGGTAGAGAAGGTGCGTTAGATATTCTAGAGATGGTAGAGAGGGTGGGTTAGATATTTAGATTAGGTTGAGAATGTAGATTAGATAATTGTAGTATAAAATTTGCTTCTGACCGGTTCAGCCATGTTGACGTTTATTGGATAAACAGACAGGCCAAATAAATCTATGATCATATTTAGATTGGTAGTTCTGTAGCAGTTGTTAAACTCCACGCCGATATTGTGAATGACTGGACTGAACAGACTGAGGTATATTATTAAATAAAAGCTAAACAAAAACAACATATTTTGTTATTTTGTCGATTTAAAAACAGTTGAGTAATTTTAGTTAGATTTCTATGACCCATTTGGTATTTATAGCGCTGCAATGAGCGTTTTGGAGATGAAATTGTTTTAAATAAAAATTATTTTCTGTTAAAGCAACCAAAATTAGGTCGACGTAAAAAAATTAGTTAGGCAACTTTTTGTGATGTTACTTAACAGATTTTTTTTTGTTAAGATTGATATTTTTGATTTAAGGTTGAATTGAAGAAGCTGGCAGATAAATTTGGATTCCTTCTGTTTGAAGATAGAAAACTGGCAGATATAGGAACAATAATATATAAAAAAATACAAGACCGAAATATAAAATATGGTCCAAAAAATATTGTAAAAAAATCTGACTGAATAACAAAGGGGGGTTCAAAGAAGTAGATTAAACAATAAAAACGATTTACCAAGGATTATTTGATATTAATTGTTAATATTTTGAACTAAAGGGAACACGGTGAGGCTACAGGCATTGAAGTTTTCCAGCTGGGCGCAACTAGGTATAATTCTATTATTATTTTGGATATACACCATATACAGCGTTTACCTTCTGTTTGTTACAAAAGTTTGTTCTTTTATTCAACTTTTGGCATGAGAAGTCATGAAATTTATTTTCTAAAAGTAATAAAAAGTTTTTAATCACGCCAAGTGCCTCGGTTTATTTTGTTTTGATCATTTGTTAAAACCGATCAGAAGGAAATAACAAATGATGTAAACAAAATTATTCCTAAAAAAGTTTTCATATTTCTAAAAAATATAAACATTTTTAGTGACTGTGCACGCTTTACCGGGTCCAGGTGTTTTACAGGCGGTACGAGATCTTCAGAAGTCTGGGTATTTTTATTATTTTTTCTCTTCCTTTTTTAGTTTTTAATTTAGAGAACCAGAAAGTTATGGAATGAATGTCGTCTTTGTTCTTCATTTTATTTTAAAAAATTCACTCAGGATTTTGTAATTTTAAATGTGTTAAATCAAATCCTTATCGACATTTCATAATTAAAAGATAAAAAAGACGACGTTCATATTTCCTCGGTTTTCTGGGGTCTCACATTACAAATCAATGAAATCGTCCTTGTTTTCCAAATCCAGAGTTCAGAATAAATACATTATCTCAAGGATTTAATGAATACAAGGAAAAGTGTAACTACGTAGACGTGGTGGTGGTGGACTCCAGGTCGCTATCTGCACGGTGGTGAATAATGGCGCCCTGAAGGCAGTCTGGGATTCCATATTGGGCTTTCTTTCAGATTTACACTTCATTTGGTTCGGTTTGGTTTGGTTTGGTTTGGTTTGGTTATTTGATTTGATTTGATTTGATTTGATTTGATTTGATTTGATTTGATTTGATTTGATTTGATTTGATTTGATTTGATTTGATTTGATTTGAACGTTTAAAGTTTATGAGACATTATTTAAATACGTGTAGTTCCACTGCTTCTTGCTATACGTTAATCTGTTCTATTATTAAGACCTGCTGGTCTGGGAGTCCTGTTGGTGGCAGAGATGAGTTCTGCGGGGAATCTGATCTCTAGCTCCTACACCCAGGAGACTGTAAACCTGGGGGAGAAGAATAAGAATGTCGTCGTCGGTTTCATCGCTCAATCTAGAGTTAGTCAGGTGGGAGATTTTGAGATGCATTCAGTGTCTTTCATTTTGGGTGAAAGTTTAGGTTTAAAGTCTTAAAAAGTGCGGTTATAGGGATTTTTTTAATTTATCAGGATACGTTTTCCTACACTATTAAAGTAATATATATTGATTATTGCTACTAAAAATTCTTTCATAGTGCACACTGGAGTGGAGTTACATCAGTGCAAATTTCTTATAAAAATGCTTTATAGTAGACTTTTTAGTTCAGAAATTCTGTTAAAGGGGCTTTCATGGTCAAATCAAATTAAATTGACTTTAGTTTGGGGATCAAGTACATCTCAGCTTCCAGTTTAAGTTTTTTTTATAGTTTGGATTAATGGACTATGATGATCGGGGTTATGGGGACTATGGTAGTGAAAAATTGAGCTACAGTCTTAACATATGATGCGGTTTAAAACTTTCATAGTGCAGTTAAAAATGGGCTGTCAAATTTGGAGACTCATACAGTGACAACAAGAAAACTGTATAGAAAAGGAAGACGAAATTAAAGCAATACGGAAGTGCATTTGATGTTTTTACCAAGCAAATAGCTTTACTTTTTATTAAATCAATTATTATGTGAAATAGGTCTGTTAACACTGCACAATTACTGTGCCGCATGTGTTCGCTGGACTATTTTAAGTCAAAACGTGAGTCTAAAAGTGAACTTCTTATTCCAGAGTTTTGCAGTTATTATTGGAGCGGGGGAAGGCAGGCGGATATAAGCCACAACATTTTCTCCTCCCATGCCATAAATTATCTTTTTTGTCGTTTGATAGCCATAAGCCACAACCGTCTGGTCTTCAATGCCACACAGCATTTGAGTCTTCAGGCAATTGTTACGTTTAAAATGATGAATTTAGTGCATTGAAATTGCTTTTACAAAAATTGAGCCTCATTACGCAGAATAGTCTGTAGATTAAGAAAAGATGAGAAAAATCACAATATAAACTGTCATTACAGGTTTCCACCAAAAAATTCTATTTTGTAATTTTCTCATAAAGTATTGCAAATTTTAGGTTATGGGCGCCGTTTAAACTCAAGAGTATGTTATGGTTCACCATTTTTATTGTTCAAAATATTTTTAAAAAAATTTGCCATTATATTGGAAAGATGGACTTTATTTTTGGTGAAAAGTAAGTTTAGCAGTTAACATTAAAAGAATCATCATTATTTTAATATAAAGATCAAATATAAATGTCTTTTTAGATATCTTATGCACGTCGTGGCTGGATTTCAAATTTCAAATCACTAAATTTACCAATTGAAATGTGATAATTGCCGGAAGACTAAGATGCTGTGGCATTGAAGACCGCACGGTTGTGGCTTATGGCTCTCGGAATAAAAAAGCTAATATGTAGCATGAAAGGGAAAAATGTTGTGGTTTTCGGTCGCCTGCCTTCATCACTGTATATGACTGCAAATCGGACATTTTTTTATAAAAAAAAAAATTAAAGATTTTTGCAAGAAATATGAGAAAGAAAAAAGTTTGAATGTCAAGTGCCAAATAGGCATGATTTTAGGTTCAAAAATTAAAAACGCGTTTTCTAAAAACTATAAATTTTCCCACAAGAATTTTCTAATTATTATTTTCTGTTCTAGGACAATGATCTGATACAGCTTACTCCAGGTGTTCATCTCTCTCAGGACGGAGATGAAACTGACCAGAGATACGTTTCTCCGGCAGATGCCGTCTTGAAGCGTGGGGCGGACCTGATAATTGTAGGTCGAGGTATAACCGGGGCGGAGGATCCTGCAGAGGAGGCGGAGAGATATAAAAAGGCGGGTTGGAACGCCTACCTGGAGCGAACTGGTCAGGTTTAAGTCTGCAGATGGAAGATGACTGTAATATCGGGATATGGGGAAAATATCTTATATTTTACAACATGCATAATCTCAGACTATTTATAATCTCAAATGCATTTATACTCATAATGAAATAATTGATGTCTTTGATGTTAAAAAGATTTTAATCTGAAATGTGCCAATTTAATGAATTGTATCAATTTTACGATACTTAGGAAAATATATATTTCATCATTTGTGTAGTTAACCAATGTTTTTATTTTCTATGAACCAAAGGATAAATGCATGAATGAACGCATGTTTTATCCGCCCCAGGCAGGGAAAATTTTATGCTCCTACGTGTAAGAAATGCAAGGTTTCGTGTCGGTGAACTATTTTACTCTGGGTAGAAAGCTGGACAGGCAGAGAACAAATCGTGGCATTAGCGCAACAAGTATCCAATTTTAAACATCCACAACCCTCCTCTCTATTCTGAATATCAAGGGTTTTTTATTGTAGATTTTCAGAAAAGGAATTTGAATTTTCAGATGATATGAAGGACGCAATGGCGAAAGCAGCTCCCACTGGAAAGGTATTGGGCGCGACATTGACTTGAGAATATTTAAACCATGGAAATCTTTATCGGAAAAATGTATATGCAAGAAAAAATAAGTGGGATGTATATTGTATATGTAAAGTAGTAAAACCCGTCTACAGGCGAATTGATGAAGTTACTTTCGGTCGACTACGATAGAAGAACATATATCACTTCTGAACTGAAAACAGCATACATCTTTTTCTTTCAACTAATGCATAATACTGAACATCACAGAATTTGAAAAACTGCTTAATCCTGCTTAATCACAAAACTAGTTTTTACCATTGTACGACTGGAACATTTTATTTTCTCTTGTATTATGTTTGATCGTTCGTTATAAGTTAAAATGATTGATTAGATGGAAAACTAAATTTACCAAAAATCCCTAAAAATACAGGTTTGTTTTGTATGTATGGAATAGACCCCTTTTTTAAAATCTCCAAATAATAAGTGTGTGATAGTGTTAGAAAATAACTGACGAATTAAGAAAATTGTTAAAGATATCTGATGTTACAAATAATAAGTACGAAAGCTTTTAATTTGCTTGTAATTTTGATTGTATTTTACAAGTTTTCCTCATTCCTGTGGTCTTGATTGATTGAGTCTTGGTTGTTATTAATTAGTGGGTTGATTGGCAGGTAACTGATGCCCCTCTGACCGATGAAGAAATCGACGAACTGTTGACGAAGCTAACGAGTGAGGAGATAGAGAAGCTTCTAGAAGATACTGATCCAGATGATACGCATATGCCTCCAAGTGCCAGGTTATTTTTTACACTTACTTGGGATACTATTCAGGATTATACAGAGCGCTCCATATCATATTGGATGATCTCCAAGCTTTAACGCCAAAAGACACGCATAATGCTCGTAAAACCTGAATTTTTATATTAGCCTTATACATTTTAATAAAATGATTAATTTGTTTCTTATTTTTTCTGAGTAGTCCTTTAAATCTCAATTTAAAGCTATTAACGATCTAATATAGTGTATATATGTATGTGGAGTGTCCCTAACAATAACATGTCTAACAAGATTTTGGATAACTAACCATTAACGGGTCAACGAAATCTGAAGAAAAAATAGCAAGTTAAATATTTTTAATAATACAAAAACCATATTGATACTAGAGATACTTTTCAAATTTTGCATCCAACGAGGGAGGGGATATAGGGCCGCCAAGAGCCCCGCAAAATGCCTCCGTATTCGCAGAAAAGTAAGACCTGCGCAACCCTTAAACGTTAGAATAGATATTATAGAAGTATTAAATAAATAAAATTTATAATCTTTGAATAATTATACAGTGTTTTCATGAATATCCAAAAAGCATTGCATAACTATAAAAACGTTAAATATTTTTTTAAATATTTGTATACATTACTTCTAAAATACCTACACTAAAGGATGTGAGTAGCGCCAGGTCATTTTTAATACTCATCTGCGAATCCAGAGGGTTAGAGACCATTTCACGCGACTCATGGCGTCCCTGCACCCCCTCCCTAATCCTACAAGTAAAAATATTGTTCCAACAAAACAAAACTCAATTGTTTAAGTTGGTTTTATTTCCTAGGTGCACTTACCACTGTGAGAAGGCTCCAACCGGACCCTTGAACCGTAAAGCACTGCTCAATTATATATACGACCAGGCAAAGAAAACCCCTGACCAGCAGGATTATGTACCGCATGTACCGGGAACTGTACGCGGCAAAAAATGGATTAATCCTCAAATACAGGTTTGGATTTCTAGTACATTAGCCTAAGCACTAAGCAGACAAACATTTTGATATTAATCTTCACATATTTCAGGAAGAAAGTTTGGACGATTTCCAGCTGGATATAGATCTCGGCGACGAAATAGAAATGGCTTTAAACGATGCCTCAACACAAGACATGATAGATCTAGCCGGGATTATGGGACTTCACTCTTTAATCAACCAAGAGCAATACCACGCCTCACAGTCTGACAAAGCGGACAAGGCAGATCCAAACCTGGGCTGGGACGGAGTAACTAAAGCCACACCCCTCAAGTATTATCCTCCTGAGGCGCCCAACCTTACCAACCCTGACGAGGTTCTTGAGAAGATTATTGAAAATGATGAGGAGCAGAAGGAAGTGAACTTGAACAATGTTCCGGTCCCGGAGAAAACGTTCTTAGAAATATTCAAAGCTCTTCAGAATAACAAAGTTCTTCACAGTCTATCTCTTTCTAACACCAGTCTTACAGATTGGGCAGCCTGTAATCTTGCGCACACACTAGAGGCCAATGGAACCATTGAGAAGCTGAACCTTGAGTCCAACAACATCACCCCGCAAACGTTGTCTAAATTGTTTGAGGCAATCAACATCCAGGAGTCGGTAACGGAGTTGAAAGCTCTAAACCAGGCAGCACAGTGTTTGGGTAACAAGGTTGAGATGGCGATCACCAAGTCAATTGAGAACAACAAGACCCTACTGAAGGTTGGACTCCAGTTTGAGTTCAACGACTGTAGGAACAGGGTTGCAGTCCACCTGCAGAAGAATCTGGACAGGATTCGTCTCAAGAGAATTGCGGAAAAATTTATCAGTCGTGGAAACGCAACTGCCGGATATTTTGCTCCGCCTCCGGGCTCTCTTCCTGTCTGGAAGAAAGCTTCAACTCCAGAGTCGGAGTACGAGTATTATTATTCCGATCACTCAGACGACGAAGACTAGACCAGGACGGGTCGGGAAGAGACGGAGAAGTAGAATAATTATACTTTGTATTAATGTCTTCCATTTTTTATATTTCTATCTTTGCCAAACGTTTACCAAAGAAATAGGACAATCTCAAAACTCGTAACTTAAGGTGCTAAAACTTATACAATCTAGTCGAAAAAATAAATATTTGTCAAGAAATTTAATGTTTGTTCATCTATAAAATATATATCTGAATTTTGGTGCTTTATGACGACCCACTTTCAGAATGAAGTCTCTGGACAAAATGCTGGCTGACCGGGTGATAAAAACCATTAATGAATGTTTTGGTGATGATGTGACGAAGCTCAGAAAGGTTAATGAATACGAAGCTGACTTTGAGGAGAAAAAAGCTAGACTGGAGACAAGGTAACAAGTTGGAATAAATCTGCCCAAATCAAATAAAATCTGTTTTTATCATTTCTGAGGCAATAAATTGGATTAAAGTTTACTTTCCCTTAATGATAAGGGCATTTATTTTATTTTATAACGGTTCTTACTTAAATATTATAATTTTTTAGTACAGTCATACTCAGAAAGACCCGGAACTAACTTAAAATTAATCAGACGATTTTACAATTTAATTTTACTAATATTATTATTAAAACGATATATACAAAATAGCCGAGTCCTTCCAATTATAAAATATGATCTGCCTTTATGTGTGTTTAAAATTATAAATGTAAAGCCGTCTGACAAACTGACAATAAATTCCGGGTCTTTCAGGTTATGACTGTTTCTAAAATATTTGTTCTCCAGGTTAGATCACGCCAATTCTTCAGTTTCACATGAGATTCAAGATTTGCTAAATTCAGGTTTGTTTAATGTTTAAAACCTTGTTTATGGCTTTAATATATTTTGTTTATTTTGATTTATGTTGGCGGTAAGCAATAAGCATCCGAATTGTCAAGAGTAGTTGTTTAAGTACTTTATGACTAAAAACATAAACATCAACCATCATATATATTATGATAATCTTATGAGGAAAAAAATGTAATAATGGAAATTCTTAAACGAGATGAAATAATCTTGATGTATTCTTTAACGAAGGCCGCAGGCCTGAGTTAAAGAATGCATCAAGATTATTTCATCGAGTTTAAGAATACCATTATTACATTTTTATCCTCATAAGATTATTATTATATCATATTTGTGAGGTTCCATGGGCACATACCCAAGAAATTATATTAAAAAATAATTCTGGTGAAAACCGACTATTTCAAGTTGGAAGAGTTCACATTATGAAAGGTCGCAAATAAGTTTTATGCTCTTGTTCTGACTAACACTGTTTTTTATTTTTCTAATGTTAAAATGTTAAAAAAAAACATTTTAGAAGTAAAAATTGGTTCTTAAAGTCTGAGCGTTAAAGAATGAAAATTCTACACCTACAGTGTAAGAATAAGCATTCTTAAACGCAAGGAAGCGAACAATATTAAAATTGTTCCTCCTGAACCGTGTAATAATGGGAATTACTAAAAGATAGCTTTACTACTATGGAACCGAACAGATATGATATAATATAAATTTTTATGCGATATGATACAATACAATAAATTAATAATAAGTTAATAAGAAAAATTGGACCGCTAACTTTTATAGTTTGGGTGCTATGGAGGTTAAAAAATGTCAAAATTTTCTGTTTGTTTGTTTTTGACAAATATCAAGATTTGACACATGTTTTTACATTCATTTTTCAAGGGTTTTAATAAAATGTACTTCTTAGGTCTTTTACCGGCATGCACTGCACCTTACTCTACCCTATGTATCTATTTAAAAAAAAATTCTAAAACTCCTTTAAATTACTATTCCTTAGAGTAAAACAATTTTAAGGTGATAGTGTCACAAATTATGGTGCTAGGGCTAAATAACTATGTACTCTTTTTAACAAACTTCGGTGTAATTTTAACAAGAAAAAATTAAGCAAATCTTGTTTCTATCTCAGGAGATAAACTGGAGAAGAGAGTTTCAGATCTAACTGCTCAACAAGATTCTCTTCTTATTATTGCTAGGTAGGATATTCTCTTCAAAAACACAGTTTTTTTAATCAGCATTAAGACCAAGGGACAAAGGTAAATACGAACAAACCTGAAACTTCAAGAAAGTTGGCGAATCAATATTTTTTCAGATTTTATGTCCCACATTATTTCGGATCGTTTATGGCTCTAAACTGCGATTTTCGGGACGAATCAAAAAAATTAAAAATGTATAAGCCTGATATGAAAATAAGCATGCAGAAAACACCAGGTTTTTCGAGTATTATGTTTTTATTTCAACGTTAAAAATTTTGGAGATAATCCAATATATGATATGGGACGCTCTGTATAAACTTTTATTTTTTTCAATACGTTTTATTTTCAGTGTTAATAGATAAATAATCTGCAAATGTATTTTGATCAGAGAACAATTAGTGATAATAAGAATAAGTTATCTATATTTATTGAACAACTAACTGCAGGAAATAAACTTCTAATGTCAACACTACAAATGGAAAAAATATCTCATTTTGATAAATGCAAAGGTCCGGGAATTTGTTTTTATACCGACAATATAAAATGTACTTTAGTCGCCTCGATAAAGTTTAAACGTAATTAAAAAGAAAAAGTTTCTATAAACCGAAATATCTGATTTATTCTTACGGAACATCATTAGAATTGATAAAAATCTATAACTATACTGAAAATGCTTGATTTGTCCTTCAGGTTTGCTGGGAAAAGTTCTAAATGCACCTAATAATGTCATAATTATATGTATTATATGTAGTAACAATTGATCATATCGGTAGCTTCAAAACAGCTTTTAACTGCATATGTATCAGTAAAGTAATTTTAGAAATTAAGGTTGTTTCATAAAATTCTTCATCTCTCCTCTAAGTTTCTTCCCCTGAGGATTGTGAGGAATCTTCTCCACAAAGTAAATTTTCCCTGTAATTTTTCTAGTGCAAGGAAGGTTAGCGTCTACTAAGCTGCAAATTTTAGCTTTAGTCCATTCTTTCTGGTTTTGCTTCTGAACAATCCCAAGATTTACCTGTAAAAGATACAATTAATTAAAGCAAGCTGACATTCCTTCATTTTTTAATTCATGTACCTGATCATTTCCTGTATTAGGATCATACTCCCCCCAGACACAGGCTTCATCAATGGTTGGTTCTTTCTCCAGTAGGTTTTCTATCTCTGCAGGTCCAAACCAGTAGTTGTCCACTTTCAGGACCTCTCTCATTCTGTAGCTGAAGAAAATCTTTCCAAAATTGTCATAGTAACCAATGTCTCCAGTGAAGCCAAATCCATCTGAGTCAAAGAACTCATTTGTTTCTTTCTCTCTGTTAAGATATCTCATCATCATGGTGTTAGTTTTTACCATAATTTTTCCTTCCTTGCCTGGGTCCAACCTTTCCCCTGTATTTATATCCTGGATACAAATTTCAACACCAGCCGCCAGGCTTCCAAGCAATCCAAATTCTATATCTTTTACTTCATGTTTGGAAACAAACATAACTTCTGTACTTCCATACATTTCTACCAACGTTGCCTGGGAACCAAGCAGACTAAGAACTTTTTCAGAGCATCCTGGAGATACTGCACCTCCCAGAGGAGTAATATTTTTAACACCATTAAGGTTGTAACCATTGGTTTTTGTGTTGCTGACCTGAATATACTGACTGACTCCACAAAATACATGTTCAGGTTGAATCTTCTCTGCAACTTTTAGAAGATTCTCTCCTGAGAAACATTTCTCTTTCATAATGTAGCAAATAGTTCCTTTAAGAATGCCTAGGGTAAGGTTGAATGTAAAGCTTGAAATATGAAACATCAATGCAGAAGAAATGATTGTCTTTGGCTTTAAATCATGTCCAAAATAAAGGTTTAGAAGATTCTTCTGTGAATGAAGGATTCCCTTGGGAGTTCCTGATGAGCCACTACTCCACATGATAATCGATTCTCTATCAGGGGTAAAATCAAGCAGCAATGGCATTTTCTGAGTTTCTTGAACTCTCATCAAGGTCTGAAAACTCTCTACTCCTAAAGGAAGAGTATCTTGCTCTCCAGCATCCAGGATGAAATACTTAACATTCTTCCCTTGTAATTTCAATTCTTGTATTACTTTGTAATATTTATCCAGATAATCAATGCTGCTTACTAAAACCTTTGCTTTTGTTTCTTCAAGTTGTTTCTTAATGTTGGTTTCAGATAAGTTAGGATCCCCTAGACTCACGGTACCTCCACACAACCAGGCTCCGAACACAGGCCAGTAGAAGTCAAGACATGATGAATATCCTGTTTGAAGAACATCTCCAGGACCAAACCCTAAACTCAAAAGTGCACTCGCTACCCTTCTGCTGATCGGCTCTATTTGTGAAATAGTGCGAGAAGACCCTGTCTCTGTATCCACCAACCAGTCTCTGTCTCCAGTATCATCTAGTTCTTGGTTGATCTCAGATAGCAATCGTTCAATGTAGGGTTGATTAGGTTGTTCAGGTTTAGGTTCCAATGTTGAGTAAATTATTTTGTCTTTTATGACGTTCATGTTGATTCTAATATTGTTCAAGAATAACTGTCATCAAAGTAAAGATATCTAAGAAGATAACAGTTTGAGGTTCTGTACATGGGGGTGGGGTGGGGTCTCGTGATATGTGATAGGAATAAAATTTTGTTCGTTTATGTTAAAAAATATAATATATAATATTACAATAAGTCCAAGCATCATATCATAGCGTAATTGTGACCAAGATTACACTAATTTACTGTAATGTATAAAAATAATCTTTATTATAGTTCTAATTATAGGATTAGATTGTCGGGTCGGAGTGGTAGATAATCTATTATTACTAGTTAAAGAGCTAGAAATTGAACCCTGCGCCCTCCGAGGGGCTTATTCAGGGTGGGTGACTGTATGGGTGACCCCCCCTGGGTAATTGAAAACTATGGTTCCACTGGGGGGGAGGAGGGGGGAATTAGCCTATCCTGGAAACATGAAACATTTCCTATATACGTTCTTGAGTCATGACCCATCCCTCTATTTCTGATAACAATATGTATATTGAAGTTAGTTGAAGGGCCGGGGATAGGGGGAGGGTTGAAAAGTTGTGTATTATATACATAGTGTAATATTTGATTACACAATCAAAGATAAAGTCTGTGAGGAGGGGAGAAGATATATCTTATTTCAAACATACTCTTTAAAGCCCTTTTTAGAGGCGGCTCAAATTCTTGTTTAAAGGTTAACATTTAGAGGTTCAACAAAATGTACATTTTTTTCTGAACACTTTACAAAAAATTATACCAATTTATATTAAATTTCAAACAATGAAAAGATTTTGGGATGAATGGGGGGGGGGAGATTTGCACGTCTCTAGATGCAAAGTTTGCGAAACGTGATCTTAAAATAAATAAAACAAAACAAAAATAAATTTGTTGTTTGTCCTTGACGTAATATGCTGACATTGCATCACGTCTCAAACTTGAAATAAGGAATGACGATTCATTTATTTACTTTTCCAGTCCCCCAACTTGCCCTCTGTACACCTAGTATTCTAGATAAACAAATCATCTATATATTAAAGTTGTAATCTCTGTTTGTTTGTTTGTGCGATCATAACTTAGGAACTACTTGACTGATTTGCCTCAAATTTTGATTTAGGAACTCGGGAGACCCACGGGAATGTTCTTAGCTTGGTTTAAAGATTCTAAATTGAGTAACTAAAATCGCAATTGACAAGGGGTGGGTAAGCGGTGAGACTAACTATGACGCTGGGTTCCCAAGCTAGTAATATAATAAAGTTATAAGAAAAAAATCTTGAAATAATATTTTTCTTAATACGTTCTAGGTACTAAACGAAAATATTAAAATTTATTTTAAGATATATTTTAAATTAAATTGTGTCATGAATATTCGTTAATTTTTTTGTTAATTCACATTCAATATAGAATGAATTCCTAAACAAAAGCTCATAAGATACATTTACAAATGCACTTAAAAAATTATTGTATTTTTCAGAAATATTGCCAATTTTAGATTTTATTTTATTTTATTTTAGTTTTATAAGTACATATAAGTATTCTGATGACTTTATTATGACATAGGAGAAGAATTTTATGATCAATAAATATTTATTAATTTTGTATTTAGGGAAACTGCTGAGCATTGTAGAAGGTTTTCTACAGAGAACAGAGAACTATTGACTGATATATCGTGTGTTAGAGGAGTAACACAGGTATACATTTAAATAAGTTTCATTGATAGGAACTCATTACTCTAATTTTCGAAACCTTATATCTTAGCAACCAGATATGATCATTTTAGGTACCTTTACCTGACAGGTCAAATAATGAATTTTTGGGGGAATTTTTCTTGTCTGGTTCGTTGGATCCATAATTTTTCCAGATTCTTAATTCAATATAGAACTGGGATGTATATGTATTGCAGTAAGCCGTCCATAGGCTGATGATGAAGGATTCTTCTAAGGCCTTCTACAACAGTGGAACCTAACCATTTCAAAACTTTTGATATTTCAAGTTTACACCATCTAGTTTCAAAGATAAATGGATGGTAAAATTGTGAGATATAGTGGAGTAATCAGTTTCTTTATAGATAAGATGGTTAGTTTACCAATCTCATTAATTGAAACAAAACTTTGCCCATTGACTATGCAATATGCATCTACTTCTATGTACTTTTTAAAAAATGAATGCCTTTCTTTATCTTTTTGTATACATTTAATAAATAGATAAAGGTATACATTTATATATCTTTATCTTCTTACTAGCTTGGGAACCCAGTTTTGTCTGGAATTTTTCTCATTAAAGTCAACCCACTCAACTTTGAATTTTTAAACCAGACTAAGATTATTTACGTGGTTCCAATGAGTTCCCCAATCAAACTTTGATGCAAATACGTTGAGGGTTTCAGGAGTTATGATCGGACATCCAAAAAAACAAAAACAAAAACGTGCAAAAGAGATTACTACTTTATAAATATTGATTTACCTGCATTTATATATTTATGATTATTAATGGTATCAACACAAATATGAATTGCAAAGCGAGTTTTGTTTAAATTATTTATTTATAGCCGCAGAACTGAATGCAAATTGCAATGCAATAACATGTGAGAGGGGGGGGGGGAGAATATTTTTAAATGATAATGTCAAGTCAATTACCCCTGCTTATATATTCACTGTTAATAAAGTATATATTTATAATGTGATGTTAAAACACATAATAAAAAACAAGTTTTCTATTATGATTTATGAAAGGTTTAGGAACCCATTAAAGTTATTTATCATAACTTTTTATGTCTTGTCACGCTTGTTCGCATACAACTCGACTAAAAGGAAGTTAATGGGACGGAGAACAACAGTTTTTAATGTAAACAAGGAGTGAAGAGTGAGCTGAGGCAAATAGAAGGATATTAAACCCAACATAAACCTGATACCCTCCTACTCTACCTAACAAATAGGACCTTATTCATACACCGTAGTTAATCAATAGACCTTCACTTGGTAACAGGCAGTTAAGCTCTTTCATTGTTAGTGAATAATTTATCTATTTACGCTTACAGGTACTGTCCTCGTAATTTCTTGATAACCCTTTATTCAAAGATATAGAGCCATGACCGATTCACAATTTAAATCTTTATCTGATTACAGTGGAAGATGTCATCGTTTTCTAGCATGGGGTGTTTAATTCTAACAATTTCCTCTAATGTTTCTGTTGCATGAATTCGTCATCGTTTTCTAGCATGGGGTGTTTAATTCTAACAATATCCTCTAATGTTTCTGTTGCATGAATTCATAACGAACAAAAAAATTGAAATAATCAATTTTCAGAGACAAACCCATGGATATCTCTATCTATGGTATCGTTGTGATTTAGACATTCTTCTTTATAAAGGAAGGTTCACTTGAATTTACGCCTTCAGTCCCTTTAAACTGGTACATTATCATGTATATTTGCTAAAACTATTGTAAAAATATTTATATTTAGTAAGGTGTACACTGTACAGTTTACTTTAGAATTTATGTATGTGTTGCAGTTCTGACCAAACCTCTAGTATTTACTTTATAAGGAATTTATAGGATCCATCAGGGTTCAGCTAGATTTAAAATTCAGTGATGTTGATGGACCAAACCTCTGTAGAGTAAAAAAAGTAGATGTTAGTTCCACGTTTATTAAAAATATATTTCGGTCTGGGTTGACCCTCGTCAGTTCTTGAGATTGTTTCTGTCACAAAGATTACAGGGTTACCCACAATGGATGAGACTGTACGGACTACTTGGAACTCTTTATATATGACGATCTCCAGTTTAAATTGAGACTTTTGCCTTAAATTTAGTCTTATAAAGGCATATTAAATGATACAATTTAAAAGCTGCAGAGAATCATAAATATTAGGAAACGGACAAAATAAATTTCGTAAAGTCGTCTCTGAAGTATCATTCCTTTGCGGGTAACCCTGTATACTATATTAATTACTTTATTATGATAATCAGCTTTTTGTGACGTAGAGCCACTAAATAAACAATATTCACATACTATATGTATACTTCATTGAACAGTTTAAAAAATCTATTTTTTTAATTGGGCCCATAAAATATCAAGTATATCGCTTGGGATGAGTTTTTCTCTATGCGAATAAAAATTACAATACTTAATCATAAAATTTCACTATGCCCTGAAAAATCCCTTTTGTCGATACCTAAAAGTATCATGTGACCAAGGAATACCCGCCAAAAGGAGGACTGAGTAAACCTCGCATATTTGTACAAATTCAAATTCTATCAGAGTGTTCAACATATCGAACTGTCTTCGGTACTTGATAGATCGACAACAATGTGTTAAGATTTTTACAAACCTAATGTACACCGTTTTTATGTACTGTATTAAAAACTTTATGTACACCATTCTGTGTTTAATATATCTTTTTTCTCACGTTATAATGTACCGAAGTACATCTGACCTTATTTAGTCTTTTACAAACAACCTTATGCTTTTAAACACACAGCGTATTATTATATTTTCTATATTCTTATCATAAATATACAATACATTACATATATTTATTCCTGAAAGTTGTATTCTCTTTTTCATGAACTCTGTATCCTAGTACACTCTATGGCTGCGACTGGTGGAGCAGGTCAGTCTAGACCTGTCTGTTTCTTTGGAGACCCGGGATAAAGACCAGGTAGGATTTCATATTAAATACTATCTTACGATGATAAGATTATTCTACAACAACGTAATCTAGATAATAAATGCGTACAAGAAAATGCAGGATGTAAGAACAGCGCTTCAGGAGTCAAAGGTAAAAAAGGACAGAGCAGGGGGAACAGGAAACAGGGGACAGGAACAGGGAACAGAAACTGGGAACAGGAACTAGGAACAGTAACGGGAACAGGGGGAACAGGAACAGTAACAAAAGGAAACAGGAAACAGGAACGAGAACGGGAACGGGAACGGGAGCGGGAACGGGAACAAGAACAGGACAAAAAGAACGTCAATATTTTTTGTCAAATACAGCTATACTAATATTTAGTGTGAGAACTTGAAGAAGTATGTAGATGAAACTGTAGAACATTGGCATAAGATTGTCACGCAGACCTACACCACCTCCCTGCAGTCATCTCTAGACCTCTTCAACTGGCCTTTTATAGAGTCCTTGGAAAACTCGGTACATTCTTTAAACATTCACTGAAAAAAAGTTAGTTTTAGTTCATAGTTATTTTTTTAGAAAAAGTCGATTGCTGATCTAATTCGAATTGGTTCTGACGATATTCGAGCGCTGAGAGATTCTATCGAGCTTCTTCTGCTAGTTCAGCATCCAGCAGAGCAGGGGGAGAAGTTCTTCCTAAACCTGCCGATGAGGGTGCTCATGAAACCTCTTCGGAAGAGGTTTAAGTTTCATTTCCTTGGAACAAAATCCACAAATAACCCGTCCAAACCTGAATGGTTCGTGACACAACTCTCAACCTGGGCAATGTCTCACAGGTACATTTCAATTCTTTAATTTCATCTAGCTTTGTATTTATGTACTATATGCAAAAAAATGGTCCGGATCCTGGATTCTACTTATAACGAAGAAATAAATCCGGATTCACCCAGGGGCGTACGAGGGCTTTTGTTTAGGGGGGGGCACAAATTGCGCGCGTAAGCGCGCAAAAAAATTTTTTTGGTCCCCCCCCTTGGCAACATTGTGCCCCCCCCTTAAAAACCCCTTTTTGGAAAAAATATTAATACCTTTTTTAATTTTTTTTGCCCCCCCCCCTCCCACCTGGACTTGTTTTGTTCACCATAAAAATACACCAAAAAGACTACTTTTTTGGGTGTTACTAACCTTAGAGTCTAAAAATTATTCCTTTGTTTGAAAAACTAACTTTTTGACTTTATAACCTTATCACTTACCTCCATCACAGCTAACTAAATCAATAATCACAGCATCATTAAAAATTATATTTTTACTAATAAACGAAATTCTTCTGAAATTTTTAGATAGAATTTACTCAATCTACATATTTACCCAACTCTTTTAAGCTAAAATTTTCTGGGATTTGCTTGTACAAACATTTCAATGATTTTTTTTCAATAGAGAGCTCAGACAGGGTGTAAAGCTATAAATAAGTGCAAGATCGTTAAGTCTGCTCTCCGTCATACTACATCTTGTGTAATGAAGTATTCTCTTTAGAAGGCTAAAACTTTTCTCTCCTTGTAGTAACAGTGAATTCAGACAAATCCTTAGTCTTTGTCATTGTCAGGTGTTACTTTTTAAACGTTGTTTCCTTTTAATTTTGTATTTTTGGAACTCCCAGGGGGGCAAGAGGACTACTGTCTCCCCTAGGTACACCACTGTGCCTGACCTGAGGAAGGGAAATGCAAGCAGATGTAATATTAAAAGAGCCTCCCCCATGGATGCCCCCCATCAGCCTCTCAGGGGGGGCACGCGTAGAGGGGGGCGGGGGGGCGCGGCCCCCCCCCTCGTACGCCCCTGGATTCACCGCGTAAATTTTTGACTTATTTCTTTTACCGAAAGAACTAAAAGACTATTTTTTTGAGCAAAAAATAAAATTAAGGTTCTAGCATATTTTTCCGGAACCGGATTCTAAGCACTGATTTTTAGACAGTTTTTGACGGAGTATGTACAGCCGGCCTATGACAGGGTTGGTTCTCCCATTTTCGCAATAAGAGAGTTTGCGCAGGTTTTATTTTATTTTCTTATCTTCTTTATTAAACATAATTTGATTTATTTTCTTCTCGTCTGTTTGTCTTCTTGTACCCGGTTCAAATTATTTCCGAAATTGTTATCATAATTTTGTAATAACAAGATCAAACCTGTTTATTACATTTATGATTTTACAAAAATGGTAAAATGGAAATCCAAAAATTTTACCTTGCCAAAATTGTTTTTATATAAAGAGATTATGGTAGTAGTATCCCCCTGTTTAGGTAGATTCATTAGTTTGTTCTAAATAATTTTTTATCAATTGGACTAGTGTCAATAATTTCAGAATCTTATCTTCTAATTCATTTTAAGAACGTTAGTTATAATTTTACCGCCTTTAAATAAACATTATTTACCTGTAGGATTATTTAATTCAATTTAATTTTATTTAATTTGATGACTGAAGTTTTGTGTTCCCTTGGGTAATGTAACATCGTCAATACGCAATATCCTCTCTACTGAACTTCCGACCTTCTGCAATATCGGACCTATGAAATCTATTTATTTGTATTTTATTTCAAGGTTAGGTTATAAGGTAACGACAATTTCTGGGCCGATCGCCGCGGCTAGGACAGACTAGGGGGGCCAGTTGCTGCGGCCACATGTCCATTTACAGTTGCAAAACCAGTGCTAGTAGGTCGGAACTGTAGTATAGCGGATGTGGCGTAGGTCAGTAGTGGAGTATACGCGGACATGCGTAGGTCGAAACCATCTAATTCTGTGCGCGATATGCTTTTTTCAAATGCTTTTAAAATGTGTCTATGTTTTTTATCACTAATCTTGAATCCCTTTTACTAATTATCAATTAGTGCAACGCGAAAAATTTCTCACTGATAAAATCTAGCACACTTTGAGTCATTTCTTGCTCACGGCTTCATAATTAAATAATTTAAAAAAAAACAAATCTTAAATAGAACATTGAAACAAACAACTTGTTTCAAGGAATTAAAACGACATCTGACGATGGTATAAAGGAGCCATGGTCATTTCCAAGTCCACAGTAAGGGAATTGGAGAAAATCCAACACTCCGTGGCTTCCTTCATCCTACAGCTTCCCCAATCCTCATTCCAGGTTATGGGATGGATGGAGGCGGGGCTAAAACCCATTCAGATGCGTCTGGATGAAAGAGCGGTCCTGTTTGCTCACCATCTCTTAACAAAGAAAAATGACATTCTTTCAAAGACAGTAGCACAGGCTACACTGTCAGATATGACAGATTCATGGACTAAACGAATAAAGTCCTTACAAATTGAGCTAGGCATCCCAGACCTAACCCAGATCTCTAAAGCAAAATTGAAATAACAGGTTCTGTCTAACCAGATTATCAAGCTCCAGATGACTAAGCAGTCACACTCATCTCTGAAACGGTTATCAGAACCAAGAAATTGGTTCAAGCCTAATCCTCAATTAAATGACTCCAAAGAGTGTGCAGCCATTAACCAGTTCAAAGCAGGAGATGCTGGGCTAGGGAACAGACGTCCTAATCACGTGGGTCACTCGTACAAGCAGTGCCCTTGGTGTTCTACCCAGGGAGTCCTTAATAAACTAGATGAGCAGCATGTACTATTAGTCTGCCCAAGCACAAGCTTCGCCAAGTTCTCCACAGGCGTGCAATCATTCCAGGATGCAAGATCACCTATGATGTCAAAGAAGCGGATAATGAAGGAGTTCCTGGGAGGTAACAGATCCAATGTAAATGTCATGACTTAAAGAGGATTTTGGATTATTTCCATACTTGACTTAAAGAGGAGTTTGGATTATTTCCATACCTAAGGAATGGAGAAGGGTAACGGAACTACTCTTAACAGGTGAAAATTATAAATTAAAAAAGAAACACAGTTCTCCATGATGGTTAAACAAATGCAGGTAATGGGTGTATTAAATGATAGGCTGTTGCAGGGCACGCATCGTGACTCTGATCACGCTATACCTCCAGGTTGTACCCCTCCATGGAATGGAGGCCGGGCTAGATCAGTACTATTCTCACCTGTAGGGTCAGATACTACTGTTGGCGGTCTGGGTTGCTCAACATGGGGCTTCTTGCAGATCTCATAAAACATAAATCATAAATCATAAATCATTAAATAAATAAAGGTTGCGTTTATTACGTCGTGTATCTTACCCGCTTATCTTTACAACATTATAAATAGGAATGATTCTCCATTGGAATATTATGACCTTAAATTTGGAAAATTTACCTTAAACCTTCATAAGTTAAAAGTTAAACTAGAAGCATTCCATCCAATCCCATTTAATTTATTTTGGTATATATTTACTTCTGTGTATGGATACGTTTTAGCGGATTTTATTGAACGCAGGGTTGTCCTGTAATAATGAGCATAATTTAATTTAAAATGTATTCAGGGTCTGGTTTGCTTGGCGGTGGATAAGCTTTGTGTTGATATTCCCATTGTAGTTGAAGACGACATTTTATTTGCTCACACTATAGACGAAGCTATAGGTAACAATAGATGCCTTAATTGGAAGAGGGTCATTTAATTTTAAAATCCTTTAATTGACAAGACGAGGCAAAACAATAAATTTATAAAATGAAGACAGTGGGTAAATTTTAAGTTATATTTTGATGCATTTAAAAATTGGATCTTCATGTTAGTAATTGAGAAATAAGTTTTTTAACTGTCATCTTTTTTAGGATTAGCACGTGATATGAGCAATATTATGCAGTATAGTTCATCCCAACCCAGTGTTCTTCAACCCTTGACAACACAGGGTATATTCTCCAGGTTGGGTATATAGTTTATCCTAACTCAGTACAGGGTATATTCTTCAGGTGGGGTTTATAGTATATCATAACCCAGTACAGGATATATTCTCCAGGTTGGGTTTATAGTTTATCATAACGCAGTACAGGGTATATTCTCCTGGGTGGGGTTTATAGTTTATCATAACCCAGTACAGGGTACATTCTCCAGGTTGGGTTTATAGTTTATCCTATTCCAAACCCAATACAGGGTGTAAATATATTCTCCAGTTTGGGTTTACAGTAAATCTTAACCCAGTATAGGATATCTTCTCCAGGTTGGGTTTATAGTTTATCCTAACCAGTACAGGGTACATACTCCAGGTTGGGTTTATAGTTTATCCTACCCCAGTACAGGGTACATAATCCAGGTTGGGTTAATAGGTTATCCTAACCCAGTACAGGGTATATTCTCCTGGGTGGGGTTTATAGTTTATCCTAACCCAGTACAGGGTACATACTCCAGGTGGGGCTTATAGTTTATCCTAACCCAGTACAGGGTATATTCTCCAGGTTGGGTTTATAGTTTATCCTAACCCAGTACAGGGTATATTCTCCAGGTTGGGTTTATAGTTTAGCATAACCCATTAAAGGGTATATTCTTCAGGTTGGGTTTATAGTTTATCCTAACCCAGTACAGCGTATATTCTCCTGGTTGGATTTATAGTTTAGTTTATCCTATTCCAAACCCAATACAGGGTGTAAATATATTCTCCAGTTTGGGTTTACAGTAAATCCTAACCCAGTATAGGATATCTTCTTCAGGTTTGGTTTTTAATTTATCCTAACCCGGTACAGGAAGGGTTTAATTCAAAATTATATCTCAAGTTTTGATAGCACAAGACACAAGTGTATTTTTAACACCAGTATTCAATTGCATAAGAAATAGGAGTCAGTTCAGCATCTCTTTACCTCTTTATACAAACTGTTTCGGAATCAAAAATTAGAATTTTAGAAAAGTCAGCGTAGTCTTATAAAACTGACATAAAGCGAATACTGGACCCTGAGTACAATGTACTCTGTACTTACGTTATCAAGTACTTAAATAAAATACGTAATTTTTTTTCCAGATGGTTGAACATGGAGAGGAAGTTTGCTTTCGAGAAGGTGGACAACTTGTTCATGGAGCAGGGTACATCCGTCTGGGAGTCCGAAGTAGGTCAGAAAAGTAACTTTTAACAAAGTGGGACTAATAAAACTACAATAGTGCAGTGCTCACAGACCTATTTCCTTTAATAAGTTGATTTTCAAGCTACGGGTAAAATTATTTACCCTACAACATCAAATATACGTCTTCATTTTCTACAGTTTTATGGGTTCTACTATAGAAAAACTAAAAATAGTTTTGGATATTGTTACAGACACTGTGCGTTAATCAAAAGTTGTTAAATATTTGATAGGAGACAGTTTAACACCTAGAGCAGCAGAAACCTTCCTAGCTCTTCTACTCTCAGTTACAGAGAGATATAAGTTCTTATCCGACTCTCATCATAGACTTGAGTTCCTTAAACTACAGTTGGATCTTATAGAGGTACATAACCCTTTATACAATTATGGTTTGTATTCGTTCATATCTTCTCATTATTTACTTTGTTATCATTTTATTGGCGGCTAATGATATTTTCCAGGGGGTGGAATAATTGAATTATTGGGGACGAAGCTCGCCGAATGCCCCCCCCCCCTACCTTGACAAAAAAATCTCCCCCCCCCCTGGAATTTGTGTCAATTTTTTGTCAAAACCTTAAACAGCTGGGGATGGAAGGCGGAAAGTGTCTTAGCAAATTTTCATTTTGAATAAAAAAATGTTGAACCTTTTCTCAAAAATCAAAATTGAAGGACTAGAAGTTGCCTGCCTCTCTTCTTGCGCTCCTAACTTTTCCGGGGAGGGGGACGTCCCTTCTCTCATAAGCCGCCGTTGTATAATTTCCCGTTTATCTTAAAACAAACATTACAAAAATCTTGTATGCATTTTAAGGATTTTCGTGTCCGTTTGGTTCAATTGGCTCGGACGGAGAAGAAGTCTCCACTGAGTTCTAACCTTTGTCCAATTCTGAACACGTTGGAGCACCTTATCCTTGTGCTGGGTAACTGGGCGGAGACCCCCTTCTTCCTCAATCTACAGTTCCAGAAGAGCAATGTTAAACCTGGCTCTGGGGAGGATTTAGAACAGAGAGAGAATACAAAACCTAATCCCGACTCCGGTATGGAGAATACAGTGTTCGAGGATAGTATTGAGGAGCTTGAGTATCTCAGAGAGAATCTGATCAACGAGGTGGTTGAATCTATATACTACACTATTACAGCGAGATCGTTAAAATACAGGACGGAGGTGAGAGTTTTTAATCATATATTTCATAAATCAAATAAAGGGTGTCCCACATCATTTCGAATCGTATTATCGTTTATGGCTTTAAATTGCGATTTTCGGGACTAATCATTTAGAAAGATTAAACCAATTTTAAGAAATTGTTTAAGCCTATTATAAAAATTTGCATGCAGAAAACACTAGATTTTTTTTTAATATTATGTTTTTATTTCAGCGTCAAATGTTGGAGATAATCCAATTTGATATGAGACGCTCTGTATCATAAATCTATCTTTAAATTGTTTCAATATTCTGAACTTATCCCCTCTTATCTGTAGACGAAATGGTTCAGTATGTCGGACAGCGGGAAAACAATAAGTCCTAAAATTTGCGAGATGTTGCAAAGTCTTGCTTTTGGTCTGGATGCAGCTCGGAGAAGGATAAACCCTGCTGCCTTCCAGCTAGTGTGGAGAAACCTGGCAGATCGTCTTCACTCATTTATCATTCAGGAGATTATACTCAGTAATAAGTAAGTGTTAACATACAGTTTTAACTACATTGACTCATATTTTTTCGGCAAATTTCACCTTTTAATATCACGGGGCCGTTCAAGTACATTTAATATAGACTGAGAACAAAAACATGAACAATTTGTATGTATAATTTTATGAAAGAAAAAATATTTGAAAGATTTTCATATAAAGAATAAACTATTTTGCTACATTCATTGAAAGGAATAAATATTGTATGTTATGCTATTTAGGTTCTGTATAGAGGGGGCGGAGCAGCTAGATTTTGACATGAAAACTGGAGTTTTTCCAATTTTCGGAGAATTCTCCAAATTCCCTCAATCCTACTTTCCACAGCTTGTGGTAGGTTCAAATTGTACAATCTTTTTGTAAATGAATGTTTAAGCTTTTTCCTCAATTTGATATTAATTACTAGTTATAGTATGTTTTAATTGTTCTAATCAATTTTATTATTTCTTGGTTTTAGATAGTTTTAAGTTTTTTCTCCATTTGAAATCTGGAATCCCAGGAAATTACTAGTTTGATAAAGTATCTTTTTTCTCAACTCAATCTACTAGTTTATTTTAAGTGTCAGATGTTTTTTTATCAATTAAAAAAAATTTCAGGATGCTTTGAAATTGTTAAAAAGTTGTGCTGGTCCCCTGGTTCTAGCGTATCAGGGTCTACTGGATACCTGTGAAACCGGGGCAATTAATATCCTGGCAGACCTGGGTATTCAACATCTCACCAGGGATCGGGCTTGTCTCATCATCAGTACTAGGATAGACCTGGAGTTATGATAAAGTAGTCATGGCTGTACATTTTTACGGGAGATAATCCTACTCCCGATTATAGTTTTCTTTCAGTGGTAGGCGAATTTATCAATATAATGAAGACGACTAAGTTTATTTTGGAATTAAAAGATGACAAATAATTGAAGAGAAGCTCTTTTAATTGACAGCTTCTCTTTGTTTCATGTGTTTAATTAAAAGCTTGATCAAAATTTAAATCGAACGTCGCCTTTATTATATTGATATAATCTCCTACCACTGTATCAAAATGAAGTTCTTTACCAAGTCTACAATAACTTCTTGCAGTAAATGTTGTTAAACTAATTTACCAACAAATGCTTGTTTTAGCTGAAAATGATTACAATAATACAAAACTGATATGGTTCATTGTTGTTATCGTTTCTTAATCCAATATGTAGAATAACCCTGAATGAAATGTTTTCATGCTAAATGGACATCACCATGTTTTTTAATTACATGTAAAAGAAAAATGATAATTTATTATTTTCCTTGAAAAATCTTGTCCCCTCTTAAAACACTTCATCGTTATTTTGATCTATAATCGTCTCAATTCAACCAGTTGTGATAAATATCTAAATAAGTTTGCTGAGTGCTGATAAAAGATGAATTTTTATGATTTAATGTTAACTATTTAATATTTAAAAAATATTTATAAATTGCATTTATTTGTTTGTTTCAGTAAAATGTAGGTGTGGCGGGGGGCGGGACTAGGACAGAAACTCTGCTGTGATACAAGAATGGGGAGAATATCGAAACACGTGATCTCAAAGCTTTTTCAGTTCTCAATAGGTGAATACCTTAAAAAGTAAAATATTGACAAAATTATACCGATTAAGGGAAAAAATGATTGAAAGGAAGATAAAAACACTGGACACTCACTAATAATTCTAATTTTCTTATCTTTATATCTTTCCAATCTAATAACTTAAAACTTAGTTATTTTTCACTTCGACTTTTTGATCCAAAAGATTTAATATTTTAAGATATCAGATATCAGAATGTTACTTCTAGGAGTTCTGGTCGGGCATCTTGTGATGAGCTTCCTAATCCCTTTATCTCAAGTTAGAACACATAGGGTCAGATTAAAGTCGAACCAAGAGTTAAACTTAGGACCCCGGATCCCTATATTTGCCGGAGTCATGACCGCGGGAAAATATTTAAATTCAAGAGGATGCAGCTCTTGGAGATCCTGGGGCGCTGATTTAGGTATATTATTTAATAATTTTATCCCCGCCAGTTTTCATATTTAACATTTGAATTTTAGTTAAACGTGGTGGAGAAGTTCGTTACTTTGTTGGAACCTCTGACTCTGGTCTGCCTCCGAACGCATGCAACTTACCTGTTGTAGTTCTACAGGGTATCAGAGATGAGGACTATCCTCCACAGAGGAAATCCTTTGCCATGTTTCGCTGGATCGAGCAGCACTATGGGAACAGGTTTGTTTAAGATATTGGGTAAAATATTAGCAGATGCCGCCTGTAGCCCCCCAACATACCTTATACAAAACAGCAAATTCAGACTTTAACGAGAAATAGTGTGTGTATATGTTATATCCATACATTTGGGTGGGGGTCTAAGAGTTAAGTACTTGTATTTATTTTTATCCAAACATTGTCTGTTTTAATTCATTTCGTAAAATCTCCCCTTTTTAGATCTTCTTGGTTCCTAAGAACTGATGACGACGTATATCTAAATGTAGAGAGAATGCTGGATTTTCTTGGCGGATTAGACGGTCGAGATCCTCATTTTATTGGTCAGGCGGGTCGGGGACTTGCTAAAGAAGAAGGTAAACTCTCTCTACAGTGGAACCAGAACTTCTGTATGGGTGGAACTGGAATGGTTCTGAGTCAAACCATTCTTCGCATGTTTGTCCCGAAGATTGACACTTGTCTGACCAACCTGATGACCGGGCACGAGGATGTGGAAGTTGGAAGATGCATCACGATGGCAACGGGGAGAACCTGCACTTGGGCCTACGAGATGCAGACCCTGTTCTACCACAGCTCTGGTGGGAAGGATGATAGAGGTGTTGAGATCCTTCCTGATACCCTCAATCTTAATATCATCAATAACGCAATTACAATCCATCCTATTAAAAGTCCAAAGAACATGGAATTATTATCTGTAAAATATAAGACGATGAAACGATTACACATCATGACGGAAATCAAGAAACTTGAGTTTGACCTTCATCTGATCAACGAAGACCCTGTCGACGAATTTGACGATCTCTCTGATCTACCGAGGATGAACCAAACCTGGGATTTTATTTACAGTCACCAGATTTATAAAGCGGAAGCGGGACACGAGAAGGGAAAAATTCCAGCCCGTCTTAATCAATCAATCACTAGAATAATATCTAAGGTTGTAGATAAGATAAACGCAGATGCCCGAGAAAAGGGTCGTTCTATAGAATTCCGAGATTTATACTATGCGTATGTAAACCATGATCCAAAATATGGTAATTCCTATATCCTTGACATCCTTCTCGTTTATAAAAAGTTCCAAGGGAAAAAAATGACAGTGAAAGTGAGACGACACGTGTTTGTCCGCGAAATACTTCTAGAACCCCATTTTAAACCTCAGATTGGGTCGGATACGTCGCCAGTGCCCGCCGTGGTGCCCGGCGATACGCCAAACTACTACGAAGACGATCGGCGGTCTATAACACTCCTTGTAACGGTGGCTGGAGAGAGCAAGGTACCGGTTCTGAAACGTTTTCTCGCCGAATACGAGAAAGAAGTCTTGCTAAAGATGAACCCTGTCAAGCTTGTTGTCGTCGCTTTCAAGGAGACCAGTCAGGACCTTGCTGTGGTCAACCTTCTCCGGGCCCAGGTTCAATACCTGGAGAAGGAATTTCCTGGGTTTGTCATCACCGTGGTGGAGTTAAACCAATCCTTCTCCCGGGGAGTCGGACTAACCAAGGGTTTAGAGGTCTGTGAGGAGTCAGACCTAGTATTTATTGTAGATGTAGACATCAGCTTCACTTCATCTACATTAGACAATGTACGACGGTTTACGGTTGAAGGAAAATCGGTTTATTTTCCGATAGTTTTCAGTGAATTCCGAGACGGCGGGGGATATTGGCGAGACTACGGATACGGAATAATGTCTGGATATAAGAAGGATATTGTTTCCGTTGGAGGATATAACCTTGATTTTAAAGGATGGGGGAAGGAGGATGTTGATCTTTATGATAAATTTCTTAAAAGCAGTATTAAAGCGTTTAGAAGTACAGATTCATACCTCGTTCATAAATATCACAAGGTTAGATATTTAAAATTTAAATTAAAAAAAATATATTTCATTATTTTTGAATATTTTTTTTGTCTAGGTCACGTGTAGTCCTAGTCTTCCTAATGATCAGGCGACGATGTGCGCTGGAAGCCGTGCAAATACATTCCTTCCTCTGGAAACCCTGTTCCATCTTGTAGTTAATTCATCTGTTATTATTCCTTGACGTTGGGAAGAACATTAACCCTTTAGATATTGACAATCCTTTAGCTATACTATATATATATATACATTATACAATATATATCTATTTAAATGAAACTAAAGCATAATATGCTTTGAGTTCAGCGTTACATCTGTTAATAAATACATATGTTTATTATGCGACACACTACACTGTGTGTCACATCTATTTTTTTACCAAAAATATTTATTTTTCTGCTTTAAATCATATACCCAAGAATACGCCGCTGCAATAAGACAATGACCTAGTCCAGTAAGCCATTGTATAAACTTTTTTCAGTTCTAATGTTTTTTTTTAATAAACTTAAATGCAAATTTCATTTCTCGGACCAAGATGTAACTTCTTTACGATTATGGCGAAGCATAAATTTACAGCAGGTCTAGTCCTAGTGTTTCAAATAAAATTAAGAATTATTAGAAAAAATTCTAGTTTATCAAAGCCGTTGATATTGTTATGCCATTCATATTATTCTCCAAAAATCATTTTTTGAAGATTTAAAAAGTTTTAAAAGGATTATCGGAATTTTCTCATCAGTTTTTAAATTTATCTGACAAAATTTTGAGGTTGGTTATCTGGCACAAAAATTCGATCGATTTTTTTTTGTTTTTAGCGCTCAAATTATTTTTTGAATTTTTTTCAGTGCTTAAAAGTTTAGAAATAAAAATGATACTCATTATAATATATAAAGGAGGACATTGTGAGAATAACATATCTGACTTAGGAGGGAATATCAATAATCAATATTTGTCGTTAATTTTGAAAAAAAAAATCTGATTTTCAAACTTTTTATTTTCAAGAACGTCTTCCTATATATTTGGAGAAAATATCGGTTAGTACAAAAAAACGAAAAAAAAACATGCGAATAGGCATTCACAGTCTAATAAGTAATTGTACTAAAAGAAATCTGTCTCTAAACTTTAAAAGCATAAAAATATACCCAATGCAAAATCGTGCCTTTCTTTTGCCCTGGAGAACTTTATTTTCTCCACCTTTTTGTCAAATTAGCGGCTCAAACTTTTAACTAGTTCCTATGTAAATAAAAAATGTATGATCCAAATATAGCACAAATTCGTTTTTCTTTGTATACTGATTTATATCTGTACAGGAAACCTTTTTTGTTCATTCTTTGTTTGTTCTTGGTGTTAAATCTTGAACAATAATACTTAAAATGTATTACATTTCACGCTTTAAACTTCCAATCAATCATTTTATTCTCTTAAAATACTCTTGTGATATTAAACCTGTATAAATAGGTAAATTTATTGTTAATCTTTGATTGTCATGATATTTAAAATTTCCTCTCTTCTTTATGTTGCCTAATGACATTTAATACTCTTTAAGCTTGTGATACTTGTTTTTTGATTCACCCTTCTGTTCACTAGTTCTTAACATATGTAATATTGATATTTGGAAAATATAAAGAAATGTTAAATAAAGTTGCGAAGATTATTGCTCTCTGTCGATTTATATCAGCTTCAGCTTTTCCTTTTTTCAGAGAAAATGTTACGACGGAGTAAAGTTGCTGGTTTTATCCTTCTCATAACCTTTCTCTTCTCTCTCTATATATACAAACTACAGTCTAGTATCCTGGACCATTTACCCACAGACTTCTCAACTTTCGACAACGTAAAGGGGTCGAAAAAACTTATTGTGCCAAATATTATTCATTTTATTCATTTTGATTCTAGAACTATTAATTTTGTGACATTTATCTGCATGCTGTCAGCCTGGTATAATCATAAACCCTCCAAGATCTACCTTCATACCAATCTAAATCTGAACCCTAGAGAGTCGAGATATCTATGGGTTCTACAATCCGTCCTAGGGGGTAATCTGAAGATCCACGAGGTTCAGAAACCAACTCATGTGTTCGGACAGAAATTATCTTCTGTTCAGCACGCTTCAGATGTTGCAAGGATTAAAATTCTCATGAAGTATGGCGGGATATATTTAGGTAATATGTTTTTAAAATTGGTTTATTATTTTTTTGACTTTGAATGTATTAGTTTGAATGAACATTGGATTAAATCCTTGTTTTAAGTTAACATTAGATAAATTTGAGAAAATTAATTTATGTCGCTTTAATTCTAAAATTAAATGTATCCAAATTTTTAGTTGACTACATTCATTTTTATGATTATATATTATACATATGTAAGTAAATTCAAAAATTGTGTCCTCTGTTCTAAAATAATATTTTGAATGGTTAAGCTTGATATTGACAATTTTTCTAAACATTGCTACAGATTGAACTATTATTATAACAGTTGAAGCCCAAGCCTAATCACTTCAGATTAAGGGTTGACAGCATGATTTTAAATTGTTGTTTTTAGACGAGGATGTGTTTGTAGTGAAGAATCTAAACGTGTACAGGCACTATGAGTGTGCACTGGGCTGGCCGGAGAACCAGAATATGGGTAGTCAGGGAAGGGAAGAAACTTATTTTTTTCATCATTTATTTTTTATATATTATCTCGTTTATTTAAATCTACTTAAATTGGTATAAATTAGTATTATCCATTTTTGGCTTAGTTACTGTACTGGCAATAATATTACATTTCAAATGATATCTCAGTCAAAAATCATGAAAACCTTACCTAGCCCAGAATAAGGCGTAATTTTGGGAAGTGCATTTAAGGGAAGTGTAAGTTTATATGAGCTGTAATTATATTAAGTCTAATAAGATAACTAAATTAAATGTAAGTGAGTCCCTTTTTGATGTCTTGATGTAAAAACTAATAAGTTTTTTTACATCCAGGTTTTATTTGCACACAAAGATGCAAGATTTCTCAAGCTATGGCTTGAATTATACAGGTAAATGACAAACCATTTCCCTTTTTCAATAAATCAGTATTTTCGAGAAAAAAATTGATTTAATTTGATTTGTATAGATTTAACAAACTTTTCTATCCGTTAGTTTATATATTCTAGCCATATTTTCCACTTTTTTCCGTTAACTTTGGTTTAATATGGATAATATTTCATTTTGATATAAAACATTTGTAGAGAGTACCGGCCAACCATGTGGTATTTCAATGCTGGAGAATCTCCGACCCAAAACATCCTGAACCAACAACCTCAACTTGTTCACAGAGTTAAACTAGACTTCGGAGTAGAGAACTTATCCCAGCAAATCTATAAGGAATGGGGATATTTTTTTTAACGAGTTCCAAATGTTTTACAACGTTACCCCTTTTCCGTGGTTGTAACTTTTGAGATATTTAAAGGGACTTATCTTATTCCGTTAGAACCCGAAAATTTGGATTTGTGCGTTCCGACATTTTGAAATAAAAATAAAAATAAAGCATTTGATCAGGAGAACTGGACAGGCTGGATAAACAGGTACACCCTTCACCTCCTGAGTAACCACAATTACCTTCATAACACAACCTTGGACGAGGTTAACTACAGGACCTGCAACTGCACCTTCGCCACCCTGGCCAACCAGATCCTCAGTAACCTCGAGGACGAGAATATCAAGCTTCAACAGAAACCAGAAAAACAAAGTGTTGGAAACACTTCTGAGTTTCAACATGAGGTTAAACATTATCTCAATTCTAACTCAACCTCCTTGCTGAAGAAATACCTCAATCTTGAATTATTTCACGACCTGGAGAAAGTAAGAACCATCCCGTACGGATCTTCGCTTAACGATGTGATCCGAACCGGATTAAAAAATCCGGATTCTGCCGTCGGGATCTTTGCCCCGGATGCTGATGCCTACCGAGCCTTTCGACGACTATTTCTTCCAATCATTCTAGACTATCATAAACTAGTCAGGTTTGAAGCGCAACCGGAGAAATTCTGGGGAAACCCTAAAGAAATCGGAGAGTTTGAGGGGAACAACATCTTGTCAACAAGGATCAGGATTGCGAGATCAATCAAGGGTAAGGTGGCCAAGAAAACTAAATTTTTAAAAATAAATCTAAATTTTAACTGTAAATATAATGATCCAGGATGCATTCTTAGATTCAGTTTTTTTTCAGGATTCCCGTTTAACAATAAAATGGCTGAAAAGGATCTGACAAGTCTTGAATCCAAGGTTTCTAAAGTTCTACGGGAACAATTCTCCGGAGAGTATCTGAACCTAGCGGAGATATCACCGGAGGATAAACAGAAACTCAAGGAACAACATTTTCTCTTCGAAGATTGTGATAGGTACACGACCAGACGGGATGAGGGATAATTATTTATTTAGTAAGAACTTATCCAAAACTACATAAAACTCATTTGAAAACCTAACCTTCCTCACTTTCCCTTCTTCTTCAATTTTTTAAATTTTAGCTTGTCTTGGGCAAAGGGCAAATTTGTTGATTTACCTTTTTGGAAAAATATTACCTATTTTTGGTTTAGTATTTGAATATGTTAAAAGGCTTATTGTTGAAGTCTGGGGAGGAGGTAATTGTTTGTAAATATATACCCTGCGATTTACTATATTCGTTATTCAGGTTTGTATTGGAAGCTGGTGGTTGTGTGAGTTGGCCCACTGGACGCGGTATATTCCTGAGTTCTGACCGTCAGCTTATAGTTTGGGTCAATGAGGAGGATCATCTCAGGGTTATATCACTAGAGAAGGGTGGAGATCTTTCAAGTGTTTACTCCAGGTAGATAAGGAAACCTTGAGAACTCATGACCTGGTAACTGATATAGGAACAGGTTCCACAATTAGTGGACAAAAGGACATTTTATTTGTTTTTCAGTTAACGACAACATCGAGAAACATTTCAGTCTTACATTTACAACTTCGAATGGGATGGGATTTAAATGACGGAATGATTTAAACATATCGTAGTTAAGTCCTATACTAGTATTTTATCTTATTCATTTGCCACTAACTGTAGATAATACTCTGCATTCAATACTCTTCAAAAGAATAAGGACGAACTCCCGATGATGCCAAAGTTTTTGGCGAAATATATTGAGAAGAAAATGATATAATTCTAGTGCTAGAGAGTAGGGTTGGGATTTGTTTAAAAACGATCTAAAGTAGATAATAAGTTTAGTAACATTAATGCCTGTTGTTTTTGATGAAATTGATGTGAGAAAAAAAAAAAACAATTTTTTTACTTCAATTTAGGTTTATAATGATCTTTACTCCAGGTTGATCTTGACTATGAACAAACTGGAGAAGTTTCTTGAGTTTGAACATGATGAAGAGTTTGGTTATTTAACCTTCTGTCCTACTAACATCGGAACAACCCTTCGAGCCTCCGTCCATCTCCGTTTCTCCGCCCTGACCTCTGATGAGGTTGAAAGGTTGTCCTCGGAGCGAGGTCTCCAGGTTCGAGGAACCTCCGGAGAACATTCTGAGGTGCGCGGAGGTGTTTATGATTTATCGAACAGTAGAAGATTAGGGCTAACCGAATTCGAGGCTGTCAGGTAATATTCCGTGATTATGAATAATTATTATAATAATTATAAAGTATCTGAATTCATAAATAATTTTTAAAATTTTCAAAAGTTTAACTTTTACTGAAACCCTTAACAATGTTTCTGGGTAAAACATTTATTTGTTAATAGGATTTTTCCTGTCTTCTTCTCCGCGAAGGCAATCTAACAATGAAAGATTTTTTGTCGAATTTTTTGCGTTTCTGTTTCTTCACTGTCTGTACTCTGTTTACTGACTGTTTAGTGTCAAATGATGAACATTTCTGAGAAAACGATCGGTGACGGGAAGCAACAAATATTGCTAGAACAAATATAAAACTTATCGATTTTTTTACACACTCAAAGAAAGTAGTTAATTTTGAAAAACGTTATATTACCCCAAAACTTTAAGACACTCATGGGTTTGTATTCGGCCTTTTTTTTAATTAAAACTTATTGTTTTGGTTTTCAGTGAAATGTTCACTGGTATTCAGCATTTTCTCCGAGAGGACAAAAGAGCTGAGGATTCTCTCTAATCATCTCTGTGTTTAAAAATGAATGATGGCTGAAGAGTGTATCTTCGGAGAACGCGGGAATAGAAATAACAGGCATTCTAAACCACATCAAGAAAGAAAAAAATATTTCTTATCACAGAAATAATTTGGAGAAAAAAACATATTTTTTTTTGATAGGAAAAAAACTAATGTTGAACCAGAAAATTTTATTTGAGAACCATGCACGTCAATCTCAGAATAAACTTTATCTCTAATAAGCATAATAACACTTTTTTTATAACAGAATCCATTTTTTACACTTAATTATTTATTTCTCAATATCAGTAAAAGTTTCGCTTTCTTCCATAAAGGTCATGCATAATGTATATTGAATATTTGGGGTTTTGGTTTTTATACATTTTTATGATAGAGGTTGTCATTATACTTAATCAAATAGATTATCAAGTACAATAGGCGGCAACAGCGAAATGGACCAATTATACACAACGTCACTAGTGTCAAATATAACAAGGAAAACGAAATTTTCTTACATTAGTTGACAGGTTTTCCAAGAAACAGAAAATAAAGAACACATAAAATTACAATTTTTATTGTAAGATAAGCACTTTTATTCTAAAATTATCATTATTATTAAAAAATTTTTCGGACACAAAAACTAAGTTGACACTTGTGACGTAAGAATACAGCTGTACTGAGAGTGTACAAAGTCTACGTTGCCATCTATAGTACTTGACACTCTATTTGCACTTAATTATGTTTTTTAAGATGTTTCTTTTTAAACTGGTGTTAATGGAAGATTTTATAGTTTTTATAATTATATTTTTGCTCTAGTTCTGTTTGGCTGTGAGACTAAATAACTTGCCTAAGTGTACTGATGTACCGAGAGAACTGAATTATCTTGTTGAAATGAATTTTATTTTTATTTTGTACTTTTTTATTTTGGTACTTTTGTAAATATTTTGATCGAATTTGACTGTGATGTAATGCGTATAATAGCAACAGAAACATTTTGCATTTAAGAAAGAAGTAACATATATTTTAATAAACAATTTTTGGATTCTGACTTTAAAATGGTAATAAATACACTTCAATTATATCTACTATAAGTGATAAAGTCTTAAATGAAATTATATTAAATGTGTATCATTACTAATTAATTATTATTGATCGCTATTTTTCTATTTTTGTAAAACTTTTATTCTATTGTATTGAGACCTTTCATGATTTAGAAATTTCAGAGAAAATATTTTTTTTGAAAAATGGTTATACTGGTTCTAAAATGAAGATTTGGATCTGGAGTGTATGAGGTGAAATGACCAGGAATTCTAGAATAATGGTGGGACATTCTAGAACTATGGTGGAGCATTCTGGAACAATGGCGGAGCATTCTGGAACAATGGCGGAGCATTCTGGAACAATGGCGGAGCATTCTGGGACAATGGTGGAGAATTCTAGATTATTGGAGGAAAATGGACTCTTTGAAGAGCATGGTAATTGTTATATTTGTTAATTACTGGATTACCAGAATATTTTTCTCTGGGAGATCACTTCAGTGACGTTTTCAGCCAGTCAATATATCATTTTTGTTACTACTGATAGTGCATTAAGTTAAACCAGGGATCTGGGCGCCCCTGACACCTTTACTATCATGGGTTTTTATTTAATTTCTTATTTTCAATTCATATCAACATTAAACTTTGAATAAAAAAATAAAAGTTGATATTTTTATTATTTAAAAAGTGATGTTTAGGTGATGGCGAGGAAGCTTACTATATTGCTGATGATGGCAGACTTTTTGCTCTCTCTCAGGTTTATAAAGAACTGGTTTAAAGAAATAAATTTGAATTGATATATTAATGGAATTAATGAAATTTGGCATGTTTATCTATTAGACAACTTTTTTGTTTAGAATATTCCTCTTGCTGCTGACTCTAGGATCCATGAGATGCGTGAAATCGGTCTCCGAACCTCTATAGAGGACGGCCTTCAACCCGTCCACAGTTTACAAGTCTCCCAACCCTCAGAGGGCACTGGGCACAAGGAAATCCGCCAGATTCTCCTGCAGGGATCAGAGATGGTCCAAGCTATCCATGAAATCCCCGGAATCCAAGAAGTCCGTGAAAATCCATTTTCCGCCTCGGTTAATAACGAAGGAATGCCCGGGATTCAGTTGCCAACTGTTGGAGTTCTAGAAGATATAGAGACCGGCACATTTACTCATGCTCAGGTATAATTAATCCATTTTTTTTGTAATATAGGAATTCAAATTTTTTCCCGGGATTTTTGATGCATGCAATTTTCATATTTCAACATTATTTTCAAGCTTTTAGAGACTTTTTCTGTAATAATTGTAATGAAGAATAATATTGACCCATTCTATTAGGTTGCGGATAAGCTTAATGGAAATAATATAACTATTCCTCTGTCTACGGATTCTACAGATCAATTCTATTTTCTGGACAACAATAAGAAAATGGCAACCCTGGAGGATTTTGTCGAGGTGTTCACAATATACAAGTGTAAAGGCTGTGATTTTACCAGTGGTGAAAGAGGTATTTAACAATTTACCATATATCTTTATATAAAATATAAACAAATTTTAATCGGTTAAAAATATCAAACAATCATTTAATTTTTGTGTTTCCTGAATTTTGATCACTTAAGTCGTGAACTAAAGAGCATTTTAAAATCATTTTCAGATGCACTTCATTCTCACATTGAGACTACTCATTTGAGTTCTGCTCCTGAGTCCAGTACTCAAAAGACCCTGGAGCAGTTTCCTCCGGACGAACACAACCCAGTAGGTTCGGAGAACGTAGAGAACCCAGAACTTAACGCTATGCTTATCATATCTGACGTTAATAATATCAAGGTTAGAATCATAGACTATTTTGAAACATTGTTCATTTTTGTTTTTGCAAATGTCCGTCTATGTTTAGTATAACATGGAGAGCAGGACGGAGACTATGATCCTGGATGAGCTTCCAGCTGAGAGATCTAGCTCCTACCCTTTCTTCAAGTTCTTCCTGGTCAAGGAGCAGAAAGAGATATTTATTTGTACACGTTGCAGTGTTTGTATGGCTTCCGAGGAAAAAATGAAGGTTGAAAATTTTTAAATTTCTGAAACAGCTTTGAAACCATTTTGAAACTAGCAAGATAAAAGGGAATGAAATACACAATACATTATATCCAAAACTTTTCTTTAGTAAAGTATCTTCTAGATTACAGTTTAAAAATTCGATTTGGTTTGATTTTATTTGATTTAAATTTGATTTTGAACTAATAGCATACAAGATTGGAGAAGGGGGAATTAAGTGGGATATCATTGTTAAAGAAAGTAAACAAAAAAATTATTTGATTAAATGTGCCCAAAAATCTTACAACGTTATTGTGAATTACAAAAAGGCATTATGTACTGTACATATACTACACAGTACATAACTTCTTGTTTAGATTCACTCTGCTCGGGATGGATGTACGGACTCCAAGTGTAATAACTGCGGTGTACGGTTCAATACACAGTCAGAGTACAACAATCATATTATCAAGTGCAAGGTAGGATTGTAGTAAGGAACTACACTATCTGCAGTGTGGTGCATAGTGCCGGGCCCTGAAGATTTTGATTTTGATTTTGATTTGATTTTGATTTTGATTTTGATTTTGATTTTGATTTAGATTTAGATTTAGATTTAGATTTAGATTTAGATTTAGATTTAGATTTAGATTTAGATTTAGATTTAGATGTAGATTTAGATTTTCGATTTTCGATTTTCGATTTTTGATTTTGAGTTGATTTTTAGTTGATTTTCAGTTGATTTTCAGTTGATTTTGATGATTTTGATTTTATTTTGATTTTGATTTTGATTTGATTTGACATAAGGAACCCACAACGTTCCGTTTTCTCTGGATCAAAGTAATCAAAGTAAATGTATATTTTTACAATTTTAAGCTGCAGATCTTCATGTACTCCCCCCCCCGCACTTACACATGAATGATGTTTTGCCCCTGGATTCCTTGTTTTGGTGCATCAGATATGGCAGTTCCTAGTCAATATATATATCTTGGATTGTTCAATGTACAATGCACATTGAACAATCCAAGATATATAAATTGACTAGGAACTGCCATATCTTTGTACTTCGTACTTTGTACCATGTGCATGTGCATGTGCATGTGCATGTGTGATCTTTAAAACAATTTTCTGTTCTTTCGGTTTATTCATTTTGTTTTTAAAGTTATCTGTTCTCAAACTAATATTATTTCAGGTTGCTGTTTTCAAGATCAAAGATAAACCCCCACCAGGTAAACATTCATAATAAACTCTATCTTTATATAAAACTCCACCAATCAAATTTATTGCAAAAAATAGCCTTTTTTACCAAGGNATAAAAACTAGATTTAACTCCTCACCCTTTGCAAAATCTAGAATTGCACTTGGGAACCCTGGATGATGTTTATTGATAACAAATCCTATAGTTACAGGGAACCAGGAGGACAGGAATACAATTCTCTCCAGTATACCAGAAGAGCAGGAGGGTGATGATATATCTCTAGTAGATCAGTTCTATAAGGTAGAAAAAGATTAGACCAAATCAGATCTTTGGGCCTATGCAAGCTCTAACATTTGACGCTCTGGAATTTAGTTTTTTGACGGGATTAACAATCTTCTTTAACCAATAATTTTTCTCGGTTTGATGAGTTTTTTGATCCAAGTTTCTTTTTGATTTGTATCTTCATGACAGAAACAGCTCTCAAGAAATTAACAGGATCGACCCCGACCGCAATTTATTTTTAAAAATGTGATAAATTAGATCATTTTTGTTTAAAAACTCGACAACAGATGTTAAACTGATTGTTTAGGTTGCAGATACTGGTCCGGAGAAAGGAGGAGAGGACGAGTATATAGGAGAGGAATACAAGATCTCCAGGTTGAGAAGGAACAGGACCAATCTAGAAGTGGATGGAGAGAATAGGGTTTGGGTCTGCTCAACTAAAAGCTGTCATGCTATCTTCAAGGTTATTTTTAACAATTCGATTATAGTTTGTGACGATTAATTAATTAAATTGAAAGGAGTTAGTTTTTTTTTTAATTATTTTGGGAAAAAGAAATAACCTTCGAGTATAAAGAGCTTGGTTATTATTGTCTTTAAAAAATTGGAAATTTCTCAATGAAGTTGAGTTAACTGATAAGAAAATTTTTTTAAAAAGTAAATAGGTAAAATACTTTGAATTAGGAGGAGAAAAACCTGGACTACCACATCTCATGTCACAAGGAAGACTGCATGGAGTGCCAAGAGTGCAAGAAAGAGTTTGCCAGGTTTCAAAAATTTTAGTATTTTTTTTATGTTAATGTCGATGTTTTTGTTGTTGATGTTGATGATGTTAATGTTGATGCTGATGCTGATGCTGATGCTGATGCTGATGCTGATGCTGATGCTGATGCTGATGCTGATGCTGATGCTGATGCTGATGATGTTTAATGGTTTTATAATTTAAAATATTGAGGTGGCCTGATCTCTTCCAGCATCTGTGGCGTGAGCATGAGAAGGATTGTGATATGTATCAATGTATCCAGTGTATGACCTACAAGACCAGCACTGTCAACGCCCTGGAGAAGCATTGTCAGACCCACGCCAATCTGAAACTGTACCAGTGTGATATCTGCTACAAGGGGTTCAACCAGCAGGTTCAGCTCACCAACCACTCGGTCCGACATCTCAGAGAGTCCATGGTTGAGCTCCCCAACTGGGCTACACCCAAGCGGTGTGAGATCTGCCAGAAAGTGTGCTCTGACAGTAAAAGTTTGAAGAAGCATGTGCAGGCAGTGCACTCGAAGCTGAAGCCGTATATCTGTCAGATCTGTGGGTATAAAACTGCCCGGAAAGGGAATCTTCTGCTTCATGTTAGGCAGCACTCGGGGGAGAAACCTTATAGTTGTGATGAGTGTAGTTACAGGACGGGAGATCATAATTCACTCAGGTTCAAAATATTTATTAACCCTACTAACTGTAAAACTTAAACCTTCGTATAACATTCGTATACACGTATTTTTAGGTTTGGTATACGTAAAAATACGTATTTTTCCATACGTATGAAATACATTTTTTCGTAACCATTTCCTTGGTAAAAATACATATTTTATATCCGTAAAAATATGTATATGACAAATATGAAATTACATAAATATGCGTATTTTTAGGTTTGGAATACGTAAAAATACGTAATTTTCAATACATATGAAATACGTTTTTTCGTAACCATTTCCTTGGTAAAAATACATATTTTTAGGTTTGCATCAATTTTTTAAACTGAAATTTTATTTTTAAATTAAGTAAAGAAAAAAACGAAAAATACTTAAAAATACGTAAATATTACTTGGAAATAAATTATACGCAATTATTCGTTTGAAATACTTTTCTGGATAACCTTAAACACTTAAAAAAAGCTGTGTGTGATAAATACGTTTTAAGTAAATATGTCTTAAAATACGTAAACCTATATAGGGGCTTTAGTAGTTTTAGGTTTTCGGGTTAGTAGGGAACCTTCAATTTAAAGAGGGCTACATAAGATTCATAACAATAGCCTTTACGCCTCCATTTGAGCAACAATTGTCTTTGATTACTATCTCGTGCGTTCTTGTTCTTGTTCTTGTTTTCTAATTTGTTTCATAAAATAAAAATAAAAATAAAAAAGGGAGTAAACAATTTTAGTAAATTCAATCAGTAATTAGTGCTATAAAGAGTCATTTAATTTTACAAAAGGTTCAAATGGAGATAATGAAATGCAAGCAATAATGCTGTTTTTACTTGATTATATTTTCCAGGCGTCACAAGAAAATACATGCTGGAGATAAACCAAACAAATGTCATTTATGTTCATTTTCAACCATACAATCCAGTAACTTGAAGGCTCATCTTCTCAACAAACATCATCTTACTCCAGACGGAAAGAAAGTAGAGGTTAGTCAAATTTAATAAGCAAGTCTGTTTTTGATAAAATGATGGGTAAAAAAAAATTTACAGGTCTCTGGGGTATTGTGAGTGTTTTTGATTAACTGTTCGGTCAAAAACATTTAACAGGTCTCTTGGGTAATGTTCATGGAGATTCTTCTTAGAAGACTCGTATTAGAACTATAAAAGGATTGGTACGGGCACAATTTAGTTATATGATTGAGAATATTTCAAACACCCTTCTTCTTTTTAATATGAAATATATTAATTTTGTTTCTAGCCGCCATCCAAGAAAAGAGTGATCTCGACGTCTAAAGAGAAAGGTCGAGCGGAGAAACGAGGACAAGAACTAACACTCTCGGAGAAACCTAGAAGAGATCTCACTCTTACAGACTCTCTAGACTCATTACTGGAGATGTCGGAGAGGAATGGGATAAATCTTCTCTCTGATACATCCTAGGCATTCGCTCTACCTATTACAATTTAAAATTTCACTCCTTATCAGTATTTAAAGGGACTGTAAAGGATAAATAAAAGGGGGAATAGGCTGAAACCAGAGAATAAAAGGAGTTGAACGCTATATAAGACATCTATCTGATGTTTCTGTCTAGATAAATTTATATAAAACTGTGTCAAAATTATATATCGTTCAACTCCTAAGATTCTCAGGTTTCAGCCTATACCCCCTTTCATTTATCCTTTACAATCCCTTTAATGTGATGTATACTAAATACACGAGTTTAAAGATGAAATAAATGAGATTCTTACAGAGAAAATGCTTCGGGGACGAATATGTTGTTTGTTTCGGAGTAATCTACCCAGAGATAAACTAATCCCGAGGATCAGTAGGTTTCTAGTACCCGGAGTCGAACCCGTCCCAACCCTGACTAGAACCTTGAATACTCCTGCTGACGGATTTGAAAGACAGGGAGCGTATGAAGGGCCTGGGAAAACTACAGTTTCTATTCTTAATCAGGTAATTCTACTAGGAACAAGAATAACCCCTCTTCTAATATAACATTGGCGGATTAATAATTATATTATTTGTATTTTTTTAATTAAGGAAGAATGCCTCAAGCAATCTCTGCAATCCCTGCAATGAATGATCTGATTTGATTTGACTAAAAAAATCATTTTCTTGTGCAAAACTTAGGAAATAAGTTTTGATATAAGATATTTGATCAATGATTTGTTATTTATGATGTTGGATATATGATATTAGATCTATGATTTGTTATTTATGATGTTGGATGTATGATATTAGATCTATGATTTGTTATTTATGATGTTGGATATAAGATATTTGATCAATGATTCGTTATTTAAGATATTTGATCAATGATTCGTTATTTAAGATATTTGATCAATTTATGATGTTGGATATATGATATTAGATCTATGATGTTGGATATATGATATTTGATAAAATATTTTGATGTTCAGGAGATAACCGGAATAAATATGGTTGACAGTTACTCCTCTAATGGGTTTAGATTAACAGATAACAGTTTCCTAATCGGTCCCTCGGTTATCTTTCCTAATACAGTGCTTAGGAAAGAATGTTATTGTTTTAAATAATTTATTGTTCCCAACCATTAACATAATGTTTGTTGTTTGATCAATTGTTTGATAATGCTAATGTTTAAATCAAAGTCAACTTGAGAATAAAAAGTTGTATCTGTCTTCTAATCAATATTCTTGATTCAGATTTTTGGGTCACTTGGCGTTCATATTAATTTCTGTGGACATTGTATATAAAAACTGCTATTGCTTTAAGAAATAAAGCAACACAGAAATTGCAATACAATTTTTAAAAAAAATCTTGATTCACTACGCAGAGCTTGGACGAAAGTTTTGAATGTATGGAATGAGTTAAACTTTTTCAAAAGTTTCTAGCTGAATAAAAAACATTCTTTCTACCAACAGGTGGAACATCAACTCGGCAAAAGAAATTTCAGGAAAAATTTTCGATTAGCATGATTTTAAAATTGTGTCAATTTTATTTTTCAAAGCAGTTTAATGGATTTTAAATGAAATGCTATAACGATTATTTTCTTCCAGAGGAGTCTCTGGCTTTATTCACTCTCCTGGAACCTAAGTATGTATTCAAAATATGCTTTAACATTTGATTTGATCAAAGGTCCAATTTTGATATCAAAGTAAAAAAGATTTTTGGAAGGTTAAATATCAAAACTAAATGTTATAAGTATTTAAAAAAAAAAATAATTTAGAAGATTTTTGACATAATAAAAGAGTTTGTCTTACTTCTTATTATTTATGATGAATTGAATGAAACAATTTGTAGGATGGATCTTATTGTTATCGGGCATGGTGAGGCTGCTTCTGTTAGAAATCCTGTAGACGTCAAAGTCATTTTAGGTTAGACAATTCAACCATTTTAATTGTAATTGTATTAATATATTTTGCAACTTAATTTTAAGACATGAACATTAAAAGTTTCAACAAAGAGCTTAATTCTTTATCTTGATGATTCTTGTTGCTTTTAGCAATGAAAAAGAAGGGGATTGCCATGGAGGTGTTAACCACTGAGAACGCTATCTCCACGTACAACTATCTCCTGGAGGAGGGTAGGGTGGTTGCTGCAGCGCTTATTCCTCCAGCTTATGTCAGGTTAGCAATCTTCAGTATATTTAAACGGTTATTAATTCAACGTTGAAAACTTGGATAAAAGTTTTTTTGTGAATTCGGGTGTAAATGTGCTTGTTTGCGTCCTCTTCATAGTTTTGGTTAATATTTATTCTTAATTTTCTGAAAACTTTCAAATGGATTTTATTTAATTCAAGATAAGAGTCAACTTTTAATATTGGGTTGGATGATTTGTTTTCATTTTGTTTTTTATTTTGTTTTTATTTTCCACTTTTTCATGGCTTTTGTTTGTCTTTTGCTTGCCATGCATGTTTTAAACAACGTTCTTAAAACCCAGAACTACCAACTTTTGAGAAAAAAAACGGACATGTTAAAATCCTTTACTATAAAATAAAAGTCATGGCCATTCAACGGGACTGGTTTTAATCAGGAACATAGTAAATCAAATCAATGATAAGTTAGTTGAGAATTATCATTTAAAAATCTGTATTTTGTCCAGGTTGGTTGATGATAGTAGCGTGATTTCCCAGAAGAGTGTGTCTGATGAATTATATATGCCCAACGTAAACCCATTCGGAATGAGTCGAGTTGAACGAAGGAAGTTTACAGCACGTATAATTCAAGATAAGAGAACTGTAGATAAATTACTTGAGGATAAGTAACTGAACAGTGAATAACTTCAAGCCTTCAATCTTCAAACAGTAATCTCGGAAGTTATTTGTAAAATATATATAGATATATCAAATGTTCAATTTTTAATTAGGAGGATTGTCTTACCTTGGAAGCCGCCCTGCTGCTACGACGGCTTCGTGTCGAATTCAAGGTTTCAACAGCCGTTTGCGTTTCTGCTGACACATCATTGTCAACAGCCTTACTTCTCCTACTACTGCTCCGGGTCGTATTTTCGTCGGCCGTCAAAACTTCACTTCCGGCAGGGTCAGGGTTATCTTCAACCTCCATGGCCGTTTTGGGAGCAACTTCCTCGAGTACAACGTTATCCTCCTGATTTTCTGTTTCAGCTTGAGGATTCCTAAATCTGCCACACTTGTCATATTCTTTGAGCTGTGTGCTCAAAGAATATGACACAAAAATTATTCATATGAATAAATCTGCGACTTAAATTATATTGAAGCTAAAAATCTGCCATAAAAAGTGCTAATGTATGACACAAACTATACCTACTACACAAACATTCTTGATGAAAGTCAATAAGAAAGTCAATAAGAAAGTCAATAAGAAAGACAATAAAAATAATCTGCAAATCAAACTATTATTATAATTTTCAGATAAAATGCAAGATTATAATGATACTTTCATGACAAGGGCCTTTGTTAAGGTAAATCTAAAATCAATTATTTATGTAACAATAAAATGTTTTATATTTAACATTTTTTAAGGCTCATGAGGCTCTTGCTATTGGAGAGGTGCCAATAGGATGCGTTTTTGTGGGAGAAAATGACCAAGTAAGACTCTAGAATCTAGTTTTTTTATTTTTCTAAATTTAAAAAAAAAATAGAGTTAAAATCATGGTAAAAAAAACTTGAGCAACCTTTAGAAATATTATAAATCAATTGATCCGTTAAGTCAAGTGACTCAATGACATGCTCTATATGCTCAGTACTGACGTCTTCAATTTACAAAGAAAATTTATATGTTTTTGCTTTATTTAAATTACTTTGGTTCTAATATTCATATTATTGGTAAAATCTGTTCTAGGGCTTATGATGATGTAAAAAAAACATCGAATTATATTTCCTACTTTAAAGTTGTGTATTCTACAGAGTACAGATAGTGAACTCTTATGAATAATTCGAATTTTTACAGTCTAATATTATTATTAATATTCTTTTTAAAAGATAATTATTGATACAATTTAGTTACTTACCATGTCCATACTTGATACACCTCCTAATTATAAATTTTATCATTTTCCATCCAAGGGTAAAAAGAAATCCTGTTGCATGTATGCCTTTTTATATTGTTTTTAATTATAGCTCTTCAGTAAAAGAAGAAGCATTTTAGTACTCTTGGCAGCTTCTTAGCACAGTAGTCACGTGATATGGCAGGGTGGTTCGATTTTTTCTCTAAATACTTCCTTAAAACCCCATGAATTCCAGGTTATATCAGAGACAAGGAATACTGTAAACCAAACCAAGAACGCCACCAGACACGCCGAGATTAATGCTGTAGATGATGTAGAGAAATTAGGTACAACAATTATAGGTTTAATTGAGACAAGATTTTAAGCAAATCCCTATATGTTCATCCAACTTTATCTATATTCTAGCTTGGGAACCTATTGCTGCCCAGGTTATTAAAAATTACTCAAGCCGTTTACCCGCACTTTACCGGGAAACTGAATTTTCGCTATTAAAGTCGACCCACTCAACTTACAATCTCGAAACCAAGATAAAAACATTCCCGTGGGTCTTCAGATTTCCCTAATAAAAATTTTAGGGAAATCGGTCAAGGGGTTCCTGAGTTATGATCGAACAAAAAACAAACAGAGATTACAACTTTACATTTAGTTTTATATATATATATATACAAATATCCTTTATCCTAATTCTAGCCAAGGACCGAGGGGTGTGCTCCAGCAGTATATATCCTACAATATCCGTCTATGTGAATGTGGAACCATGTATTATGTGCGCTGCGGCTCTAATGAAAGTCAGGTATGTTGGTTTTTGTTTCACTGTATAAATATAACTGTACAGGGTGAAAGCTATCTACTATTTAACTGTACAGGGGGAAAGCTATCTACTATGTAACTGTACAGGATGAAAGCTACCTACTATATAACTGTAAGGGGGGAAACCTATCTACTATATATCTGTACAGGGTGAAAGCTATCTACTATATATCTGTAAGGGAGGAAAGCTATCTACTATATAATTATACAGGGTGAAAGCTATCTACTATGTAACTGTACACTGTACAGGATGAAAGTTATCTACTATATATCTGTACAGGATGAAAGCTATCTACTATTTCAAATTCGGTGATGGTGATGGACCAAACCTCTGTAGAGTAAAAAAGTAGATGTTAGTTCCACATCTACTACTATCTACTATATAACTGTACAGGGTGAAAGCCATCTACTATGTAACTACTGTACTGTGTAAAAGCTTTCTACTATGTAAATGTACACGGTGATAGCTATCTACTATATAACAACTGGACAGTGTGAAAGCTATCTACTATTTATCTGTATAGGGTAAAAGCTATCTACTATATATCTATACAGAATGAAAGCTATCTACCATATAGCTGCACAGGGGAAAGCTATCTACTATATATCTATACAGGGTGAAAGCTATCTACTATATATCTATACAGAATGAAAGCTATATATCTATACAGGGTAAAAGCTATCTACTATGGATGTGCTAATGATAAGTTTGGAGGATGTGGATCTGTAGGAAACCTAGAAGCAAATATGGCAGAACTAGGTCAGATTTTAACTATTATTTTAATAACAAAACTTTTAAAATTTTTAAACAAAAATAATTAATTTTATCTTTTTAGCTCCGGATTACAGAGTGAAAGTGTCCGGAGGCCACAGAGCTCCAGAGGCTATTCAACTTCTTAAAGAATTCTATAACGGAGAAAATCCGTATGCTCCGAACCCTAAGGTTAAGGGAGTGAAACTAAAGAAGGAGCAGGTTAATGGAGAATCATGCTCCTCATGAAACCTGGAGCAAACCTTTTCAAAAGATTGTTCAGTTATTAGAACTTGGTGTAGGGTATCAAATAATGTTTTTTTTTCTTTTCTCATTATTTAATTATTGATTTCTTTTTTTTTCTTTAATGATCCTTCAAAATTGTTCTGAAAAATATTTTTCGTACATTTCGACGTCTTTCTACTTGCGTCAATCTGTCGAATAGATGTTTCAATAAAATATCATACAATTCTAAGTTCTAACAATAGAATGTAGATTGCTTATTATTGATGGTCATCACTTCCAAGTTTTAATAATTGAACAATTGGACCCATCTTTTTTTATTTTATCATTTTTACATTTGCATGATCTGTGATATTTCAGATTGACTAGAATGTAAAGATGGGTATTTATCATATATTTATTGTGAGTAAATCCGGTGGTCTCATATTCAACTACGATCATAATATTCCACAGCTAGAGAATGAAAAGGTAAAAATGGAAAGACATAACAAAAGTTTGCGAAATAATTCTTCTTGCTATACTCATGTTCTTACCTTTTATTTAATTGTAGTTTGAAGGGTTCAAGAGAATATCAAAATAGATAATTTTATCGATGATAATGTAAATAATTCATAGATACTATTTATTTATAGTAATCATTACCTTGATAAATTTTATTTTCAATATTATAAAAATAAATGGTACAAGGCACATTTTAACGTTCGCAAGTCTGTGTTTTGCTTTTTGTTTAGGATAAAATTATTTTAATAATTAAATTATAAATCGAACTATGTTTAACAACAATTTATTTTAGACTTACAGTTATCCGTTGGATATAAAGCTGAAGTTTGAAAATAAGCGCGTTACTGTTGCTTTCGGAGAACGGGACGGAATATGCATGGGTCACGTGCTCATGACGGTCAATGGGCAGGCACTTAACTACGATAAGCTCCCAGATGGTACTGGGATATTGGAGGTGATAAAATAATTCGTCAAGCATAAGATACTAGGATCTTGGAGACAAACTTTTGGAATTCTGAACAAAGCAAAAAAACAGACAGACAAGCAAAGTATATATTATGCATAGTTGTAATTTTTACAAAATTATTTTTTAGTTTCTTGAAAACAAGGATAATTTCCCTGTGAACCTGAAGTTTGGAAGAGCGAAGATAACGACGAATGAGAAGATTGTCCTGGCGAGCATGTTCTATCCTCTCTACGCCCTCGCAGTTCAGCTTAGTCCGGAGCAGGTTTGTTGTAGTATTATATCAAAACCTGCAAAACAATGATGACATTGACCTATCAAGGAACTCATCATTCGATTTTAAAAATTATACCACAAAAGTCTTATTTTTGGCTAATTCAAAATACTCCTCTATTTTTTCACAAAAACTTTGATTTTCTGTTTATTTTAGGGCTCTTCTGGCATTCTTGAGCTAGAGTCTGATACTTTTAAACTCCATTGTACACAAACATTAACGGGGATCAAATTCATCATTGTTGCAGATCTTAAACAGGTAATCTCAACTCGGTTCAAATATTACTTGGAAACCCAGCTTTGCTTGGAAACAAAGTTTTCTTCATGTGAGTCGACCTATTTAGCTTAGACCTTTTCTTAGATAAAATTTGAGACAGTTATGAGTTATGTTCGGATATACAAACAAACGAACAAACAGAGATACTACTGTTTATACATAGATACACTAGCGCAGGAACCCAGCTTTGCCTGGAAACTAAGTTTTCTTTATGTGAGTCGACCTATTTAGCTTAGACCTTTTCTTAGATAAAATTTGAGACAGTTATGAGTTATGTTCGGATATACAAACAAACGAACAAACAGAGATACTACTGTTTATACATAGATACACTAGCGCAGGAACCCAGCTTTGCCTGGAAACTAAGTTTTTTCTTCAAAAGTCGACCTTCTCAACTTAAACCTTTTAAATCAAGCCAAGAACATTCCCGTGGTTCCGTCGAGTTCACCAGTAAAATATTGAGACAAATCGGTCAAGGGGATCAGGAGTTCTGATCAGACACACAAACCAACAAACAGAGAATACTACACATACATCTTTATTGGGGTATTCGTATGGTGTAGGCAAGGAATATGGAATAGGAGGGAGATAAAACTGACGCGCCCGCCCTACCATATGATTATGCATGCTTTGCAGACGGTACTCCATTTGTATAAGAAATATTCAGAATATGTTATTGTATACGCGGTAATGTACATCAGACAAATGAAGTACCGTCTGCAAAGCATGTATAATCATATGGTAGGGCGGGCCGCGTCAGTTGTATCTCACTTTTAATCCATACTCCTTGGGTGTAGGTCAGATGATGGATAAGGTGTAAGTGTATATCATGTACTGTATTGCAGGCTGGTATAGATTAGCTGACGGATAAGGTGTAAGTGTATATCATGCACTGTATTGCAGGCTGGTATGGATCAGCTGATGGATAAGGTGTAAGTGTATATCATGTACTGTATTGTACGCTGGTATAGATCAACTGATGGATAAGGTGTAAGTGTATATCATGTACTGTAATTTAGGCTGGTATAGATCAGCTGATGGATAAGGCGTACTGTATATTATGTACTGTATTGCAGGCTGGTATAGATCAGCTGATGGATAAGGTGTACTGTATATCATGTACTGTATTGCAGGCTGGTATAGATCAGCTGATGGATAAAGTGTAAGTGTATATCATGTACTGTATTGCAGGCTGGTATAGATCAGCTGATGGATAAGGTGTATGAACTCTACGCAGACTTTGCTTTGAAGAATCCCTTCTACTCCCTCGAGATGCCAATCAGGGCAGACTTGTTTGAACAAAATTTACAAGTAGCGATAGATCAGATCGAGAAAACTGGTTTTATCTAAATATGTAGAAAAAATAAAGAAAGAATGTTTCTTAAGTATTCTGTACTGGATTTTGCTAAATGTATTTAAATCTGATGTCTTTTAGCCTACCCAAAGTAAATAAAATACCATGTGATGATGTTTATATTACAAAATAACCGTTTCAGTTTTTAAATAAACTGGATTTATTAATTATGTTGTTAGTTAATATACTTGGCATTCCTGATTTGTTTTGTGTTGTCTGATAATAGTATTTTTGTGAAGGGTTACCTCCGAAAGGATGAAACTTTAACTTTAACAACTCAAAATTTATTGAGTCTTTTTATTTCATTAAGTACGCCAAATTAAATAAGACTTAATTCATATTCAATTCATTCATGTCATGTTTTTAATGAGTTTCAGTTCAGGCCGTCATTAGAGTCTGTGGCCGGTAACCTTTTATAATGAATAAGAAAAATATTAGTTTAAAAATTGAAATATTGAATCATGATCATAATATTTGTTTAAATAATCATGAATCAATCCCTGAAATGATAGTGATCTCTCCCAATTTATTTGTGATTAATAGACCAATAGTTGTTCCTTTCTTGAAATTGATCTTTTGAAATTCCGTATGATAAATGTAATTGTAATGTGAGAATATGTTAAATAAATAAAACTAAATTAATTTTAAAATCTTAAGAATTATTTTTTTTGTTCATACTTTTTTGTAATTAGATTAAATTTGATTGTAATCTTTTTTATTGTTTACCCCCGACAGTTAAAAAAAGATTTAATATTATCAAAAATATAAAAAACGCAAATTTTAGGTGCAGAAACGATTTCTATATTCCTAGAGTAAAATCTATTAAAATTGGACTGCTTCCTCCTCACAATTTCCCTAAAATATGGTATGAAAATAAACGACATTTCCTAAACTTTCAACAATCAATCTTGTTTCGAATTTTAAACAGAATTTAATTGAAGATTATTATCAACAGAACCAATGATTTCATGCTAACGCAATTTTTGCAAACGTAGCATGCGTTTAACGCATGCTACGTTTGCAAAAGAATCGAAGAAAGCAAAGACGATTTTACAAAGAAAAGACTAAAAAGAGCATAAGATATAATCAAACAAAGGATGTAAAAAATTTTCGCTAATTAATAAGATGCTTAATAATGCCTGTTTTGTGTAAAACCTACATATATCTTTTTCACGACCCATATCTTTTTTTTTAAACATTACAAATAAATCTAAAAATTTTTGTTCTAGAAGTTGTTACTTCATCGTCGTAAAATACTAACAATCCACCACTAATTTATATTAAATGTTATGTAAACAATAAATATGTAACTTTCCTTTTCCTTATATCTTTTTTAGAATTATGGGGAAATATTTCCATAGCCTCTATTTTTGGAGGGTTTTAAAATATTTTCTTCGGAAACGCTTAATTTTGTATGCTTTTGTTATCTATTTAATAAAACAAGACATTCGTAAATATTTAAGTTGCTTATAGCCAGCCAAACGGCTGGACGGAATGGGCTGAAATTTGTTGTGGACACCTATGGGTGGTCGGGGGGTGTTATAGGCTAAAAAAATCGAAACATTTTTTTCAAAATTTATTTTTTCAAATTTTGTTTCCACGGGCAACGCCGGGCCCTCCAGCTAGTATTTCATATATAAATAATTACTTACTTACTCACTCACTCACTCAATTAAAATAAACAGAAAAATGCGGAAAATTTTTTTATTAAAAATGGACGAAACTTGAAATCACTCTCCGTATTTAAAAGTATAAAGTGGAAACAAATTTTAGAATAATTTTTAAGATAAAAATATTTTCAGTTATTTATATTATTCTGTAAATTATGAAAGTGCGTTTTGTTCTGAATTGTTGAATATTCTCAAATTATGGATTGTTACTTAAGTTGGTTTATGTACCAAAACAAGTCCAAGATTCGAATTCCTGATATGTGTGAAAATGGAAAACCTCAAATTGTTTCGAAATTGTATGGGTTTTTATTAAAATTGAAGGACCGATTAAATTTTAGAAAAGAAGTAAATAGTGTTATTTGTAGTTATTGTAGTGCTTAATAATATGTTGGAAATAGTTTCATTAATTTATATTTGTATTCGGCACAGGACAGGGAGAGTTATTTGTGCCAAAACCTGACACTCCTGTCAGGTTTTAAACACAAGCATGATTTGGAACTTTCTTCCCCTGAACTTAAATCTCTCATTTTCTTCCCTGTGCGGGAAAAATAAACATAGGAAATAAGATTTTTTATTTATCTCCACACGGTGATAGGCGATTATACCAATATAATGAAGACGACTTTGTTATTTAAGTTTTAATAGATAATAAGCTTTTATCGAATTACAAGTTTACAAGTAATAAAAGAGAAGCTTTTCAATTTAACAGTTTCTCTTTATTTCCATTTTTTTGTGTATCCATGCTGTTTAAAAGCTTCATATGAATTAAAATTTGATTCGAAAGTTGTCTTGTTACATTGATTAAATCACCTACCACCGTACACAAATGTTTGGAAATTACAAGTAATCGAGGTTTATATATTAATTATATATACAGACCGTTCCAAAATTAATTTGGATTGCGTCCAAGCTTCTACGCTGAAATAAACACCGAATACTTTTATCAAATCTTTTATTTTATGCATAAAATTACATAAACCTTAAACCATTTTTAAATTTTCTGTTTATCCCTGAAAATTCAAATTTAAAGCTTTAAAATGTTTGTAAAATCTGCAAAATTAAAAAGTAATTATCAGTTTTACCTAATTTAGTTTAATTCATGATTAAGCAAAGTACTTGAAATAAATTCGTGACTTGAAATAAACGAATTCCTAGATTTGAATTTAATGTTTTATAGATTCTTAAAATGGTTTCAATCCTACGCTAAAGTTCGTAAAAGGTTAAAAACACAATCAAATTCTCTAGGTTGGCTTACTATAAAATATCCGACATTATTCGTAGTAATTAGTATGACTTTCAACTCTCTTTTATGAGCATCGCTCGTAGAGAAAAGAAATAAATACTGTGGTTTTTTACTTTTTTGTCAGTTTTAATTAATTAAATTTTAACTTCTTGCGTTGTGGCTAAATAATATGGAGCTACTTTGATAAAATATTTAATCTCTGAGCGCGTTACTTTTCATCTTAAGAACATCAGAAGAGAACTATTTTTACTACATGAAATAGGTTTGTTAGGTTCATTACATGTGTACATCAGTTCTAATTGTAAAAGATATAAAACATAGACCGCATTTCAGGGGATATTAGTTCCAACACTTGGCCCATTTCTAACACTGAGTGTGCCAAATGAATAATCCCCTTCTAGTAAAATTTATGTACAGGGTGTCCCACGAAACATGACAATAGCAAGACGACTTGAAAGTCGTCTTTGATATTTGAATTTATTTGTGACATTTAGTTTTCTATCTACTTTAACATGTATGATTCTTGAAACAATTATCAAATAATTCTCCTAGCCCTGACATTTCCAAAAAGTGGTCTGCGTTTTTTGTGCTTTCAATATTACCGGAGATATAAAGAGTTTGGTTCAGATTTCAATTTTATTAAATAAAAGCAAAATTGTCGAAGTCTGAACGAAATTGTTCATATCTCGGGCAATATTGAAAGCACAAAAAATGCAGACCACATTTTGGAAATGGCAGAACTAGGGGAATTTTGTGATTATTATCTCTAAAAATTTACTTCTAAAATTAGGTTGACAAATAAATGCAGCAAATTATATCAAAAATCAAGACGATATTCAAGTCGTCTTGCATACTGTCATGTTTCGTGGGACACCCTGTACCTTAGATATTTTGAACTGTGAATTATGTTAGATCAAATAATTTAAGTTTGAAATGTCAAAGGATTACATCATAGAGTTGCAAAGATAAAGAAATTCGAAAATTTGAGTTTGTGGCATTTTATTTATAAACTTTTATACAATTTACTCAAATATTAAATCAAAATTATTAACTCTCTTATCCTCCTTTAGAAAAATTGAGTTTGTGTTTAAATCTGGAGAAAATTTTAATTCAAATATACATATTAAACCATTTAGCTGAGCCATATCTAATATTAATTGCATACTTGGTCAATTCCTGTCTCAGACATAACCTTGGGATATTTAAAACAATTCTAGTTGTACTGTCCTGACACTGGGGCCTGGCCACAGCTGTAGTGTCCAGACACTTGGTGCCTAACACAGTGATTTCAATTCGTACCGGCCCGAACCATTTCTTCGGTGGTTAATGGGCAGTGTTTCAAGTTTATCGTAATACACTCTTTAATTCACATTCCAACTCAGTCATCTCGCGGCGCTCAAGGTGCAATCATGTCGGATTTTTTTCTGTACAAAGTGAACTAAAACATGGAGGATCAACCATGCGGGATTTATTATTTCATTACATATTTCTCACAATGAAATTAACTGGATGTGAGAATATTATAACAGAATATGCATGTGAAGGAGATAAACTGACTCTAAACTGTGAAACTGGAAATATATTTATAAAACGAGCCAACTATGGCCGGCTCTCAATATCTATGTGTAACCTACATGGATTAACCAACATATCTACCCATTGTGTACTCAACACTACACAACAAACCATACAACAAATGTAAGTTTCTTTACCTTAAAAAGTGTTGAATTCTGGCAATTGCCATCATTCTTTTTGCAGCATAAATCTGCAAGGCATCTCCATACTATGTTTTCAGTCCTAACTTATCTTGTTAAAAAGGTGTTTAGAAGACCAACAATATTTGATTTTCTTATTTGTAACAGAATTTCAGTATTCTTATAATTGTGTGTACTGTGTATAAAGAAATCTAGAGAAACTATATATCGTACTAATGGTAATGTTGCATAAAGAACTTCTCCCTTTATATAGTTTGCAGTGCCTTTCAATCAAACATTTTTTAATATCATTATATAAGAAACTAAGGACCCAGGGACCCAATTTGAACTGCCTACCGCCGGTTTAAATTTGAATCTTCGATTTAAATCCTTCCTTAATCTTTAACTTTGAATCGGCAGTTTGTGGTTCAGAAACGAAGTTTTAATTCATCAAATTCGGTTTCAGTAGGGTTAATTTATAGTGTTTTGCAAGATGGTCTTAAAATACTTGTTTAAATATAAATTGAATAAAGATAGTGACCAGATCCATCTTTGAAAGGAGTGTTTTGAATAAGGAAATCATATTATTAATTTATCAAAATTATCAAAACATTTTTATTTTACAGGGTGTCCCACGAAACATGACAATAGCAAGACGACTTGAAAGTCGTCTTTGATATTTGAATTTATTTGTGACATTTAGTCAACTTTAACATGTATGATTCTTGAAACAATTATCACATAATTCTCCTAGCCCTGGCATTTCCAAAAAGTGGTCTGCGTTTTTTGTGCTTTCAATATTACCGGAGATATAAAGAGTTTGGTTCAGATTTCAATTTTGCTAAATAAAAGCAAAATTGTCGAAATCTGAACGAAATTCTTCATATCTCGGGCAATATTGAAAGCACAAAAAAGACAGACCACATTTTGGAAATGGCAGGACAAGGGAAATTTTGTTATTATTATCTCTAGAAATTTACTTCTAAAATTAGGTTGACAAATAAACGCAGCAAATTATATAAAAAATCAAGACGACATTCAAGTCGTGTTGCATACTGTCATGTTTCGTGGGACACCCTGTAGTTCATGATTAAGTTTAGACTCCAAATCACAAATATTTGTCTTTTTTTAATAAAATTTTTTTTTTTAATTCATCAAAATAATGTTGGACAAAGGAAACTTTAAACTGCTAGACTCTAATTGTAATGATTTTAAACATTCTGATGAACATGCAAACATGCAAACATAATATTGTGCACTTTACACAGAACCATTTCACTTAATAAGTTGATTTTTAAGCTACTTGTAAGTTTTTTTTGCTTTCGTGCAACATCAAAGATACATTAGGACTAGGTTGCCTAAAGATACATTAGGACTAGGTTGCCTAAAGATTCATTAGGACTAGGTTGTCTAAAGATACATTAGGACTAGGTTGTCTAAAGATACATTAGGACTAGGTTGTCTAAAACTTTAAAAATTAAAATGTTGAGACATAATTTACCAAAGAAGGAATTATGAACAAAATACTGACATTGGGTTCCTATTAAATAAAGTTCAAATTAAATTTTAATTTTTTTTTGTTCTTCATAACCTGCCTCAAATTATATTTTGACCAACATTATAGACTTCTGATTCCCCAGACGAGAGAGGGAACCCCCGGACGCCTTGAGCCTCCGCTATGCAGACAGGAGCCCCCCAGATTTGTTAGCCGGACCGAGCCTTAGAATTAGTTTCTTTTAAATTATTAAATAAAGACGACATAAAATGTAAAAAAGTTCTACAATAAACTACAGACGTCATTTATAGGAACATGTTGAGAAACTAAAAATTAATCTATAATCGAAAATAAGTAATCTTGTTCAACTATTAGTTTCTATTATCTCATTATTCACAAAATTTTTCGCAGATTTTCAAGAATTATTATTGAAAAGACGACATTTGAAGAATTTGAAGAAATCTGCGAATAAATTCAAAGAAAATTAGAAATTCAATATAATAATGAAAACGAAATAATCGATTTTAGCATTGATTTATTGACACATTTCTTTTGAGAAATATGTTCCTAACCATCTAATTCGATTACTGTATAATTTTTACTTTATTTTTTGTTGTCGTTATTTAATAATTTTTAAAAAAATAATTCTGAAAGCGTATCCACCCCCAGAGTAGGAGTTTTGAACGTCGAATTTGCGCTCAAACTCGGGATTTACAGATCTTTAAAAAGTTCAATATGTCTCAAATGAATCCGAAAAAAGTTTTCCACAACACTGCATACTCAGTTCAACTACCTTACATAGCCGGCCACTCCCTTTAAGTTACTTAACCTTCTTTGGGACAATTAATTAAAATAAGCGCCCGCTCTGGGAATTTTTTTGTGAAAATTTTGTACATTTTCTTCTTAAAAGACTATAAAATTGTCTGCAACTAATTTTTTGGGAAATTCAGGGGACATTAGTTCCAAAACTAACACTCGGCTCATTTCCAACACTGATTGTTAGATATGGGCACAAATTGAAAGACTGGGTTTTTGGGATCCCGGCCCATTTCCAGAGTATAAGAAGATAATAAAAACTATAACCAACATTTTATTAAACATGACGAGGACAACAATTCCTAATTTAAAACTTTTTTTAAATCAAAATTATAATAGGAGTTATTTTTATATGAAATCTTTTGACCGTTTTCAAGATAATGTCAGGTTTTCTATTTTCGAACATATCATGAATTTGAAACATTGTCGCGTTTTCGAGACAAACCCCACTTTCCCGTGTTTGAGTATAATCCACAATTGAAAACAAAACTCACTTTCATAACTTACCAAATAAATCACTGAAAACAAAAATTATCTTCTGAATTATTTATAGAATCTAAGCTTCCACATTTTATTTGTTAAATTAGAGAATATCGATGATTTATTTTCAAGCATTTTAAACAAACAGTTTCCAGCATTTCTAGTTAAATCTATATTGTAAGAACAAATGATATTGATATTTTGATTTCTAAATGCTGTAATGATTTTAAATTATAAAAGAACGATTTGTTTTTATTTTCTATTTCGTTTATATTTTACCTTTTCAAAACATCTTGTTTTGTTACGTAGGTGGGTAATTGCTTGAAAATTGACATTGATATGAATTCCGTTAAGTGTCTCAAAACCTGGATATGTTCCGAAAACGCGACATGAGCTGAAATCCGGTAATTGTCTCAAAACCAGGATATGTTCCGAAAACGCGACATGAGCTGAAATCCGGTAAATGTTTCAAAATAGGGATATGTTTGAAAATGAAATCAAGAATCTTCAAAAACTAATTCTCACACTTTATTATTAGTTCAAAATTGACATTTATTGTTTCAATATAATTTTAGCCATTTTTTATTTTATTTATGGTGTAATTTTGTTCTACTCGTCTTGGATTTAAAGATATATGCTCTTGGCAGATTTGGCCCATTCCTAACACCAAATGATAGTTTTGGAACTACTATCCCCTGAAATTAAAAATTTTACTTTACCACGGGCTCCCTCGACCAATTTTGCTACAAAACATCAAGAGCGGAGCGAACCCTTGATAAAGTAATATTTCCTGTACCGTAGTTAAAAATTAAAACCACAATCAGCCTCTCTGGATAACTTTTAAATTCCGAACAAACATAAGAATTAAGCATGATAAACTTGAAACTAAACATGATATATTGTCCTAAAAGCATTAAATTCTTTGCAATAAATAGTAGCGTCCTACGTCCTGCAAAATGATGACAATTGTTTGCAAATCTTGGATCTGATTTCAGATATGTCCATTGTATACAAGAGGAACTCAATCTACTACAATATATTTACTAACTAAACTAACTAGATGTCACAAAAAACAAACAAATAATTGGTTTGGCGGTCTCTACATATTCCTATTAATTATTTTTATGATTATTCTTGATTTTTTTTAACTTTATGTAAATTTAATTTACACTGTTCTGCACTTTATTCATCCTAATTATTTTTATCTTACACTATATGTATTCTACAACTTACTTATTTATCCTTCACTTTAGTTATCCTTTACTTTATTTCTTTTTTAATTTATCCTACATTTTATTTATTCTACATATTATTTATCATTCACTCTATTTATCTCTCCCTTTATTTATCCTAAACTTTATTTATCCTAAACTTTATTTATCCTAAACTTTATTTATCCTAAATTTTATTTATTCTTTACTTTATTAATTCTTTACTTTATTTATTCTTTACTTTATTTACCCTTAATTTTATTTCTCTATCCCTTTTTCGTTACTACACTTTAATAATCGTACACTTTACTTTATCCTACACTCTATCTATCCTTCACTTTATTTCTCCTACACTTTAATTATCTTAAACTCTTTTTATCTTTCATTCTATTTCTCCTTCACTTTATTTATTCTAGGTTTTATCTATCCTCCACATTTTTTATTTTCATTGACTTTTTTATCCTACACTTTATTTATCATTTACATTATTTATCGTTCACTCCATACTCTAATTTATTTATTTCATGCTTCATTTATCATGAAGTACTTTTATCCTACACTTTATTTATCATTTACATTATTTATCGTTCACTCCATACTCTAATTTATTTATTTCATGCCTCATTTATCATGAAGTACAAGTCTTAAAAAAATGATTTTAAAATTTATTCAAGTGCAGTAGAACTGGGCGAACTAAAAAATCTAGTGAAATAAAATCTATAATTTCTGTACATTCATGGCACATTGCAATTTTGAATTTTATTTTTTGTTTGTTTGGTGCTAGTTACTGGGACAACATTGTATATTTACTGTGGTAGCCCACTGTTAGCATATTTACTATGCTATCCTTTAACCGTGTGTATACACGGCAGGATAAACAATAAAATGCTTAGATATCATTGTTTGCCTCCTCAGGTTATAGTACTCCATGGGTACATGAGTACTGTACTATACTACACGGACATGATGTTTATTGCGTATTTTGTATCTTGTAAAACTGTAAAGTACATAATATATATTCGCATTTAAAATAGATAAATTGTGTGCATTATTGAACTGTGCTGCTGCTGGGGGTACTTTTTATTATTTAAATAAAGATACCAAAACCCAACTTTAAGGGGAATATTTGCGAGAAAAAAAAGATAATAAAAGGGGTACAGAGCTAGGAACTTCCCCGGTCGCATAATCTCAATATCCAATGTGGACACTTTTAATTTCTTGCTTAATCCCCTATTTTTCTCTCTTTTTGATATCCCTACCAAATTCCGACCTATGAGAGTTCAATTTTTATATTTCATGGCGCGTAAAATTTCAAATTTCCCGGCTTCTAAATGGCTGTTTGTGAGTCTGCATGCGACACTCTCTATTGGTCTACTGGTACACTTTTTAGGATATAACAAAATATTAAATTAATCTTGAGATTAATAAAAAGAGAAAATAAAGGATTGATCTCATTATTCACATTTCTAAAGTTTTCAGCTCGGAATGAATGTTTTTATTTCTGTAAAAAAATTCACTTTTTAAACCGTCCTCCATAAACCAAAACAAATCTTGTCTTCTGGCGTGTGGGGTGCTTTAAAATCCCCAAAAAATGATAAAATAAATTGTTTAGGTGTTCAGGGTTGAGTAGTTGTTTACTAGAGCCTGGATATGCATGGTTTGGAGATCCGTGTCCAGGTATACAGTGAGCCACGCAAACTATCGATAGTTCCTAAAAAGTTTTGTGTTTCCTGCTCAACATTTTGGGAATGTTTTCTAATTATTTTTTACATTTTCATAATTGAATTAAATTAAATTGTGTTTAGTAAATATTTTGTTTTATAATTGAAAACTCTGAATAACAGTATCAGGACAGCTAGACTCAATATATATTGAAGTTATTACAAAACTTATCTTATCCCATGAAAACGGCTGATATTCTTTACCTTCTGAGACATTTTCCTACTTGATTCCCACTTATTTAAAAGTTCAAAGGAACTGATATTTTTTTACAGACCCTAATTTTCATAGTCCTTGATCTTTGAAACCTGATGGTGTGAATTTTTAATATTTCAAACTTTAAATATTTGATCCAATAGAAATCATAGTTAGAAATATCAAAGGTCTACGAAATTAGGTTGCAAAGATTTAAGAAATAGAGTTGGTTGTAAATACATAATCAGTTTCTTTTATCATATCTTAATATTCTTAGATTTGAACTTCACTTTATCTAGGTAGCCCTAAATACCTGGAGGTTCAGTACTCGTGCTCAGAGGACACACTTAGAGGACAGAAGAGGACAGAACCAGAGTTTAGGTAATATTAAGGACAGAAGAGGACAGAACCAGAGTTTAGGTAATATTAAGGACAGAAGAGGACAGAACCAGATTTAGGTAATATTAAGGAGAGAAGAGGACAGAACCAGAGTTTAGGTAATATTAAGGACAGAAGAGGACAGAACCAGAGTTTAGTTAATATTAAGAACAGAAGATGACAAAAACAGAGTTTAGGTAATATTAAGGACAGAAGATGACAGAAACAGAGTTTAGGTAATATTAAGAGCAGAAGAGGACAGAACCAGAGTTTAGATAATATTAAGGACAGAAGAGGACAGAGCCAGAGTTTAGGTAATATTAAGGACAGAAGAGGACAGAACCAGAGTTTAGTTAATATTAAGAACAGAAGATGACAGAAACAGAGTTTAGGTAATATTAAGAGCAGAAGAGGACAGAGCCAGAGTTTAGGTAATATTAAGAAAGGTTACGAAATATCAACATTAATTACAGATAACTTAGAGAAATGCTTTTTAGCAGAGCAGAATTAGCCAGGGTTTATTATTTAAAAGTAAATCCTGAATACTGACCTAAAGACCTCCACAAAATTAAGTTTGCCAGAAAATTTAATATTCCTAAGCCAGCTCTTTATGGTGCAAAATTTACCCTTGTATTTCAAACTGAAAATACAGCATACAAATTACATGCATTTTTTATTTTATCATTTTGTGTTTTACTCCATAGCTAGCTAGATACACGGACAACCCTGAGTTTGTATTTCATGGGTGATTAATAACAGCTCTATTTATTGAGATGTAATATCGTATCTGAACCCCACCCTTCCAACCCATACATTATGTACATAATGTGCACATATCTTGTAGTCGTTCCATTCCCCCACTCATTTTTATTCTAGACCCGCCGCCCCTTCCTCCGTTCACCATAAACGGTATCAAGACCTCCCTCGTCGGTTTTATGTGCTTCATATCCCATCTGTTGCAAAGTTTTCAATTTTTCATCATAATTCAAAATGTAAAATATTTATTTTAAATAGTTCTATAATTTTGTTCAGGGAGGAGGGAATACGGAGAGTTTGGGAACCCGGAGCAAACCTTCTCAGTCAGGATATATTCTCAACCCTGATCTATGAGAGCACGTATGCACCGGAGCAAATATTAAGAAGACCGAACCCTCCGGAAATTACCGAAAGTAAAAATATCCCTGTAACGGGCGCTACCGAGGTGACAATTAAACCAGAAAATGCGGAAAACATAACGGAAAAATCTCAATCTCTGGACATCTTTGATGACATGCCTGGGCTAAATACTACAGTTGAACCCAAGGATAAAATAACAAAAAGACACAATGTTTTTAATGTTAAATCCAACCTGACAAAGTCTTCAGACGAACATTTGGAGAACGTGACAGACAAGGAATTGTTTGATCAAGTTGTTACAGAAGATGAAGATGATTTGGATGCAGAAGAGATGGAGAGGGATAAGAAGGAGAATGTTGAGGACGACGAGAAGAAATCTGTTCTTATCTTAACTTGTACTGGTTTATTGGCCGCATGTCTTCTCTCTATCGGGCTCTGCTTCTCACATAAGGTAAACACAAGAAATGATTTAAAAATAGATTTCCATTATATTACGTGTTCATATTCCATGCTTTCTTACCCCTTGTTTTAAGGCGAAGTTATGGAAGTCGTTAACCTAAAATTGAGATGCTTTTACATCCTTCATTAAACTGGGTTATTTCATGAACGTTAATTGTTAACTAATTGCATGGAGTAAAATTCACATTTGGGGCAGCTAAAAAGACATTTATTGGTTAAAAATATAGTTAGTAGGATAATTATTCCTCCTGGCCTAGTTTAGTATGTAGTTTAGAGAAAGAGAGATAACTTTTCTGTTTTCACAATTTCTGACATGATATCATTCTAGATGTACAGACGGTTTTTGTGCCACGCTAAGGAAGAAACATCTCCTGGAACAGAGAACTCCGGAGTAACATCTCAAGGTTTAGGAAGGGAACCTGGAGCCCCAGATCAATCCCTTCTACAAATCTCTGTACAAGGGTATCCTGTGCATCAAAGTCCTTATCCCTGCTCTCCACAATATCATTTACATGCTTGTTATCATAACTCCTGTCAACCTACTCCTAGTGAGGATTACAACTCATATCATTCTAGATCACATCATCCTGGTAATTTAACAGATGATATGTCGATTAATAAACAAATCCATTGCTATTCTTGTCATCGATCTCAACCTCAATCTTATTCAGAAATGAGATCTCCTCATTTAAGCCCATTAGAGCCTCAACCTTCTACTCTTTCAAACCAATCTCCTGATTACTACAGACAATCTACAAGTAGTCCGTCGGAGTATGGACAATCTCTTTCTAGTTTTCAAGAGTTTAGAACATCTCCATCAAACCATCACATCATAGGTCAGAAATATGGACCTTCCGTGCTTGATCGACAAGAGCTTAATTTCAGTCATTCTCACGAGTATATTCAACCACCAAGACCAATTCAATTCCTTAGAAATCAGCTAGAGATGAGACAATCTCTTCCCCCTCGACTAGAATACATTCGTTCTGATAGAACCAACCCCTCTCCGTCCTACCCGGGCATTCTACCACCTAATCCAGGACTCGAGGCAATGAATTTTTCAATTAATCATCTGTCCAACCCTCTTACACATCAGTCCCCATCCCTCTGCTCTGTATCCAGTATATCAGGAGCCAAGACATCTCAATCCGTCCAGGAAACATCGTTTATACAACATAGGGGCGACAGAAATGAAGGTTTATATCAGTGGACAGACCGACGTTCTCCGTCCTTAACTCTTCCCTGTTCAAACTCCTGTGCAGTTCCTTTCAGTCATCAACCTTATCCAATTCAAGAACAGTCTTATTACAATCCAGAGCTAATAAACTTACAGGACTTTAACCTCAAAGAAGAAAACAACGTCTTGAACCCACATATGTTTATGCGCAACAACAATAACGACCATGTTGCATGTACAGTGTGTCTACAGTGTGACTCACACAATCGCTCAACACATAAAGACGACATTAGTGAAGAAAATGGCGGGAAAAACTCATGTACAGATGACCAGATTTCTGTACTGGCGGGTGGAAGCAGTGCAATTTGTAAACAAAATCAAGGCTACCAGGCCTCTAGTCGGAAAATATCTAGTCTAGTCTCGAGAATTCTTTAATTTTAAAATTATATTATTTATTTAAAATCAGATGTTGTAATTTACTGATAAAATGGATATTTAACAGTTTCCAATTTCCACTTTTTTAATCGTGAAGAAATGCAACCAATCCCTTAAACCACTTTAACCTGCCGAAAATTTTAGATTTATTTGAAAATGCTTTTAGGAATATATGCAAAATATTCTGCACAGGTTTTCAAATTAAAAAAGAACAGTTTAAGGAGGCAGGAATTTACGAATATATGAAGATGTGAGGGAAGATGACTGACTTAATAAGACGAGAATGAGTGGAACATTCAAATGTAGGGCCGGGGAATAACTTAGGCATTAAGAGGTGAGTGAGTAGGAATGTGGTAATAGGAAATGAGAGAGTTGAGGATTCATATGGAGGGTTGGGTTAGAATTTAGATAAAAAGAGGTGAGTTAGGAGGAATGTGTAGAAACTGAGTGAGATAGGGATTGATATGGAGGGGGTAGGGGGTGTAGAATTTCGATATAAAGAGAGGTAAGTTAGGAGGAATTTTATACAGTGAATCCCAGATATATGAATACATAGCAAGAGTTTTTTATAATGTCTTATTACATATTAAGAATAATGCCGCGGAAAAATGAGTTTAATATAACCCCTGAGATATGAATGCAATTGATATATTAATATTAAACTAAACTCATTTTTCCGCGGCATTTGATATCAAATATGTAATACAACATTATAAAAACTCTTGCTATGTATTCATATTCACTGTAGGAACTAAGTAAAATAAGGATTAAAGAATGGAATGGAGGAGAGTTTAATTATTAAAGGGAGTGACCGGCTATGTGAGGTAATTGGACTGAGTATGCAGTGTTGTCGAAAACTTCTTTAGGATTCATTTGAGACATATTTCACTTTTTAAAGATCTGTAAATCCTGAGTTTGAGCGCAAATTCGACGTTCAAAACTCCTGATTTGGGGGTGGATACGCTTTCAGAATTAGTTTTTTTTAAATTATTAAATAACGACAACGAAAAATAAAGTAAAAATTATACAGTAATCTAATGGCTAGGAACATATTTCACACAAAAAATTTGTCAATAAATCAATGCTAAAATCGATTATTTCGTTTTCATCATTATATTAAATTTCTAATCTTCTTTGAATTTATTCGCAGATTTCTTCAAATTCTTTAAATGTCGTCTTTTCAATAATAATTATAGAAAATCTGCGAACATCTTTGTTAATAACGAGAAACTAGAATAATGAGATAATAGAAACAAATAAATGAACAAGATTACTTATTTTCGATGATAAGATTAATTTTTATTTTCTCAAAATGTTCCTAAACATGACGTCTGTAGTTTATTGTAGAATATTTTTACATTTTATGTCGTCGTTAATTAATAATTTAAAAAAAAACTAATTCTGAAAGAGTATCCACCCCCAAATCAGGAGTTTTGAACGTCGAATTTGCGCTCAAACTCAGGATTTACAGATCTTTAAAAAGTGAAATATGTCTCAAATGAATCTTAAAGAAGTTTTCCACAACATTGCGTCCTCAGTTCAACTACCTTACATAGCCGGTCACTCCCTTTAAGGCTAAAAATTAATTTAATTATGAAAAGATAATTGAGAAGAAATGAGAATTAAGGAAAATAAAAAAATAATAATTGCATTTGATTAAGAAACAAGATATGGACTGATATCAATTCTTATTTATGAAGGCATTCAATAAATTGTTTTGTATACGAGAGGAGAATGTAAAATATGGCAAAAACTAAAACAATTAATCATTGTTTAGTCCATGGACAGCTCTAGGTTCTACTCAAGAGAGTCTTAAAACCCCAAAACTTCATTATTGCGGTCTGCCGGACAAGGTTTAAGGGGGGGGGGGGTATCAGGACTAGTATACAATATTCTTAACAAAGATTTATTATTCTTTATCATTTTCTTTTCCATGTAAAATTTTTCTATTTGATAAAGATTAAAAAAGATAAGTTGATACAAAAAGACAAGAACAAATAATATACTTATAAAACTACAACAAAGTACATCCTGTCTATATTAACATAATTTTAGTCATATTTTGATCTCAAAATCAAGCGAAAATAACGCAACATAAATATTTATTTTGATATTTAGAATAACAATTCAAACAAAAAGGTCTGAAAAGGCAAATAAGAAAAATCATATTTATAAGAGAATTGGGGTCCAATTAGTTATACCGTGTCCAATTAGCAACTGTGTCCAAATATAGCAACTGAGGTGACGTAAGACGTTATTTGTATTACTTACAATTAAACTAATCTTTTGACAGTACCTAAACATACCTACTTACTTATTCTGTAAAGGTTAATGGGACCAGAAATCAGAACTCGGGATCAACCATTGATCTTTTTAATTTGATTCCTCTTCGGTGGTCATATTCTGAGGTTATAACTTTAGTTATGGAATCATTCATTTATCCTCAAACTTAAAAGAGGCCACATTGGATATCGAGAGCAAAAGTTCAAGATTAACGATACTCCACACAAAAGTTCCGAACCTCAGGACGGGTTCGTTTATCAGGTTTGTATATCACATGAAAATTTGGGACTGTAACATTAAATCCTCGACTCTCTCAGTAATAACAAGTATTTCTTGTAAATAATTAAGGAAGAAAACCACTTGAGGAAAATAAATGTCTTCAATAAAATCCTTGCCATGTTTTTCAGCTGTTAAACAAGCCGCCATATTGTCAGGTTATATCACGACTCTGGATTTAGCCGCTATTAACTGCAATCAGATGAATCAGAGATGGAGAAATAAAAAACTTTAACCTATAAAATCAGAAAGAACATGCATGCAAAACGAGGAGATATAATTTTACTCATTATTTGGCATTTTTTCTAGCAACACGACGTGAATAAAAACACAGATTCGTGAGAGAGAAGAAATATGTTAAACGCTCACCGGTTGGTTTTGCCGCATTTTTATCATGATAACAGATAAAGATTCCCGGAAATTGAAATCTTTAAAATAGTCGTCTTTGCTGCAGGGTTGTATTGTATTGTATGGTAAGTATATACAAATATGAACTTTAAGATATCCACTGTCAATTCATATCCTGAAGCCAAATTCATATGAAAATTAACTTCTTGACTCATGTTCCGTTATTTAGGGAACTAAAGAAGGTTGACAATCTTAACTTTATGGCTAACTTACAGGGTTACACAGAACGGATATTATAATTAAGGTTCCAATTCTCTCCTCCTCTGAAGACTTTAATTTTTGAGACCCAAATATGATCAATGTTGATGAAGAAAGTGCGGCCCAAAATTTGGTTGGATTTCTTATTATTTGGCCATTTCTGAAAATAACGACAACGTGCAATATTTCAGTCAATATTGTTGGGGTTTTATCGCTTTATTCATGAGTTTTTAAGCTTTAAGGTTAAGCTCTGATAAATCCTAGATTGACAACATGAGTTTTTAAAGAAATAAAAATATAGAAATGCAGAAGTTTTAGTTAAAGGGAAAAACAACTTTTTATTAGATATATGTAAATATTATTTATTTAAAAATAATAAATATCTAAGAATAAGGTTAGGCATATATATATATATATATGTATAAATATGGAGCACGTCTATACATGGTTAAGAATTAGTAACTATAACTGGATGATATCGGGAAGGTGACTGGATTGGGAATTAATGTTTTCATGTTCCCGCATTTCCGCTTTCTGTTGAAGACGATATCTGGGCACTACAGGAGTCTCCCCTATGTCTCGAAGTAGTAGAGGTCGAGACTGAGATAATTGTTCTAGTGTATTGTTACTTGTCAGACCGTTAAAAGAGTAACAGGAATTCTTGTGACTGGAGCGGTTTAACAAACATCATTGATGAGAACAATTATAGCTGTTAAAATGTTGTTTACACCCTCTAATCACGTCATGATGTACCATATTGTTAATGGCTGGCCAGTGGCCATTTAAGGCATAGATAAAGATAGATTGCGCATAAGACGACATTTTTCATCTTGAAAGATATACAGAGCGTCCTATATCACATTAGATTATTTCAAAGATTTTAACGCCAATATACTCAAATAAAACTAGAAATACCTAGTATTTTCTGCAAGAAAAATTTTTATAATAGCCTTATACGGTTTTTAAAAATGATTCATTGTTTTTAAGATTTTGATTAACGTCCCTAAATTCACAATTTAGAGCTAAAAAGATCTAATATGATGTGGGACACCCTGTAAATGTACAGAGATGTTTTAAAGATATTTCTATTATATAGATTAACTAGGTCGGTTGTGAACATTGTCTGTTCTTATGTCATTGAGTACTTATGGTGTGCATGAGTTCTGTAGAGAGAAATTTAAGTTAGTTAGTCCTTCTCATGTCCTTCTTCTTCTAAACAGTTTTCGTCAATATGATGTATTGCTCAGTGAAAAATTGTTGTTCAAATAGTTAAATTAAAACACCAAACCACCCCGCTTATCATTGAAGTACACTTTGACCCCTAGAAGTATGAGTTCGCGGACTGTACAATTCTTGGTGATTTTGCGTACATTAGCTATCTATGTTTATTTATTTATCTATGATTTAAGGGCATCAATTTTAGTGAAGAATAGGTGGTCGTTTGTTTAACTTGAGGAAGTGGAGCTGCTAATATATTTCAGGAGTTGTAGAAACAGTGTTTGGAGCAGCTTATGTCTCTAGAAGTCGAGTATCATGTTATAGAGACCAGAGTAGCTGTGTAGCTGAATAGCTCAAGGAGTAGCTGTATAGCTGATTAGCTCTGGGAGTAACAGAGCAGAGCTGGGAACTTTAGAATGGTGGATATCGGGATTAATGCTTAATCCACTCTTTTTCTTAATCTCCAGATTAAATATTGCTTGTTTTCCTCATGAATTTAATCTCCAGATAAGTCAACAGATCGGGATTAAGGATATCCCATTCTAAAGTTTTCAGCTCTGATTAGCTCCAGGAGTAGCTGTGTAGTTGATTAGCTTCGGGAGTAGCTTTGTAGCTGATAAGCTCCAGGAGTAGCTGATGTGTAGCTGATTAGCTCCAGAAGTAGCTGCATAGCTGGTTAGCTCCAGGAGTAGTTGTAAGAGTGACAACAGATTGTTTGATTTAGCATGATGTAGGCAAAAGCTTGCAGATACGGAAGCTACTGAGATGGCTTCTTCGGCCAAATCTTGAGCTGTTTCCAAGA